TGTCCCTGTTGCCTGTGGAGCAGCACACTGACTGCTCCTCCTGCAGAGAGGAGGAACCTGAGACACAGAGCTGAAGATCGATGGGACTGAGACTCTCTGAGGTACGCAGTGGCGGCTGGTGATCATATTGGGAACGAGCTCAAATTTGAATACAATCCTCAATCTGGGACGCCATTTTTCTTTTGTAGGATGGTAGGGGAAGGTCCTGCGCTCCTTCACCTCTGATTGGCTAGAAGTGCTGGGCTCCTATTGGTTATTCCTTATGGCTGTGAAACGTCATCGTCTGTCAGGTTAGGGTTAGGAGATTCAGAAGTGTGATAATGTTCTGTTCGATGTACAGAGCCGACAGCCCGCGCTCGGCCTGAGCATGTGAGGACATTTCCAGCTATTCGAGCAAATCAGGGGCGAAGGAGGCGGGACAGTGGGATGATTTTCTTTGCCGGGTTGCTGTGTTTTTGTTTGGTGCTGTGATGGCCCTCATCAAGCTGACAGGCGATGTTACCCTCCTCCAGCATGGTTGAAAGTTATCCTGCATTGATAGCTTTATACTATGTCCAGAGTGAGTTTTGTTACTTTCATGCTTCCAAATTTGCAAAATAAATGTTTACAAATCCACGATTCTATGCAGTGTCTAAGTCCTCCAAAAATCTAGCTACTCCATTAGCCAGTCCTTTTTGTTTCAGGGCATGTCTGTTTCTACCTTTCACTTGGTTTAGAGCAGACCTTGGCATATTACATATAGCCCTTTGGATGTCCCTGCCCGGCCCTTCGTGAGGTCCGTTAATGAAATCATCAACATGCTATAAAAGTGTGTCACTTTTATTTTGAAAATCTAGCCGTTGTTTTAGTTCTGTTTGGATGCACTTGCGTACATCATAGATCTGCATTCGTGAATGTAGACAAGTTTAAAGTCCGCTTATTATAAACAACTCCAGGCTTGTTTCTCTCAGAAGTCGCTTGTAAAACTCGTGAGTCGCGGGTGTGCTTTTTTTGGGCTTGCTTTTAATTAATTATTATTGAAATTATTGTTGGTTTGGCCCTCCAACACAGTTCAGGTTTCTCATGTGGCCCCATGTAAACATTAATTGCCCACCCCTGGTTTAGAGGGTGCTATGGGTAGAATTTTATTATAGAAACAAATGGAGCGGACGCTGATGAGAACACTGGCCTCAGCAGCTAAAACTTACTTAATTTGTTCCTCCATAAAGTTGGCAATCTGATTGGCCCAGGCTCAAAATGAGGACTTACGCTCATGCGATTTTTGACCTGGATACTTCGAACAAAAAGAGACTATGTAATCCAGTCTGGTCTGACGTTTGTGTCCCTGACCGTCCTTCGGCAGGCTCTGACAGGGAGCATAGAGAAGATCACCTGAGCTGGATTACCAGTATATTTCACGTCACATCAATTCTACTCCCTTCTTAGTTCAAGCTGATATTTCTGTGCAGGGGGTTGACTTGACTTTCAGGTAAAAATATAGAGCTCAATAAAGGTATAGGCCATGTTTCTGGTTAACACCCAGCAGGAGCTCTGGACCAGAAACTAAGAATGTGACAGCAGTAACATCACGCCTGGAATAATGAGGCAGCAGCAGCAGCAGCCTGCATATTTGAAATTCTGGGGGATTATCCAAATCAAATCCTCACCACCCTCCTCAGACTTGTTTCCAGAATAAAATGCAAACTAAAGAAACATGTTAATGAGAAGCTCCCTCTTTTGAATCCACCTCTCTTCCTGTAATGTCACTGTTCCTCTTCTCTTCTATAATCAGTGTATGACTGCCACTGGATTATATGAATTTTACAGTGCAGCATATTTACAGTGTCCTCATGACATATCCCATCCTGCAGGGTTTGAGTCAGCCCTTCTCTCAGGATAAAGTCAAGCTCCAAATTCTTGTCCCTGATATATACAGTACATACTACTTTCTACTTAAAGTTCATTATTTGTCAAGAACCAACTTTTAAAACTGAAAAATTATCCCTCCATTTTAAGGCTTAGTACTTCACAATGGTTCAGAAAAGACTGTCCTATTAATTAAACAGCGACTCAGAGACAGAGGTTTTGTTTTCATTTTGTAAGGCTACAAAAAAGTTTGTTTTATTTGTCCTCTTTTGTACCCAAGCTCTGTTTTTCTTCCCCTTTTTCTTCAGTTTCAAATAGAGTTATAAATTCTGTGAAGATAATATCAGCACAATGTAATTACATCGCAAAACATACAGATAAATCAGAGCATGAAGTATGGGATACTTGAGTATTCAACAAACAAGTGTAAATATAATAACACTGAGCTGTTTTTCTGAAGAACTAGCACCCAGTGTCTCTGGAGCTTTACGTTTTGTGTTGTAGTTTTGGTCACTGTCTGAGCTTAAATGCTCCACAGTCTTTTCTCAACCAGAGAGTAAAGGGATGGGAAAATCTCTCTCATAACTCATGCAGAAATAGCTTTTTTTTCCTTTTGCATTTGGCCGATTCATTAAAATAAAATAGCTTATCAAAGAGCTGAGGCCTATTGGCGGAAAAAGAGCATAATTTTCTTCCATATGAGGCCATTTCCTCAAATTAACTTTGATGAGGCTGCAATGAAATAAAGTTTAAATGAAATACATCTCAGACAGTGGCATAAATGAAGCTCAGAATTGGCAATAACACCATCCTAAAAGTATCTTAATGTTATTAAATTATGCTTAACGCATCAAAATATAAAGACATCAATTCTGATTTCCTTTGAATAACAGCTTATTTTAATCATCATAACCAGAAACTAACTTCAGCCATGACAGTGCTTTATAATCAGAGCAGTGTCCCATTAGTTTAATGTTTCGTGAGCCCTGTGGCTGCATATGCACTTAACAATAATGATAGTCATGAACTTTATTTAGAGTTTAGAGTTACAAAGTGTTAAAAAGATTAAAATTAAAGAGAGAAGATTAGAAAGAGAGATATGAGACGGGGTGATTACAATTACAAAGTTGACAGAATATACAGCTGCAAGATGTCGATGCAATTTCCGAAACAATCGAATTTAATATAAAACTCAAACCAAATTAAAAGTTAATAAGATCAGTTAAAAGTTTCAAACTAAAAACTCATATCCAGTTAAAGCACACTTATGAAAACTTTTCTCCGTTATGGCATAACTGATGTAAAGCACTACAATCTGCTACAGTATATAGTTTAAAACATGGCAGGCATTTTGGTACAACTGAAAACTAAGTTCCTGAGAATAACTGAAGTTAAATCAAAAGCTTGTTGTTTTCACCAAAGTACATCTCTACCAAGGTTCTCCCGATGGCAATAACTCGGATTCTGCTGCTGCCAGCTGCACAGGATACCATCAAGTATAAGAGTTGATGGGATTTACTCCAAGGCCGCTGTAGCTGTAACTGAAACTCTGGTACCACTGTCTCCTATAATTTCCCCAGTGCCTGTGAAGCACACTGAGAATGATGCTAGCCGAGCCAAACAATGTCCTTAAACTCTGCATCACCTTTCATCCCTTCAACAAAAACATTTTTATGCACTTGTACATTTCCATCTTCCTTGTTTTATTACCTCTATCTCACCTCACGCTCTGTTATTAGCTGCAGATGTTAGATGCTCAGTCTTCACAATGACCTGTGCCCATTAAACCAAACTCATCAATAGGCTGATAATTCCCCGTCTGTCCTGATGGCTACTGATGGAAGTAGTAATCACTTTTGTCCTGCTGATGAGCCAATTGAAAATCACTAATGTATTCATTAACAGAAATGGTCTTTGAGTGCAAAGTGCTCAACCTGGAGTTTGATCAGATATTGTTCAAATCAAATCCATTTCAGTTTCCATTTATTCCACTGCCATGAGGTGAATATCTGTGTCTAATTAGTTTGATATTTCATCGAAAAAACACAATAGCATGTTTAGTCAGGATGTGGTGCTTAACTGTAGTCACTCAATCTTGGAACTCTGAAATTTCAAGTTTGAACAATGAGTTAAATTGTTCCTCTTTGGTAAGACAGCAAAAGAAAGATGGGAAACATAAGGAGAGAGTGTAGGGGATGACATACACCATTTGAACCAATAACTCCAGTCCACTGTCTATATATCTATATCTATATAATCGGCCGGCCGATCGATCAGCGCCAATTTCCTCAATTTTGGGGGATTGGTGATCGGCTGATCCTTATATACGAAACCAATTTTATCCACCAATCATATCTATCTCAGCAAAGGTCTGAAAGTCAGCCGTTGTAGCTTTTTGCTTTGCCAGAATGACAGGCCCGCCCCCCCAAGTCACGTGTGCGTCAGCGGCACACACAACAGTCATCTGGAGCATGATCAACCAACAGGTTGAACCCACTACAAAGAAACCTAAAACTCAGGACAGTTTATTGTTTGGTTCAAGTTGTGTTGTTAGTTTGTCCTGTAGATTATTATTTTACTAACTTCCTTAAACCTTGTGATCTCCTTTATTTGTAAAAGCAAAATACTGCTGTGAACTTATTTTTGGTAAGAGGCTCAAAACAGGCCTGCAGTCTGACCTGTTGCGCAAGTATTGGTAATGTGGAAAATAAAAGACTAAAGGAACTGATATAATTTAGTAGTTTGGACAGCGATATTCTAAACTTTTCATTTATATTTGAGAAAATGACCACGCGCAGTTAAAACAAACACAAAAAGTTTGTATTGTGTCACAAGTACTGTTTAATACGGTGGCCTGGAAGTGCAAAACACAACCGCAAAAGAGAAAACACGACAGCAAAAGAGAAAATGCAAACTGCAAATCACAAAACACAACAGCTAATCACATATGCAAACGCAAAAAAGAAAACGCAACTGCAAATCTGCAACTGCAAATCTGCAACTGCAAATCCCAAAACAGCAACAACAGCAAAACGACGATGACAGCATCGTCTGTCTTCTTCTTCGTTGTAGCTTAGTTGTAGTCTAAACAAGATAGCTTCTTTCAAGTGGGTCTTCAGCATTGAATACTCATGCTAATGCCGTGAATAGTCGACTTTCCCGTTCCAACATCCAGCAGGTGGCGGTAGTACTCCACCCCCAGCGGAGTAAACTGCCATTTAACTACAACGAAGAAGAAGAAGACAGACGATGCTGTCATGTTTTGGGATTTGTGGTTGCGTTTTCTCTTTTGCGTTTTCTCTTTTGCTGTTGTGTTTTGTGATTTGCAGTTGCGTTTTGCACTTCCAGGCCACCGTAGTTTAATGTTTTTCATTAAAATGAGATTGGAGCATCGAAGGTGTATTTTGTCAGTTATTAAAAAAAGGTATCGGCCAAAATCAGTATCGGCAGGTCACGCTTTCTAAAGACTGGTAATCGGTGATCGACCAGAAAATTGTGATCGGTGCACGCCTATTTCATACCCTTTGGTTTTTCTAGCACATCTGGTAAAACACAATCCCTCTGAACATACCTTTGGGTATGTATCTTGTATGTATCTGTCCTCTGAGCTGTTGCCAAGACAAACAACAGAGATTTAAAGGTAACTGATAAAGGACACCCTGTAACTCTGCAAGTGGTCATGTTTACGCACTGTTCTTCTTGTTCATTCTATTTTATTTTGCCAGACGAGTCCCATCAGGATCAGAGACGGCTTTTTCCGGGGAGACCTGGCCAAGAATGGCAGAAACACACAGTTTTAGAAATAGAACAATCACACTTACACAGTTAAGAAAGTCTGTAATAGAAGTCGACCAATGTCAGGGGAGGTTTCGACCAATCAGAATCGAGTATTTAACACAGCCTGGTGATTAATGAAAATCACTGAAGGAAAAGAGCAGATGTAGGGAGTCGGCTGTTCTGCCTTATTGAAAGTCATTTGGGAATGCTGGTCCTCTCTTAGATCTTCAGGGTCCATTTTGCAGCCTATTACCAACACCCTCCAACATATTACATCTCTCATGGAATAAATTACACACATTTACACACATGCACACACACACTGTAATTCTCCTTGTGGTAACCTTGTGGTGAAACAGTTAAGAAATGAGACGTTAACTAAGCGCGGCTGTGAAACTGTGATTTCTGATGAATCCTCAATGAAACTGAAACAACCTTGAAATTCAATGAGGAATAATATCAATCTAAAAACACGGCCTCTCTCTTTCGTCTATTACAGCAGTTTGGTGTTTATTAATGTTCAAACATAAGACACGGTTTTCAGGTTTCAGACTGTCAAGATGGACAAGAATAGGTCTGAACAGATGAAACGTGGATTAAAAATAGATGGCACGAGAGTTCGGCATTTGCATTTTCTAGTAATAACCTGCGCTCGAGGGAAAGCTACAATTTCCCCATTGTGGGCAAAAAACCTGACCTTTGACCTCGACTGAGAGTGAGGCCACTAAAGCTTAATGATGGATCACAGAGGCAGCAGTTAAAGGAACAGAACAGAGTGTTATTCGGTGAATTGCGACCCTATAAGTTCAATTAAAATGACTTGTAAAGGCACTGTTTTATGGCATAATGTGATCTTTGGTTAATTTTAAGCACATTTATTTTAATTTTGGGACCAGCTGGATCAGATTTATTCACAGCTGTTGTGGTATTAAGACAGCCTCTGGACCCTCTGGGGATCTATAAACCATGTGTGAAATGTGGAGCAAATCAATAAAAACGGGGGATTTTAAGACAGTAAAACTTGATGTTAAAAAAAGAAAACTGTGTCTTATCTGCCCTGAGAAACAAACTTCATTTTTCAGCTGCACAGCAGGGAATCAAGATTAAGGCAGAGTAAAATACTTAAGATTAAAAACTAACAGAGCACAAATTAAGTTTTTAACAATAATGAAAAAAGGATTATGATTTTTTCAAAATCTTTTTTTTGGCAGCATCAGTTAGACATCAAAACTAGATCAAGAAAAGCTCAGGCTGCCTTCATTTAACTCTGTCTCATCTGTATCTCAAGCAATAAAGCCTCAGAACAAAGGAGCTCCCATATTACAATAATGTCATAAACATCAGAGTGCGACACGGTCCCAAATCAATGAGTTTCATCAAATACTAAATATCCCTTTGGGGATGAATAAAGTTCTTGTATTGTTATTGTAGATCCCACCATCATTGGCAGGTCTATCATAACTTTCGACAAGTTTTAGACGGTTTCTCTCAGAAAGTTTGAGATTTATTGACTCATTCATTCATCAGCTTTTCATTGAAGGAAAGGATTTGCCTGTCACTCTCTTGTGCTGTAACGCGTCAACTTTACAAACTCATGCTGAGAAAAAAGCTCCACTCATCTTCCCACCCGGCCAACAAGATAGTTGAAGCTGAAGGTTGATGGACGCTATTGTCTCTTGATTGCTACAGTTCTCAAAGTTGATCCTTTCTGTTGCTGGTCCATCTCCTTGTCACCGTCCCAGTCGACTCTTGGACCTCAAACATAATTTTTCAAAAGCCTGTTTTGGTCCCCTGCAGTTTTAACCATCTGAAAACAATGTTACTTTACGCTAAAGCAAACCGATACACATCAGACACTAGGACCAAACGGCTGCTCAAACCAAAACCTGGTTCCCTTTAATGGGTTTGGACCACCCACAAGGTCTTTGATTGGCTCTGCCACAGGGCCGCTTGTTGACATCATTTTTCGCCCATTCGCCGATGTAAGTCAACAGTTGGGCGGCGTTCATTTTCCCTTCTGTAACATCACATTCATCGGAGGTTTCATTTACATCCATGTATCGGGTTTGTACTTCCATTCACCCGCTGGTCGTATTGCCTCCTCTGTTACTGTGTGTGCGAGTTGTGCTGTGTGCTCGGCTATATGTAAAGGCGGGAACTGAATTGTGGAATAAATAAAGAAATCTGAACTGAACATTGACGTCTGAATCCACATGTCACATCAGTACTCAAGTCACATGTGCCCCCCCACCTTTGAAATCAAAATTTGTTTCACGTCTTGGACACAGCTTGAGGCTTGTCCTGTCAGCCACTCTACTTTTCTGCCTCTGCTCGGGGCTTGCAGTTATTTTTAGTCACGTTTAGACAGAAATGATCAAGATTTATATTACAGTTATTTACCAACAACTTATAACGGGACTCAATTGCAAGACCACAGACAGGGTCATAAGATGGTTAAAGGGGTATATGTAGAAAACTGGCATACTGATACGTAGCAGTCATCTTGATAGGGTTTGGGTGACTCAGAGACCGAGAGGAGTTGACAGTAAAGTCACGTGTAAAGAAGCACAGGAGCAGGGGTGTCAAGGGGAATGTGGCACAGGTAGCACAGATTGAATTGAGGCAGCTGAGAGGCTGCTGTGGATACCAGAGGCTGGGCGGCATTAGGGATGGGTGAGCGAGGTGCTAGAGAGAGAGAGAAAGGAAACAAGAACGGCAGAGGAAAACACTCAACATGTGAAAAATACAGAAGAGGAGGCCACTTTACTACTAGGAGAGTCAAAATAATCTGGCAGCATGTCCCCAAAGCTTTCCTTGATACTTAAAAAGTATTAACTTCAGCCATAAACTTTGAAATTAAAAAACTCATAATAAAGCATGTGCCTGTATGAAATGTGCTGACAGTGTTTGTGATGTAAGATGAGTCTGGAGCAGAGTGCGATCACTCCGGGGTTCAGGTCCCTCGGTCACTATCATCGGCTAAAGAGAGATAGAGGACAGCTCATCTTTCAAAACCCCGTCATCCATCTCTCCCTTCTCCATCTGATCCTGTCTGTGCTCACCTCTGCCTCTCTCTCTCTCAGCTCTGCCAGGCCTCTGAGGCCAAAGACAGTTGTGTGGATTTGGGAGGGACTCCAGCCAAGCGGCCTCCTGGGTAAATTACCCTGTGCTCGCTGGCCGTTTAATGAGGTTCACAATGATTTATGTTTCTTTATGTACAGAAAACAGAATCAGGGAGCTGCATATTGGCTTGTTACTGATTAATTCCACACTCTAATTTTACCCTGGATACATTTCAATATCATATTGACTGAGCTGTGATGTCCTGGAACCCATTCCTTTCACGAGGAGGGAAATTAGAGCTCCAGCAAATTAAGTGCATGGATCCCGGTCTGAGAGTTGTTTATTCTTCTGATCCTTTTGTTAGAAGGAGAGTTTTAAGAAGAGAGGTTAAATTAACTGAATTCACATCAGTGTCAATCCGCTTCTTTTTCTCAGTCACATCATGACTCAATGCAGTATCTCCAAAACAAAATATATGGATCGCCTATAGCAGGGATGTTTCCAAGGGGTGGCCTGGGGTGGAGTCACTCAATTATCTGGTAATATGATTAGATTTCTGCTCAAAGGTCAGAGGTGGAACCAACCCTGGCCACATTTCATCTATGAAAGCTTTTGAGTCATTACTGTTGAATACTTTTAGATGTCTCTGGTAACATTTCCTCACTCTTATTTCCACCTGCTATCTGGATCAGGCAGCTGGCTAAGCAGGCAGTCTTATGTCCAGAGGAAATGACTCAGGATTATCCAACATCAGGTCTGCTCCTTTCCCTCTCAGCCGAAAACCCCAACAAGTCTATCTACACATCAGTTAATAACTTGGCGCTCCTCCTGCGGCCAGATCTTTTTGGTGTGTTTCAATTAAGCTCTACTTATTGCCCTGAGATTTGAAAAAGACTATCTCTCTCTTTCCCACAGCGAAGTCCAAGCCAGCAGGTCTATCACAGCAGAGGGAGTTTGTTGACCAGAGTTTATTATGTCTAAATCAGAGCACCAAACACTCCTTTAGGGAGATTATCGTTTCACTTTATCAGGATTTTGAGCTGATATCTGGTATCCAGTTTCTTCAATCTGGTCTCCCCAAATAATCAAAGAGCTTTAGGTTTGTCCTGTACAAATGATCTCACTCAAAACAGAAAAGTATTGTTTATTTATTTATCATTATTGCTATTATTTTACAGTAATTAATTGCATGATCTCATCGAAGAAAAATAAATATCTAGCCTGGCCTCAGTATTTATGGTATGAAGCAGTGGGAAATAACTTATAAACAATAATATTAATATCCTTTGTCCTCCTTGAAGTTTGGCGCTAAATAAAGGATAATTAGTTCCAGTAATGAAAGACAGAGTCCTCCAGGTCCAGGCTGTTCAGAAATACAGGCCCAGAAATACAGAAATAAAACACAATTTGTCACTTTGTCAAAATTAAACATGCATATATACTGTGTAACACATCGCTGAGAAATCTACAGCTAATTACAGCATTCAGGAAAACTGAAGTTTGTTAGCTTGATGCTAACACGTACAGTCAATTATTATTTACAGGCTAAAGTTGCCGTTTCAAATTTTAGTTGTTTTCTTTCCATCTCAAGTGTCTCTCTGATTGGCTGCCCTCGATTTTCTTATCTTTTCTTTCTACTATCAGAATTTAGCAGCATTAGCACTGCGTCTTTTTCCACCTAGTGGTCAGAGTTTGTTTTACAGAACAATTCCATCACAATAATTAGCGTTATGGTTTTATCACCCAGCGCTAGTTGAACAGCTGGACTTTTACTGGACTTTTAGTGGCCGTGGTTAAAAATTTGGTTTAAGCAAACTAACATAATGAGTAAAACGTGATTTGACATGAGTTCTACTCTGGTGGTGCACATCACACAAGTTGTGCGGCGTGAATTGCGTGTCAAAAACCCATGCAAATTGAGCTGCCTATTCATGCGAATGATGCAACTTTGTGGCACGTCCAACATGCTACTTGCTTCAAATTTATAAACAAATAAACAAATTAGCATAAGTAAATTACATGTAAAGTCAATACAAAGAAGTGATTAGACGTGAGTTCTACTCCAGTGACGCACATGACACGAGTTGCACGGCACGAATTGCGCGGCGCTAACCGTGCAAATTCAGCTGCCTATTCATGCAAATGATGTGACTTCATGGCACGTCCAACGCACTGCTTACCTCAAATGCCTACTCACAAGAGTTGAAAATATTTCAACTAGGATGACCTAGGAAGAGGGGGCAGAGTCATGGAGTCATGCGTAGTTAAGTTTTAGAGTTTTACGGGTCGTATCTGGTGTTTCCTACGTGCTTCTAAATCAGTAAGTCCACGTGACACAACCTCAAAACTTCCATACAAAACCCCGGACATTTGGAGGATCATATAAACTCCCCTGTACAAAGCTGTACAGCCCCCCAAAAAGAGGACATGTCCAGGTAAAAGAGGGCTTATGGTCACCCTATCTCAACTCAAGCTTCACGATAACCAATCAGTATAGAATAACCCCTGATATGTCAACAGACAGCAGAGATTCACTAATGTGGAAAAAAGAGGATTAACTGATCTTTGAGCACAAAATGATTATTTGGTTAAAGAAAACAGAGTTTCTGAAAACTTGTCATAGTTTTGTTTATAAAGCCTCACTGACTGCTCAGTGGGTTCAGCAAATCTCAAGTCAATCCCACTTCTTTACTTCAGTGTTATATTTCTCCGACTTTCACATCCTCTTTGTCTTTGCAGAGTGAACATGCTTTCAGAAGCACTTGAAACTGCTCGTGCTTTTGCTCTTATGAAGAAAATTTTGAACCACTCAAACAGAAATACAGTCATAAAATGGTTCACTTTGTTATACTGGCTGTCACAGAAGTTTCAGCGCTCATACGACAAAAATAGTCCTAAAGCTTCTGCCATTGTGTGTGATCTCGATCCAGCACTGGGACTGAGGGGGACCACAAACTTTGCAAGTATCAGGCATTAGTCACACTTCGTATCTGCCAACACCTCATATCTCACACTTTTTCACCCCCGGGACCCCTCAAACAAACACATGCTTGAATGCATATCCAACCATATACATATCTTCATGCATACATGGACACAAAACTCCCACCTGTTCTCACCACTCAAACAACGAACTCCATTTCACATCTCTGCATAACAAGCATGACTGCCAAAAAGTTCCCACAACCACATTACACTCTGTGTTATACTGCTGGCATTTGCATGAATGTGGTTGAACATGTGCTGTTTTTTTTCCACTGAAAACATGCTGAACCTTTTGCTCTGAGACATTATCACAAGTAGACATTTTGGAATTATTTCGTCTTGTTTGTGATATCCAAAAGTTTTCCCCCAGCCACCAGAGGTATTGATTTATATCACAAAGATAGACGGCTTTATTGCACCTGAGGTTAAGCGCTGTTTTCTCTCTTTAGACCCTTCGCTTGTCGTTGATGGACTGCCAAAGCCAGACAGCCTGAGACTATCTCAAACTACCACTGGAGTTTTTAGAGGTCCCTGAAAGCACACCTGAGAATTTCTTATGTTACACTGGCTGACACCTAAACTAAAGCAGACACACCTTAAAAATAAGTCATCACATCCTCTTATTGTCACGGTTCAGGCACCGAGGCTCAAATGCGGACAAAGAGACTCAAGTCAGAGCAGTTCAGTTAAACAGATATTTATTTGGTCCAAAAATGCAAACAGAAATAGGAAAACGGAACTAAGGTGGGCAGTAACAATTAACAAAAAGCGCTGTCTGAAAAACGCGAGACAGGATCAGTAATAACTAACAAAAACGCTGTCTGTAAAAACGCAAGACTGGAACAGTAATAATTAACCAAAAAGCGCTGTCTGCAAAACGCGAGACTGGAACAGTAATAATTAACAAAAGCGCTGTCTGCAAAAACGCGAGACAGGATCAGAACAATTAACAAAAAACGCTGTCTGCAAAACGCGAGACAGGGTCAGAACAAATAACAAAAAGCGCTGTCTGCAAAACGCGAGACAGGGTCGGGTACTACCAGAGCTAGCGAGAGAGTGAGTGAGCAGGCAGTCCGTGAACTCCGACTGGAGGGAGAGAGGCAGGTGGTGATGGCGTGAGGCGGCGTCCTGGACGGAGCTGGGATGAAGAGCAGGAGAGCTGGGTACGCAGACGGCAAGAGCAGGCGGAGTGGGCAAGGGATTTTCAGGTTACGGTCCAGCGTCGGGTTGTGGGAAGCGTCTGGTTTTTATGGCAGCGGGTGAATGAATGAGAGCGCTCCTCTCCCCGCCACACGGATCGATCCGCTGATTAGTAAGTGGCTGCACCTGTCCGCCCTGAAGCTGCATCACACCAACACCTGCTTAGAGAGAGGGAGAAAGAGAAGAGGGAGGGGGGAGAAGAGAAAAGAGAGGCTGCCCCTATCTGGCCCTAGAAGTAGAGGGCGTGACAGTACCCCCCCCCCTACGTGCACCTCCAGGTGCACGAAGGCGCTTCTCTGGGTGGCGGCGGTAGAGGTCGCTGACCAACGTGTGGTCCAGGATCTGGCGACGGGGAACCCAGCTGCGCTCCTCTGGCCCATATCCCTCCCAGTCGACCAAGAACTGGACCCCTCTACCCCGCCGACGGACATCCAGCAAGCGACTGACAGTGTAGACTGGCCCATCGTCCACTATCCTGGGCGGAGGAGGGGGATGGACGGGTGGGGCCAAAGGACTCTCCCGTACCGGCTTCAGCTGCGAAACATGGAACGTGGGATGAATCTTCATGGACCGGGGCAGCTTAAGCCGGACGGCAGCGGGGTTAATGACCCTCTCCACCTCGAACGGACCGACAAAGCGTGGGGCCAACTTCTTTGACTCCACCCGGAGTGGGAGATCCTTGGCCCTGAGCCAAACCTTCTGGCCCGGGGCGTAGGCAGGAGCAGGGGAACGGCGACGGTTGGCCTGTTGCTCCATTCTCAAGGAGGCCCGGCGGAGGGCGACCCGAACCTTCCTCCAAGTTCGTTTGCACCTCCTGACGAAGCTTTGCACCGAGGGTATGACAATCTCCTCTTCAGAAGCTGGAAACAGGGGGGCTGGTATCCCAGGACGCACTGGAAGGGGGACAGTCCAGAGGAAGAGTTAGACAGGGAGTTGTAAGCGTACTCCACCCAGGGGAGTTGATTGCTCCAGGTCGTAGGGTGTTCTGAGGCCACACAGCGTAGGAAAGTCTCTAGAGACTGATTGGCCCGTTCCGTCTGGCCGTTTGATTGTGGGTGGAAACCAGAAGAGAGACTGACCGTGGCCCCCAGAGCCTTACAAAACGCCCTCCACACCTCTGACGTGAACTGGGGACCACGGTCGGAGACTATGTCTGAAGGGATGCCGTGAATCCTGAAAACCTGAGAGACCAGAAGATCTGCAGTCTTAATGGCTGTGGGTAACTTGGGCAGGGGAAGGAAATGGGCAGATTTGGAGAACCGGTCGACAATGGTTAATATGGCGGTGTTGCCCTGGGAAGGAGGGAGGCCTGTGACAAAATCCACTGCAATGTGGGACCAGGGTCTCCTGGGAATGGGAAGCGGCCGCAGGAATCCGGAGCTGGGTTGATTGGACGTTTTGTTGCGGGCACAGACGGAGCAGGCCAGGGTGAACTCACGGGTGTCTGCCTCCATGGTGGGCCACCAGAACCGTTGCCGGAGGACCTCTAAGGTGCGGGCAGATCCGGGATGACAGGCGAACTTAGAGGTATGCCCCCACATGAGGACCTGCGGGCGGACGGCTTCTGGGACAAACAGGCGGTTTGGGGGACCGCCTCCAGGGTCAGGTTGCTGTTCTAGGGCCCGGAGTACTTGGGCCTCAACCTCCCAAGTGAGGGAGGCAACAATGCGAGTCTGGGGCAAGATGGGTTCTGGGTCTGGCAGGGCGTTCTCTCCGGAGAACTGACGGGACAGGGCATCAGGCTTGGTGTTCCTGGACCCGGGGCGATAAGTGATGGAGAAGTTGAAGCGGCTGAAGAAGAGGGACCAGCGGGCCTGGCGGGAATTCATCCTCCTGGCCGACCTGATGTATTCCAGGTTCTTGTGGTCTGTCCACACGATGAAAGGCTGCAGGGCACCCTCCAACAGATGCCGCCATTCCTCCAGAGCGAGCTTGACGGCCAACAGCTCGCGATCTCCGACGTCATAGTTCCTCTCTGCGGGGGTAAGACGCCGTGAGAAGAAGGCACAGGGGTGTAGTTTTTGGTCTGTCGCAGCCCGCTGGGACAGGACTGCCCCTACCCCGGTGTCCGAGGCATCCACCTCCAGGATGAACTGTCTCTCGGGATCTGGCTGGATCAGGATAGGCGCCGAAACAAAGCGTTGCTTCAGCTCAGAGAAGGCCTTGTTTGCTTCAGGGGTCCAACAAAAGATCTTGGTGGTGGAAGTGAGGGTGGTCAGGGGGGCTGCAACAGAGCTGTAATTTCGGATGAAACGGCGGTAGAAGTTTGCAAAACCAAGGAAGCGCTGAAGCTGTCTCCGGTCTTCGGGACGGGGCCACTCAGTCACTGCCTCCACCTTTAATGGGTCCATCTTGACCTCCCCGGAGGAGATGATGAATCCCAGGAAAGCCACAGTGGATGCGTGGAACTCGCATTTCTCTGCCTTGACGAAGAGGCGGTTCTGGAGGAGACGTTCGAGGACCTGGCGGACATGGCAGACGTGTTCCTCAAGGTTTCGGGAGTATATTAAGATGTCATCCAGGTAGACGAAGACGAACCGATTGAGCATGTCCCTCAAGACGTCGTTGATGAGGTTCTGGAAAACTGCGGGGGCGTTAGTGAGGCCGAAGGGCATGACCAGGTATTCAAAGTGTCCCAGGGGAGTATTGAAGGCGGTCTTCCACTCGTCGCCCTCCCGGATTCGGATGAGGTGGTAGGCATTTCTAAGATCCAGTTTGGTGAAGACAGAGGCTCCATGCAGCGGGGTGAAGGCAGAATTGATTAGGGGAAGGGGGTAAGTATTCTTAACAGTAATGTCATTGAGGCCCCGGAAGTCTATGCAGGGACGGAGGGATTTGTCCTTCTTGGAGACAAAAAAGAATCCAGCGCCGACAGGGGATGAAGAGGGGCGGATGATGCCAGCCGCCAGAGAATCGCGGATGTAGGACTCCATGGTGGCCTGTTCAGGTCTAGACAGGTTGTACAGTCTGCAACGGGGTAGTGTAGCTCCGGGAAGTAAGTCTATAGCTCAGTCGTAGGGTCTGTGTGGGGGCAGAGACAGGGCTTGATCCTTGCTAAAAACCATGGCCAGATCGTGGTACACAGAAGGTACAAGGTCCAGGTTGAGGGGTTCGGAAGGTAGGGCCCGGGGGCTGGCTCGAGTTTCAGGAGTCAGGGCAGATGTCAGGCAACGTTGGTAGCACTCCCGGCTCCAGGAACGGATCTCCCCCTGCTGCCAGTCAATGTGGGGATTATGGACCTGGAGCCAAGGGAACCCAAGAACCAAGGGTGGACTAGACTGGTCGATGAGGTGGAAGGAAATTGTCTCATGGTGGTTGCCCCCCACCACCAGGGAGACCGGAACAGTCTTATGGCGGACTTGGGCCAGGTGGAGTCCGTTCAGAGCACGAGCCTCCAGGGGCGCGTCAAGAGTTTCTGTGGGAATGCCGAGCTGGGACGCCAGGCGAGAGTCCAGGAAATTCTCTTCAGCCCCAGAATCCACCAGGGCTAGAAGAGGGATAGGCTGACGCTGCCAACACAGGGTTATGGCCACTTGGAGACGTTGTGGGGGCGAAGTAGTAGTACGGCTCACCAGCAGATCCCCCGTCACTGGCGAGCCGGACCTTTTGGCGGACGGGCGGGGCAGGAGGCAATGTAGTGACCCGGACGCCCACAATACAGGCACAGGTTTGCTGACCGACGTTGTAACTTCTCCGACTCAGTGAGGTGGGCCCGGCCGATCTGCATTGGCTCTGGGAGAGACTCCGGCGGGGGGTCCGGCTGAGTTCTGGGGCCTGGGGTACTTGGGGTTCTGGTGGGTCCTAGTACAGAGCGGGCGCTGCGTTCTCGCCTCCTTTCCCGGAGCCGGTTGTCAATCTTAATCGCTAATGCGATGAGGTGGTCTAGGTCTGGAGAGTCGTCACGAGTTGCCAGCTCGTCCTTTAGGGCCTCACCTAGCCCTTTGTAAAAGGCTCCCTGGAGCGCGCCGTCGTTCCAGGAGCTCTCTGCAGCCAGCGTCCGGAACTCCACCGCAAACTCTGCGACACTCCTTGTCCCTTGGGAGATGGCCATGAGGCGGTGGCTGGCGTTGTTACCGCTTACTGGGTGGTCAAAGACCTTCCTCATCTCTGCCACGAACGCCGCGTAGGACTCACAGGCACTGTCCTGGCGTCCCCAAACAGCCGTGCCCCACTCTCTCGCCTGTCCTGACAATAACCCAATGGTGTAAGCTATTTTTGAACGATCGGAGGCATAGGAGAGAGGCTGCATCTCAAAAACTAGTGAAACCTGAGTTAAAAAGGCCTGGCAGGATCCTAACTCCCCCTGTAACGTTCAGGTACAGGCACTACAGGTTCACGAGAGGGAGGTGGAACACTAACGCTAGCCAAGACAGGATTAGCGGCTAACGCTGAGCCTGGGGGAGCAGTCTTAGCAATTTGACCAGCCAACCCTCTTAACTGGGTGGTTAGTTCAGAGATCTGATTAAGCATAACATGATTACTACTGACCAGGGAACGCAACAATTCATCATGTTGAGCTAACACGCATTCCTGATTAGCAATAGCTTGTTGAAACGTGGTAGCGGGGGAGACTGCCTCCGCGCCAGTCTCTTTGTCTGCTGAGCTCATCTTGGCTGGACCGTACTGTCACGGTTCAGGCACCGAGGCTCAAATGCGGACAAAGAGACTCAAGTCAGAGCAGTTCAGTTAAACAGATATTTATTTGGTCCAAAAATGCAAACAGAAATAGGAAAACGGAACTAAGGTGGGCAGTAACAATTAACAAAAAGCGCTGTCTGAAAAACGCGAGACAGGATCAGTAATAACTAACAAAAACGCTGTCTGTAAAAACGCAAGACTGGAACAGTAATAATTAACCAAAAAGCGCTGTCTGCAAAACGCGAGACTGGAACAGTAATAATTAACAAAAGCGCTGTCTGCAAAAACGCGAGACAGGATCAGAACAATTAACAAAAAACGCTGTCTGCAAAACGCGAGACAGGGTCAGAACAAATAACAAAAAGCGCTGTCTGCAAAACGCGAGACAGGGTCGGGTACTACCAGAGCTAGCGAGAGAGTGAGTGAGCAGGCAGTCCGTGAACTCCGACTGGAGGGAGAGAGGCAGGTGGTGATGGCGTGAGGCGGCGTCCTGGACGGAGCTGGGATGAAGAGCAGGAGAGCTGGGTACGCAGACGGCAAGAGCAGGCGGAGTGGGCAAGGGATTTTCAGGTTACGGTCCAGCGTCGGGTTGTGGGAAGCGTCTGGTTTTTATGGCAGCGGGTGAATGAATGAGAGCGCTCCTCTCCCCGCCACACGGATCGATCCGCTGATTAGTAAGTGGCTGCACCTGTCCGCCCTGAAGCTGCATCACACCAACACCTGCTTAGAGAGAGGGAGAAAGAGAAGAGGGAGGGGGGAGAAGAGAAAAGAGAGGCTGCCCCTATCTGGCCCTAGAAGTAGAGGGCGTGACACTTATACCTCCAGCATTTGCTTTTTTTAAACCATATCTAGAAGATAGAATGTCTTTTAATTAAAAAGGCTGAAAATTATCACCAGGGCTTCAAAAACTCCTCAGTCAGCTTGACCACATATAAAGTCTCTTATTATAACTGAGTGATTGATCAAAGATAGCAAGAAAGAAGGCAACTCCTTCAGCTACCAAACATGTTACTTAAAGATAAGAACCAAAAATGCAGACTTAACTAAAAGATTTAAAAGACTAAAGTTCAAAAAGGTAAATAAAGAACTTACTTTTTAGTCCAACACAAAATTCAATTGGAAAAAACACCAAACCAAAATACTAAGAAAAAATTAAAAGTACTTAAGGTACAAAGATACAAAAAGTGACATGATGAAGACCACTAGGAAGACGAAACTCAGACACAGACAATAAACTGACCAAGAAGAAGAGGAAGCCAGAGAGACGAGCAACAAGACGCAGGTGGAACTAATGACTTATCAACAAAGAAAGGAAAACCAAGGAAGTAAAACTAAAGTGGACACACTGGAGAATAAGACAATGGAATTAAACAGGGAACACTAGGTACTCATAACATGACACACAAATGATCAAAAATAAAACAAGACACACAAACAAGGAACAGGAATGCAAGAGAAAATACACAGGAAAAAATTATACCTAAACACAGAACAAAGAAAATGTCGAGAACTCATCATGAAAGGACAGGATTTTTTACCGAGCTGTAACCAAACATTTATTTATTTCCTTCACCTGACTCTGGACGATCAGAAAAGCGTCATATACTGGATTGTTCTTTTTTGTAACCCCTGATGGGAATTTGGCACCACACTGCCAAATCATCATCCTGAAAAAACCTCACTTGTATTTACTTGAGGACACTTTGGGCCTTCCTGGGACCACGATGTTCCTCCATCATCTCAAATCTCTGTCTCCTCTCTATTCTGTAATAGGAGGACACTCCCACTGCCCATCAGCTGCTCACCTTTACAGCACCTGTGCTGGCATGTAATCATTATCACAACCCTGCCAAAAAAATCTAATTTTTGGCAGGGTTGTGAGGTATTTTTAAGCCAATCCATAGTAATATGGATTAAAAATGATAAAAACCCATATATTTGGTAGGAAAAATGTTAGTTGCCATCCAAAACACAAACAAATAAACAATTCTTCACTGGTTTTGGAGGTAACTGTTCTCAAACTGTCTTTTCTTCGCCTAAAGCTATAATCGGCTGATCAGCTGTCCCATTTACGGCTTCTTAATCCATTGTCACTGTGGCTCATTTTTAGCCTATCAGCTTTATGCTGTCTTTTTGAACATGTTTCTCTATTTCTTCTGATGATACAATGACACCCTTCACCTCCCCATCTCCACCTGGTCTCCAAAGAATCATCAGTTTCCATTCTTCATCCAGCAGCGTCAGGACTCCATGGGGGCGTGCCATCAGCCACCAACCACCAGCAGTGTCAGGACTCCACGGGGGGAGTTTCCACCTACTGCTCAGATCAGTCATCCCTCACTCTTAACAGCTCCCCGAAGAGCCACCACGCCAAAGACTTTCTGTCAAGCCACATTAATTTGATTATCGTTGTAAAAATAACCGTTTCTGTACATGTAGACATTGTTTATATGTATGAAATGACCTGGCAATGTACGTTTTTGTGCTGCAGTGTGCACACATCCTTGCAAAGGGTAAAAATCTAATAATTGTGGGAGCATTTCTGTGCAATGCCTGCAGCAAACAGGGAGCCCAGCGGGCTGCACACAGAAAGGTTTATCTGCGCAGGCCTTTCCTCTATCACCCTGCCAATAGAGACAGCAACATAGAGTTTGATGCTCCAGAGCTAGATAAGACCACAGACACACAGTGAGCCGCAATCAGACCCCATTCACTACAATGGGCTGGATGAAAAAGTTTAAGACTGGCTACCCTGACATTTCTTCCTCTTTCTGACAGGTTTGTTATTAAAGTTTCTGGCAGGATTTGGACTGCATGAAGTGTAGAGGAGATATCTTTCTCATTGTTGTGGTTGTGTTTCAGAAAATAAAGTGGGTCGACCACGTATTACAGGGTTGTTGTTTTGATCCCCACCCACATGTCAATGTGAAGTATTGCACGTCATGACTACAAAGTTGCATCTATGCTATCATCAGCATAGAAGTGGAACACAGCATTAATACATTTTGCACCAGATTTTGCACCAAAATAAACAGAAAGGGAGCTAAAATGGAGCCCTGAGGTACACCTTTAATGAAAGTTATAATATCAGAGCACAGATGATGGAGAAGGGTTTTGATCGGTGCTAATGGTCTTCCCAGATTTTTGAGATAATGAGGATTTTATAGACAGAGAGAAGCCAGTAAATAAAAAGAACTGTTGATTTTGTCTGCATGTAGCTTTCTAGCAAGGCTAACATAAAAGAGTCCACTCTTCCAAAAATCTCTAATCTCAACCCAATTTGTACTAAACAACATACCAGCTGTTTTAGTTACATTGTCCTTGCTTTGGTCTTGTAAATGAGTCCTCTGAGATTTCACTCTTGTATGGATCACTCGTATTAAACTTGTAGAAATTTTACAGCAAAGACTCCAGTTATGCAAGATTTAGAAGCATTTTAGCACCTTTAACTGATTGTTTTGGTTCAATATCACAGCCATCATTGCAGCAAAATCAACCTTCTCTCTAAACAGAGTGGCAGCCATTTCCACTGAGGCATGTACTGTAGTTTAGGGTCTTATTCTCAGCAGTAGTTTAGTGGTAGTATAAGAAATTACATCTCAGGTAATTATTTCTTAATATTCCATTTTAGCCAAACAAAAAAGGGATAAAAAGTGACCTTTTTCCTGACTCTTCCTCTCTCTTTTGAGCGAGTACAAGTGTTGGCTGCATTCAGTATGTGAGGAATCCAGTCCTGTGTTTCACCAACCATGTCAGGCACTTAAATCACAGAGGGCCTGGATTCCCCACGGCCCCTCCAGCCTGTCACCATGAATGTAAAGACAGGCTTTATCTTCTTAGACTTGAATATGACCATGAATAATGTAGAGGCAGGTAGAGCTGGTGTTGAAGAGAAATCACAGAGGCGTTACAGATTCCACGCCTCTTTTAAATGAAGTCTGCGGCACGCTGCCACTGAGTCAACAAATCTTATTACTGCCATCATCTCAAAATGAAAGTGGAATACAGTAATCAAAAATCAACAAAAACATCATGAGCTGGGAGATTTCAGACACATGATGGATGAGGCATGAAGCAGATTCATAAAAGAAGAATAAGAGGATAAGAGGAGGAGGAGAAGAAGAAGAAGAAGAAGAAGAAGAAGAAGAAGAAGATCTGGTCTAGGTCACCTCTTCTATCTGAATCCAGTTCTGATAATGAAAGGGAACAAAGATGTTGTTGTGAATGGGATTTTGTGTGTTTTTTACACAGTTATTGTCTGTGTCAGCACACAAACACACTTTTTGCTTATCTGGCAAGAAATTAACTGAGTCACAGAGCTCTGAGACAATAGCAGGCAGGGATCGTTGAGCCGATCGCAGCACCTCGGCAACAGTCAGACCATTTCGCTCCAGCAGACCACTTAATAGCTTTGGCTGATGCAGAGTTTGGAAATCCATCAGTCAACTGAGCCAGGCTGATATGAAGAGCACGCTCAGCCACACAAGCAGTGGGTGAGGAAACACTGGACCTGGTCTTCATCTTGAGTTCAGGTCATTTAATGTCAGGACCCTGAACTCAGAAAAACAATTATGGGATTAAACTGTGAAAACAAACAACAGCAAAATCATTACATCTGAAATAATGAGCAGAGCTCCAACTTACAGACTGTGAGCTATTATCACATCAGGATATATGATTATAACACAAAAAAGGTGTTTTTCCACTTTGTAAGGTGTAAAATGTGCTGTGTGTTTTCATCTTTGTTATTTCTGAAATTAGAAAGATTTTCCTTATGTTCATGGTAACAGGACACTTATTTTGTGATATTTTCTGAGAAGAAGCTGAAGATTTTATTTCCTGTGGATCAACAAGAATGAAATCTTCAATTTTTGATGAGACAGGCTTTTTAAAGTAGTACTCTGGTAAATGATTACCGCCCTTTCACCTCAGCTTCAATGCAAGTGTGTTTGTCTTGTTTCTGCCCATTTGAGCAGACGTTTTCTGATAGGTGGAACAAGCAAGAGAGGGAGAGGACAGAATTTTCTCCTTTTTTGGGGGGGGGTTTGTAGACAGGCTGGGCATGCATATTATTGTTAGAAAACCATTCTAAATTTTGAATAATATGGTCCTTTTAATGTCTTTGCAAATGACACAGCAGAAGCTTTCTGCTTCTCAACATCTGTCAGCCATGTCAGATGGCTCTGTGCCTGTTTCTGTTTTCACATAATGTCAAGTACATTTACGTTTGTTCCAGCAGCTGATGTCAAACTTGTCTGATTCCTGGCAGAGAGTCGACAGTTTAAATCAAATTATGAGTAAATAAGTTTATATCTTCTGTGTAGCAGACAGATGGAGTGATAGATTAATCTTGTAACTCTCCTTGAATAACTGTACGAGTTAGAAAGAGCTATGCTAACTTAATTTAAAGGTATAATGTTTCTAGACCAGGTGTCAACAGCCGAAATGGACCACTTTATATTTGAGACATACTGCCACTAATAACGTTGATGACCTCAGGTTGAGCAATCAGCTCTGATGATGGTCTTGGGCCATATGAGAGAATCTGTATTCATTGTGTTGGTTTCAAACAATGAATAATTTATATTTAGCTTGAAGCTGCTGCTGGTCTGCTCTGGAGGAACGACTGCCGCAGAGACAGAGGGCTGAGAGGAAAGACACAAGACTGTTAAAGGCAAAAGAAAGACTTGTCTCTTACTGTTGTGTCCAGTGGATTAAAGACACGGTAAAACTTTTCAGTGACTATTTTCAAAGTAAGTAATTCTTCAGTTTGTCCTCAGACTTTGTTTTTCACCTCTCTGTCTAACTCTTAAGCACAGTAGAGGTGTAACCTAAATGTGAAAAAAGCTCTGTTATTATTCTCACTGAAAGCTGGTGCTTGAGTGTAACTTGAATGTGAGATACAGTCAGCAGTTCGCTCTAAAAGCTGTGACTTTATATGTCATTTGCTTAATGTTCTCCAGCTGTGAACAGATGTGACTGTGTGGAGAAAGTTTTGTGTGAAAGTAAACTGTAAAAACTGTTGCTCAAATCCAACTATTTAGACATTTTCAACTTTATTTTCAGAAGTGCACATTAATCGGCTGCTTTTATCACATTGAAATTCTCTAACACGTAGAAAATGACATGAAATTTTCCCTGTAGATAGTGAAATACAAACATTCTCACTTGGATAAGAACTATCTTGGTTTCTGCTCCACTACGGCTCAAATGCTCAGGCCTTGGTCAGAAACTAGGAGCTCTAGATGAGTGCTGTGCTCCTGAGTGTTGGAGGGCTCTGACGTGTATTTTCGGTACACTCTAAAGACAGGACAAAAAAATGACCTGCTTTACAAAATAATACTTAACAAGCAGTACTAAAGAACTTTTCACTGTGTTTAAAAGAAGATTTTTACATGAACTTGTGGACTCTTTTTTGCTCATTTGAAGCCATTAGCTCTGAAAGAAACCTGCCACTTCTGTCATTCCTGTGCTGCAAATAACTTGATGTTAAGTGGTTTCTTTATTTGCAGTTACAAAGGAACTGAATCACAGCAAAATCCTTTAGCACTGCCAGCTACATGCAGCTGTGTCTATTTTCAGCATTTCTGCTTCTGTATTATTCCCTCTTGCTTCTATCTTTTTTGGTTCAGAACATTGTTTGTTTGTGCCTAAAGTACCTGGCATAACGGACATGCACAGGTGTGAGAAGGTAAAGTGATTCAGCATAAAAAGCCTCCTGCTCGCTGACATCCTCCACCCAAAGAGGTATTTTATTTTTATTCTATAATGCATTTTGAATTTGATGCAAGAAAAATGTTCCTCAAAAGTTAGGACAGGGAGGAAGTAAAAACAATGACAGATTAATATAATGATTAAAAATACTTAAAGGGAACATCTCTGAACTACTAAGGTTAACTTGCAATAGGTGAGTAACAAGATTCAGTATTAAAAGGCCATTTTGGACAGGCTGAGTCCCTCAGGGTAAAAATGGGAAGAGGTTCACCACTCTGTGAAGGACTGCATGAGAAAATAGTTCTGAAACAGTAAAGTCCTCTGGGCTTGAGTCTGTTTAAGATGGACTGAGGTGAAATGGAAAACTGTCTTAAGGGCAAAGTACCATCTTGCTTATCATTGGCACTTCGCTCAAAAGCCAGAATCCATGATGGTGTTGCCACCCAGATAATACCTTTACGGGGCAGATCTTTGCTTTTATATCTCAGATATTACATTATATCTCAGATTTATAATCTCAGATAAACTGCAGATAAAACAAGTTATGATCTGACCTGCCCAGTGCTGGTAAGGCAGTAGCTCTGTAAGCTTCTTTGACGTTGGCGTACAGCAGAGTTTTCTGTTCTCTGATAGGAAAGTCAACAAACAGTGTAAATCCAGTCAGATGAGAGAAGAGGATCACATGGTTGAAGTCTCCTGATATTATTACAAGTGCCTTGGGATGTTGAGTCTGTATCCTAGCAACAGTATCATGGACAACATCACACAGAACTCCAGCCGTTGTCTGGTGTTCCTAGTGTTCTTTTGTGTGTTCATGTTCTGCATGTTTTAATTCTTTTATTGGCTATGTAGCACTTTGGTCAACTTATTTTATTTTTTCTAAATGTGCAATAAAAGTAAGTGGACCTCATCAGTTTGGATGCAGTTGAATAATTTGCAAATAATCTTATTTTTTATTTTTTAAACATTTGACACACTGTCTAAGCTTTTTGGAATCGGGGTCATAGATCATATTTCTTGGTTTAAAAAAAATCTGGACATGTTTTATGGTTGAGAGTATTTAGTGACAGAGGAGAATAATTGCTGTCAGACTGACATAAGAGTTGATTTTGAAGCCCTAAAGGAAGGAATATTCAGCAGCAGTAAAAAACAAAACAAAACAAAAAAAAACCCTTCAGATATGAGGCTGGTGTCATGAAATTACCTGAAAAAAATCTCTATCTTAACACATCTAAAAGCTTCTGGTTTGTTTGATTTAATAGATGCCTCAGGTCCTTCTGTAGTTCAGGCAGATTTATACTGGACTAGTATTGGTCTGCCAAGCAGAACAGCTTTTGATTTTAATGGGCAGATTTCATCCTGGATGAAATTTTCTTCTAAAAAAGTGTTTTTTCGTATTCTGTGATCAGCCCAACACTACATGAGGTGGATATTTTTTAAGGTAATCACAATTGGTCTCCTTTGGCTCATGTGATGGACTGTGCAGCTTCAAGAGACAGGGTGGTCTGCATGATTAAAAGGTTTACAAAGTCAGTGAACAGAGAGGGTTTTCATTGTTTTCCTTGGTCAGTTGGTCCAGCTAAACCTTTCCAGAGGGGTTTTTCACCTTCATGAAAAATGTTTTTGCAGAGAAACAGCAGAGCTGCACACTAAGGATTAAGAGACTTCATTTTGTTGTTTTGAAGGAATCAAACTGAAACTCTGCACTGAGGATATTTCTGAAAACTAAAGCCGTCATGCACTGTTTCATTTCTAGCTTCCTCCTCTCTCTTTCCTCATTGTTACCTCAGCGCTGCTGTCAGGAATCATTTCAACTTTTCATTTATTTATTTCCTTTTCTATTTTGTTGGAGGATTGGAGGCAGGTGCTGCCAAACTTCATTCTGTCTGTGATGCTCTCTTGTGTATGTTTATGTGTTTGTGAAAGTAAGAAAAGGTTTGGCATGATCTCAGAGAAAAGGACATGTGGCTGTAGGCTGTTATGCGAGGTGCACTGGCTCCCAGCACTCATAAATAACCAGAGGAAAAAGTCTTTGCCAGGCTGTACTTCAGGAGAGCTGTTCTGCAGCCAAGACTATCATCTGTGACTGTGGCATGAAATTGTTCCTCTGACATATTCAACAAGGCAGATACAATGGATAATTCTGTATACATTTTACAGATGATTATTTACTGTTGTACGTATCATTTTCAAATGTAGCTGCTCTTGTGCTGAACAACTACTTTATTGACTCTCACTCCCAAACTTCATCAAAGTTTCTTTGAGACAAAAATTAATTACAGTGATTGATTGTTCTGGTGTACACACTTCTTGTTGGACTTTGTTCAGTCTTTTCTGCATTATTCAGCATGTAAACAAAGAGTCACTTCTCATTTTGGAAATGTTTTTTCTGGTCACAAACACTGAACCGTCTACCCATTAAAAACAGGAGGTACTTGAATTGTTGTCAGAGCCTGAATTTATTCCTCAGACCATTTTGGTCTTTGTTATTCTGTATTTGATGGGATCCATTTGTTATGTCTGGGCATCTGCTCTGCAGTGTGGAGCCTGTGCCAGCTTTCAGACAGGCGTCTGCTTCTGGCTCTGGGTTGTTGGTGCCTTGAGCGAATGAAAGCATGACAGTGCCTGTCATGTCTTCAATGTGTCAGCGGGGACTCATTAACTAAACAAATCTGTGCCATCGGCCCGCAGTCCAGCAAGAGATCCAACCCCAGAGACCCACAGGATAGTAAACAAAAATTAAAATGGTTAAAAAAACAAACTCTTTACTTACAGAGATTGGATTTTATTTGGTCCTTCTAGTCTGGTCCGAGTGTGATGTGACCTCTGTTCAGACAAAATGTGAGAGTCAACAGATGGGAACAGAAACTCTCAGTCCGATTACAGCTGCCTCATCGAGCTTGAACAAACTCTTGTGCAATGACTCGCCCCTTAATTTGGGTTTATTAGTTTAAACAGTCTTTAAACTATTATGTTGAGTCTTCAAGTGGGCTAAAACCAGCTGGAATGTACTGACTAGTGGATTTTATGGCATGAGATTTAATTTTGAAATCAAGTGGGTATGAAAATATGCATGCTAACAAGCAATTGGGGCCATTTATCCTGATAGATCATAAGATGGAGTAAATCTCATATTGAAATGTACCGGGCCTGTGTGTTCTGTAAGCGAGTACAACAGAGGAATCCCCTTTTTGACACTACTCGAGATAATGCGGTCAGATTGCATTTTCGATACAAAAAGGTTGCTTATAGCAGCACCAAAAAGTAAAAAATGGACAGCTCAGTTGCAACATCTGTGAGCTAGTTCAGGCAGGCAACTTGAGCTGCAATAATTTCCTATTTTCCATTCCTGATTCTCACAGTCACCAGACAAACTTACCCTGACAATTTTGCAGCTTATTTATGTTGTGAGATGTCAGGTCTGGTACTACTCTTATCTGTGACTGCAAAAATATGTTTTGACACAACACAACATGGCTGAAGGTCATTAGAGGGGAGTTAAGAGCTGCTCAACATACTCTAAGTGTTACCATTGGATACTTTCAGGAGGCAACCTGGAGCCACAGATCCAGGACATTTATTATTTCACCCACTTGTCAGTCCTAAGACTACTAATTTGTTTGTACTAAGAGAAGGAGTTGGCTGGTTTACATCAGTCCCTGAAGTACAGTGTGTGTTTCATTACTGCTCTCATTATTGAGCCAAAGTGTACCTGGCATTAGTCCTCTAAAAATACCATTTCTCCTCTGTAATATGGACCAAAGACAACCAGAGAAGAACATTTTGTCCAAACATGCATTTTCAACTCCCTATAACAACCTCTGCTCTCAGTATGAAGTAAATAATAGGTTTCCAGCTTTCAGTAAAAGGAATGAGGCTCTTCATCTCACAGATAAGACTACAGTCTGATGCACGGCAGCAGAAAAGCAGTGTGGAGTCGGTGTGTCTGTTCCTCCCTGGGCTGCTGTTTTCCTGCTTCGCAACCAGGCGAGATGAATGAGCTCAGATGTTTCAGGTGTTGAATTTCCTTTTTCTATTACAGGGTGAGCTTGTTGATTTTCTCTGGTTAGTCTGTGTTCATGCATGGGGTCAATGGATCAGTGTTTGAGGGAGGGCACTTTATATTGAAGACTCATCCCTGACCTGCACTGCTGTCCTGAAAGTTTATTTTACCTGGTACAAAAATTAAAGTAAATCTCTTGGTGTTCAATCCTATGCACATGTTCACACATTACTTACTTTCCATCCTGCACATTTGTTGGAAAACTCAAAATTCAAATCACATGTTGGTATGTTCTGTAGATTTAAATCAGAGAACTGTAATCGAAGAACTTCCTTATCCCGTATCTTGCAGTTCTGTAATAGTGTTTAATTGATGAAGAAGAATAAATGGGACACTTTTATGTTTCAGGGTAAAGTTATATCCTTTTTTCATGGTTAATTTTCATGTTTAATGGAGGATTGGAAATGGAGCTACAGTCTGCATGTGCCCTACTTTCATGTGTAATCTCAAACCTGAACATGCACACTACAGTCAGAGACAGATTACAAAATCCCATCACCGTGCTGGAATTTTCTCCTCATATATCCAGACCATTAATAATCATCACATATTTGTTACTTCAGGCTCGCAATAAGTCCTTTAAAGGGATGCTCATAATATGTGGAGGAATGAAATATCTCGGCATATGTGCAGAGGAAATTGGTGTTTTGGCTGTGATGAATGGATGCTGCTGATGTTGTTTTGTGTGGGCTTCTTTCATCCTGCACTGACTTTACAAAAGAGCCTTTACATGTGCTAATTCAGTGTGAAAACTGTGAGGTTCTCTGTAACATATAGTATGGTAATGCTCTCTATTCTTCCAAACAGTGCAAGAAGCTGTCAATAGTTGTGTTGTTGAAAAAAAAAAAAACCCTGTATGTTATTAAAAACGCTCTGTGCCAAGTTTAAAGATAGACTTAAAAAAGCTATTATATGATATGGGATGTAACAACTGAATGTGTTTAAATGAGCGCAAAAAACTTATGTTTTTGGTTAACGTGAAGCGAGCCTTATATATCTGCATAGAGCAGGTCCTCTTCCATGTAGGCCGACCCATTGCACCGTCATGTTTACGCTGTTAGTTGGAGGACAAAGAGGAAGTGTTTGTTGTGGGTTAAAGACTTCTATTTTTGATAGTCAAAATTCAACAAATGGAGGATCTTATGCTCCGTTGCTGTTGTACTCGGAAGTCGGACTTTCCGACTCGGAAAGTCGGATGATCCTCACCAACCTCGACTTGACGGCAACGTCACAATCCAAGATGGTGGCGCAGTGCATCAACAGTAAAGAGTTAAAGTGAAAGCTCTCATGATGTATTATTTATTTAGCACTTCTGTTTTGTTTTTGTAAAATTAAATCAGTGGTGTATGTTGTACTGCCCAACGTCTAACTGTGAACATGGTGCTATGGTGTTTGTAAGAGTAAAATTCTGTGTTATGCGTTGTTTACAACTGCAATGGCTAACAACAACTAACAACTGCTTACAACAGCAAATGACAGCTGTTATTGTAAACAACAGCTAACAACAGGTAACTGTGTCCATCTTGGTTTCCCGACTTGTTACCACTTGTTGACCTGTTAACAACTGGGTTGACGCCGTCAATGTCCAGCTGGGAATGTAATGTCATTCCCAGCTCTGACATCCGACTTTCGAGGTAACTGGATCACAGCAACACTTATCATAAATCATAGAGGCTTTTTGTCCTTGACGGCCACCGTTGTTTTACAACAGAAACGTGAGCGGGGGTGCATTTCAGTCTCAGATTGGAATACACAATTCTAACTGTACACATTTCAGTAGATTGTATAAGATAGTTATAGGAGAAATCACAGCAGATGCCATGAGTCATTGAGCTTTTTCCAAATAGTGGAATTCTGTCGTTTTCATGCCTTTTTCATCTTATTATGACATTCTGAAGATATCTGAAGTATGAACAGGTTTGTATTTCTCTTCCAGCGGATCACCTCAGCTAACCTCCGGATTGTTGGCAGCAGCTTTAATCAAAGCGGTCCACTTAAAGTGCTTGTTGGCACTCACATTGTTATCTTTAAGAGTCTGACAACATAACGGAGAGGATCTCCCCCCGCTGACTCTGGCTCATGTTTCAATCAATAATCTGATTAACAGGCCCAATCAGTGGACCTACTTTCAGTGGGCCTAAATGCTTGAAAGGAGCTTGTTTTTCAGCAGCCGTTTGAGGTGAAACATTGGAACAATTACTACTGAGTCATTTAGGCTGTAAAAGTGCATATTTATGAATCCCCCTTTCATTCCAAAGAGACATCAACTTATTAAAAGCCTGTTACTTGCAAAACTTTGATGCAAATAGTCATTATCACTCAGATGTTGCTTTAGATTAGTGGGAATTTCAAAGGTTTCCTGTCCAATATTGATCGAAGGAATGAAATAGGAGCAGACCACCGAGGCAATGAGGAGAAGGAGCAAATTCTCTAAATCCAAAATCTTTTTAAAAGCTGCTGTTTTAATTGTATCAGGAACCCCTCACACACCAAACTGCCTTGGTTCATGTGACTAGATGAGGAGGACCTTAAAGACTTGGCTGAGTTAGACCCCAGCTAATCAGAGCTTTCACTTTTTGTTTCTTTGCAAAGGTCGACTTTCCTTCTAAACTGACACCATTTGTATTAATTCATTATGACAAACGTCTGCACATAAATCTATCTTGGTCCCAGACCAATCTGTCCAGCAAACATGGGGTCTTTCAATTCAACTGAGAGGAAAGAAGATGGGAGCATGAGGTGAGAGTATCTGTGTAAACCACTCCCAGACTTGACTGACCTCTTGCGAAGTTTCTGGCCCTGAAACGAAAGATTTATGTTTGCTGAAATAAAAAGTATTCAGAGGTGAACATGAGGGAAGTTTGTGAGAGGAAAAAAGAAAAGATTCTGTTCACTGTAGTCTGATGTTTGCATTATAATTAATGAGAACAGTACGCTCCTCTAAAAATCCAGTTTCCACTCTAAATGTTTCCTGCTGTTCAGAGATGAGTTTTACGTTTTATCTCCTATAATTAGACTCCCTGGGTCCTCCTCTTAACAGAGACAAAAGCTTTAAAGTCCTCTTCTCTCCCATGATGCTCTGATTTTTATAGTTTCATCTCATTAATTTAAACGCGCTCTGATGTAGTACTTCTCTCTAAACCATAATCATCGTTAATAACAACAACTTTGAAATGATTCACTGCACATTTTCTCACTTTAAAGACACTGTCAGTCTCTCAGTTTGTACCTTTGACCACTTCCTTGTTTGGAGTCAGGACCTGACAGCTCTGCTCTACTGTGGACCATTATTCACTGTGACAATGAAGCCACAGGTAATGAACAACTGTGTTCTTGTATAGCTGTGAAGCTGGGCCTGTCCTAATTGGAGATAAAGATAGGTTATTGATCAGTGGTCCTAAACCTAAACCATTAGCACTCTGCCTGAATTCCTGTTGTGGGACAGATAGGATGGTCATGGTGCTGAGGCTGCAAGAAGAAAGAAGGACGGAGAGGATAAATTGGACAGGTCTGCTCGTCAGCAGCAAAAAGTTAATTATGTCCACACGTTCCAGATTGTTTCACAAAGCAGGCAACATCACAAAACAGATAAAGAGGAGGTAAACAGGAGCAGAATGGAGAGTTTGCAGCTAAACTAGCTCTAGTTAAAGGTGGGGTAGGCAGGATCTGAGGAAGTGCCAGTTTTTGGGAGAAATCTTGAATGTAAACTCTACCCCTCCCTCCCAACCAGTTTTCCCCTCAGCTCCTCCTCTCCCCTCCCTCTCTGCTCCAGCAAGCCCCGCCCACAAACAGACACTCCTGCTCGCTCGTATCGTTTCAATTAAATTTAGAGATAAGGTACTTGGATGAACTAAGAAGACACCAGGGAATGTGTCCTGCAAATCCTACAATATAACACTTATGAATTTTGGAGAGGAAAACATGGAGACTAAATACAAGCAAGGTAATCAAACACAGGTGGGACAAACAGGACACAGGTGAAACTAATCAGGACAGGCCACACACTCAATCAGATGGAAAAAAACAAAACAAAACAGTAAGACCAGAACAGACACAGTGGGAGCACGAGTGAAAACTAAAACTGGAGACGCAAAGGGTTGGGGAATCAAATGACTACAAACACATGCCGTGCATCTTTCCTACAAGCTAAAGTGCTGTCTCCTCTGGCAATTCTTTAATATGCTTCATTTTAATCTACAGGCATGCAATCCTCTCGTGAAAAACACAAACTAAACAAAAAGAGATGGATCATTTTATATTCAAAATATTCACATGGAAACATAACATACTTTATTTATTGCTGTGATGTTTTCTGTTTAGTGTAAGGGGTTTTACCCATGCCGTGCCATTTCCGAAGTGTTACAACAACAGTAGAGGGCGCTTTGCTTTGGTATCATACATACAACAGTTACAAAGCTGTAGAGTTTTACACACAACCTATTTGCATCTTTCTAGCTTCATGACCAATTGTTTTGGTAAGTGAGGTAATAAGCCAATTGGGAGCCAATCCAATGGTATGGTGTAAATCTGATGACTTACCCATAACTCCTGGGGCTCCTCTGGCTCATTGTCCTCTCCTTCAATCAGCATTTGAAAGCCCCCTGTCTTGGTTCCCCTGTCGATTATTCAGTCAGAGTCTCTACCGAGCCCTGGAGCTGTTTCTGGCTCATATTATAGCAGCAACACTTGGGAGGAAGTGTTTTTTCTTTTGTACATGTGAAATAGAGAGCTGTGACCCTTATTAACCACTCCACTCTGTGTCCTTGAACTTCAGATAAATTCAATATCTAGGGTTCAAGAGTAAGCTGAAGGGGCTTGGTAAGTATTTAGCTGTGTTTCTTTGTTCACTGTGTACAGGTGGACTGTCCAGATTTTTATGCTAGATACATTTTTTTTTTGCTGTCAACCCTTCTGCTACACTCCTGATATTGGTGTTATTGTTTCCCCATGAGGAGGTCTTTCTTTTAGATCTGAGAGGAGCTGATTCTCATCTATGTTCGCCCCAAGAGCCCCACCTCTCCTACGGTCGTCTGTACAAAGGTTTCAAACAGCTCCAGCTTGCCTCTGCTTATGAACTCTTATTTTCTTAATTCCTGGCTCCTCATCTATCTAAAATGACTTTAAACAGCCACACTTGTTAAATCACGATTAAAAAAATGCACACATCTTTCCCTTGTTGCGCCAATCTGATGAAAATGATCGCTCTTTTCATGCTGGCGAACACTCAACTAAAAGCAATCTGTTGTTCGGTTTGAAGTCCAACAGTCCCGAGATCTAAGGAAACAAACCTGAAAGGACAAGCTGTGACTTTTTTACTATTACTACTGTGTTATTGCCCAACAATCTTGGGTTTACAAAAGTCTGGAAATTACAGAGAGAAGTGTTTGACGTCTTTTCTCAAGGGCTGAAAATCATATGACATGCTCTGTGATGATAACAGGCTACATGCATGGGCACAATAGAGATTAAAGGAGATTGTATGAGAAGGGTAGGTGGTGAAAAAAGAAAAAAGGAAGAGAGGGATAGAGAGGATAAGACTCGGTAACAGAAAGAGGGGGTGGTGATAAACATCAAACATGAAAAAACAGGAGGGAGATAAAAGGAGAATCACTGGAGATGTTCCTTGAGAAAGATTAGGTCCCATTCACACTAACTTACTCGCTGTGATCACTCAGCAGCACTGGCACTGAGTAAATTCAAGTTAAGGGTCAATTTACTAGAAATATGGTAGAAATGCAGATGACACTCTAAGAAAAGAGAGACTATACTTTGCTGCGGGAGCATGCTGGATATTTGGTGAGGAAAACAAGTGTAGCAGTGAAACTTTGTAGCTGCTTTTCTCCTTTATTAAAGAACGATGATGAACTTTATATAAATATATCTTGTATCATGCTGAAATGACAACAAATGACCAACTATTATACTGGTGCAAGCAGGTTAGAGAAAAAAAAAAAGATGGTTGCTGAACGAGCTTCACAGTTTCACAGAATCTGCACATTGTGGACTGAAAGCAATGACAGTCGTTATGCGGGAGCACAGAGTGAACCCACTGGAACACCCTTAACCCAGGGATTCCACAGGATCCAGAACGGCTTCGCTCCACTCCAGACCGGCAGGCGGATTAAATACTTAAGCATATAGTGCCCACCGGATCCGATCCACCGCCACCATCAGAGGAGAAGCGCTCACGAGATTACCAATATTTCCTGCAAGACTGGACGAGATCTCACAAGATCGTGCATGTTTCCCCGTGAGACATTGAATGCCGATCGTTGTATATAAACGGCGGTGTATATAAACGGCGGTGTATATAAACACACACATCCCACAACCCTGGCCTCTCCTATTATCAAGTGAAGAACAGTTCAACGTATTGACTTCTCTGTAGCCGCATACAACTTCCGCTGCTGCTCATGCTGCGGCATCCGGCAAAAATAGAAGCCTTGCATATTTATTATAATGCTTGCGTATTTGATTCACCTGGCGTGTCAGAGCGGAGTGGAGCCATTCCGGATCCTGTGGGTTTTAGCCACAAAGTGACTACATCCTTAATGCTGGTACGAGTTATATTCTTGATTGTACTACAGATAGTGGCATTATAGTGCATGCCACTATCTGCACAATGCGAGCACTTGTATTTTTGCCCCATACTGTTAACAAAGCTAACCAACATAGATCAGAACCCAAATCAAAGTCACCACAATAAAATCTATTTGCAACTTGAGCAAAATCAATCACACCACTTCCTTTGGTCACTTTGTAGAGTACCAGATTTCCTCATGCTAATTCTCCAAATGCTAGCTAGCAGCTGCATGCTAGCTGGAGCTAACAATAATTCATGGCAAACAGGGTATGACTGGGAGAATGATGCTAACTTACAGTGTCTCCTCTTCCTCTTCCTCATCTTCATCATCAACTTCATTATTCTCCTTATGGTAATACATAGTGTCTACCATGTTATCAAACTGGAATTGGAATTAGCAGTCACAACACAGCAGATATAAAAAAAATTCAAGTAGTGATTTTTGTAATTTGCTAATTGTTTTTTTTACGAAATTGATTTGACACTTACTGTTTGCTTGAGGCTGGAAAATGTCGGTATAATGAGTGTTTATGGAGTCCAACAGACAACGGTACAGAACCAGTCAATCTTTAGGTTAAATCGTCCTCTCCTCTGGCATGTGTGTCTGCAGGTCTGCATCAGCTCTTGCCCTCTATCTCTGTTAGCTAATTGGACCCTGTCCTCCCTCTGGCCTTCTGGGACTCAGACGTAATTAAAGCAGAGAGACAGGAAGTGTCAAGTTCAGGACTGCTAACCACACCCTGTTAATTGGTTGAGGGGTGGAGGGCAGTTCAGAAAGGGGAAGGATTGGTCAAATTTCGATGCCTCGGTGGTTGCTTCGATCAAATGTGTCTGCTCTTGAACATTACATGTGGAGGAAAGTGATGGTAATGACGCTCGAGTGTGTCTGATGCATCACCACCAGTGAATAAGCATGCTGAGCCTTAAGCAAAAGACATGATGTGGGTTTAAATGAGCTAATATGACATTCAGGATCAGGATGGTGATATTCTCACACATTTAAGATATTCCAGCCTAATTAAAACTTGGGTCCTGTGGTTTTTTTACATTTAGCCATCATTTCTGTCAGTTATTATATAATGAAAAACAGGATGTGACACATTTAAAGCATATTTCAGGATGAGCTTCACAATGCGAGAAATTGGGTCTTCTTTTAACAAACATTTAATCTCCAAGAGGATTATTAAAAATTGTGTCCCCTATATCAGAAAATAGCTTTTAAACTCAACGCATTTTGTAGGACAAATGAACAAATGACACCCTCTGTTCTTCAGCCCTTTGTATGAATAAGAAAAAACTCACTCAAATGTATTCTTTACAAAGAGAAGCTGGTAACATATAATGAAAACACTACTATAACCTGACATTTCCTATTCACTATTGTGCCACATAACTGCAGCCACACCTGTTGCTCCTGCCTCTTCATTCTTAACGATGGAAAGAGATGTTTGTCAATCCTCTCTGTGCTCAGCTTGGTGTAATTTCACTGCGACAGACAGAGTCAGGGCCTGGATGTTAACTCCCAGCACATACATATTTAACATTAACATGACAATACACTCATACCCTGGTAGCCCCAGGCGATCGTTTTATTTATAACCTTCATTATGCTATCTTGTCATGGTGACTTCTGTTGTGTTGTGTCAGTTATTGACTTGAAGATTACAATGTTTATCCACATCCTGTCTCCTAGAAATTATGTTTTTGTATGCCTAAACTGCAGTGCTGTGACAGCGTAATCACAGCTTGGGTTGTATTCACAGACAGTAGATTTTAGACTGAATTTATGTGCCTCACCTGTTTCACAGACGATTTGTTTGGGATTGATGGCTGGCTGAAAATATGCAGAACTGTCAAGGCAAAGTCAGGTGTTTGGTGGCGCCAGATACCATGACCACATAGATACAAAACACAGCTGCTAAAATCAGCAGCCTTCTTACTGCCAGTGATCTGTTGTCCCGTAGAGACAGATTTTTGTGTCATCTTGATGGGGATTTCAATCGTTGTGATGAAAAGAAATGACTTAGCTGACCCCTGTTGTTGTATTGATAAGATTTAACATCTAGGTGACCTCCAGACTTAGACTGATATTGGGATAGATTCAGAGAGAATTTAAAGGCTCTTATTATGTTCTCAGTGTGAAACCCTCACATCAATATTCATGCTAGGAGGAAACCCTTAGAGACTGGCTGGCCTCCGTGTAGTTTAATCGAATTTACCAATTGCTGCCACCAACAAAACACCAATCTCTTTCTTCCCTCTCTGGAAAATAAGCGACCTCAACTTGAGGCCACAGCGAAACTTTCACTGACTTGAATTTATTTCTTCAATTATCCAGCAACACATCACAACAGTCAGACTGGTAAGGATAGGTTAATGAGGAGAGGCTCTGTCTAACTATCATTGTAGTCAAAGAGTTAATGAAACATCAAGCATCAAGAATAAATTTTTGTCCCTATCAAGACGGAGGAATTGGCTCATTTCTTTGCCAATAGTTTGATCAGAAAGTTGATCTTGATCTTACCATTGGAGGGTAGATATGAAGTTACAGCTGGAAGAGTTAGCTTAGCATGGAGTCTGAAACGAGTGATCTGACCCTGTGCGAAAGCAACCCCAAATAAAAACCTGTTTTATTGTTTTTACACATTTCCTGTGACAAATATGTTGATAGATGAGCTATAAAGCTGCTGTGGTGAAATTTTGATTTGAGTTGATATTGGCGCCCCCTGTGGAAAAAGTGATTCTTTTTTTTAATTCTTAATAAATGATTTTTTCCTTTTTTTATTGATAGGATAGGGTGAAATGTGGGGAGATAAAAAGAGGAGGGAGGACCTGCAGCACATGATCGGGGCTGGACTCGGACCCCGCGACCGCTGTGGGGACCATGGTTCCCATACACAGGGTGTGCCAAAGGGGTTCTTGTAACCTTTGTACTGTCAGGTGAAAAGCGGTACTTTTAGACAGAAACTGTGTCTGGTTGTCTTTTCAAAGCAAACTTTATCATTTGACTTGAGTATTTTACGTGAAAAAAGTCAAAATAGAGGTTTTATTTATGTATTTTTTTTTTTTTAATCAGCTGGCTGTTAATCATCTGGTCTGATAGCTCCCAGCCCTCTCAGAGCAGTAAAATTATCAGTCTTCTTGCTGATGGTGTCATTTAATTTTGAGGGTCATAAAGAGACATCAGTATAAGTGTCAGTCTGTTTTCAACCAGTTAAAATCTCCTCATGGGGTCTTTAAAAATGCAGCAAAGTCTAGCTACACTCAGGCAACAGACAGCTTGGCTAAGCACTAAGACTTGAAATGAGAGAGTTTCCACCCTTTCCTCAGCCAGGTTAAAGGGATATTCCGGCATAAAATTAAGTTAGGGTCAAACACACCGTAGCACCGAGTTAGACACCCTCTCAAGAGATTAATGTTGTCGACCACTTACTTCTCTTGTTATACCAACTTTAGTAACGACCGCACGATAGCAATACGCAGCTGTCTCAGGAGCCACACGCTCACCTCAACTAAAACGCCACTCTAGAGCCATAAATAATGCTCAGAACAGCACCTAACTTCATCAACAGTGCATATAGGGTCCCAGCCACAGTACTAGCCACCACACATCTTTTTAGCTTTGCCTGATTTCTTTAGCAAAGAGACTAAACACAACTCACCTACTCTCTTCCAGCAGCCGCTTGTTTGTAGGGAGATCTTGGATGAGTCCATCACTGACTGCAGCGGGGTGACGCAGCTCAAGGAAGAACATTTATGATCATTTCTTCATGGAAATGCAATCAGACCGAGACGCTAAGGCAGAAGAACTACGGTGTCTGCAGTGCAAATTGATAAATATGATGATTGTTACTTCAAGGAAATGATAAAGTAATTATCATAAATGTTCTTCCTTGAGCTCCGTAACTTGGTGTCACGGTGTTTGACCCTAACTTAATTTTAGTTGTTATCTATATAAAATTCTCACAATGTTCCTCTGACTCTTGAATACAAATGCAACTAAATCGCAATTCCAAAAGTTTCAAAATAACTCTTAAAGTTGTGATTTTCATACCACACCCTCACTTAGCAAGATGAATGAAACATCTTGTATCTAAATAGGAAGTGCAAACAGTTCAACACGCCGCTGTCTTTTGTCTACTCTCCAAATGTGCTTCTCTGCAGGGGGTGTCATACATTGTCTGCTAAATACAGAAGCACAGAAACATGATCCCGAGTGTTTTTCACGCTCAGTGAAGAAGTTGTGAAGATCCCGGGGAAAGACAGAAACCCAACTGTGAGGTAGATTTCACATGTGCAGGTACAAAAAGGTGGCTCCATTTGATCTACAGCACATTCAAAGAGAATATGTATGAAACTAGGATACTCATCTTTTCATATATTCCCTGTTTTAGAATCAAGTTGGCTCTCATGGAGGAATGTTTGAAACAATGATGAGAGCCCACCAGGAGAGTCTGATAAAGAGATTTATTCATCAGTCTGGCTGTGGGTTAGATTAAAGAGATGATCAGCTAGTCCATAAAATCAGGATGAAATAAGATGGTTCAAGTCTATGCCTTTAAAAAAAAAAAACATGTTCTTGTGACGCTTTTTATGGTGGTATAATAATTTCCCCTATTTCTAAAGGAGGTGAAAATGTTCTGACAGGAATCCCTATTTCACCCTCCAGTTTCCTTTCAAGCTGAGATCTGTAATGTTGTTGATGCACTGTGCAATCTATAACACTCACAGAGGGTCTCCTGCATCCATTAGGCATTATGTCAAATTAGCATTTCACAAAATGAATTTTCTGACTAAGCAAGCCATCAGAGGCATACTGTAGTGTGAAAACTGAAAAACGCACACGTCACCCCGTAGGGTAATGAAAATAAAATGCACACATCTTTTATTCATTCCTGTTGGTGACGCAGGTGATTAAATTCAGTCTGGAAACCATAAAAATTATTTATGACCGCCTATTTTCCAGAAGAAGCACGAATAGCGAGCAAGAGAGAAAGAGGGTAGTGTTTACATATCTGCACGACCACCAAAGGGCCAACTCAGCCAACGCATGAAGCACATCTAGCTCCCCAAGTGGGAGATTTTAAACCTCTTTTCTTTTTTGTTTTGGGTAAAAATAGACCATCTAAGGCTACAGAATATCATGCAGAATAAAAGAAGCTGTGATCTTCTTAGTGCTTGCTTTCAGAATGCCTTCCTGTTAAAACAGCCAAATCCCACCTGGCTTCATTCAGCAACAGTAACATAGGATCAATAACAGTGTTTAAATTTGGCCTCATCAACACTTTGGCAGCGTGCAGTGACTTAATTACGCTCTCAGTGAATATTTATCTTCTATCTTCACACCTTTAAAGATACTCCTGTGGTACAAATTATCACTCAAGTACTGCAGTTACATAGAATGTCAATGTCATTTATCCCACTGACTATCCCCCAGTGCATGCATTCACACTATGACAGCACCAACTGCATCGCTTGTGCACTTTGTAAATATTTCCTTTATACTTTTTAAAATATTTTTGTATCCTTATTTTATTGTATTCTTCTTAGTACTCATTGCGTGTTATCTGTACTTCTTTGGGTCGAGCTGTCCTTCTCATCCAGGGCATTGTTGACTGTATTTAAACTGAATATGACAAATAAACCAATCTTAAATCTTGATCTCTAGTGTTTATGTTCAGTTGAGTATTTCCATTTCATAGGACTTAACGGTGACGGAAGCACTTTCATATCAAGATCCTTGTAATAAGCATGAACTCATAATTAATAAGCTACTTGTACAATGCCAATTAGCATTAATAAATGTTAATAAGCTGCAAAGGGGCATTGTTGGCTGTTAATAAGTGCAACTTAAAGGGTTTATTCATTCTTTAAAGCATTTATCTCAGTCTTTTATGGTCTTATTCATGTCACATGACATCTACTGAGGATTTTAATAAAGGCTCATACAGTGATGTCTTTGTAAGTAACTCCCTTATTAAATTTTTAAAGCTGTCTAAAGGCTGTAAATGGTAATACATTCCTTGTAAGTGTGCTACACATATATATTATGTTTTTTATCTTTAATTAACCTTTAGAAAGTCTGAAAAATGCCCATGAACTGTTAATTTGTGACAAAATTACTTTCCCTTGTCAAGAGTGTAAGTTTCTGTTTTTGGATGGATGGATGGATGGATGGAAAGCTAGTTGAATTTTTCATCCCACCAGTATGTGACATCATTTTAATCCTTTTGAGTTAAACCCATTTAAAATGAATGGAAACTCTTTCAGAACTGGTGTTTCCTTCATAAAAGACCTGATTAACACAGAGTTAGAGGCTGATTGAGGAAAAGAGCAAACAAGGTTAAATACCTGAGAGTAAACTTCTTCATAAAGGCTCTTATTTCTTATTTGAATGCTGAGCTCCCCTGCTAGTTTCAAGCGCTCTTGATTATCTATTTGATGCCCCAAGGCATTCTGAGTTAACACAGTCTGAACATTATAAATGTGCAATTGTTCAAGGTCAAAATGTTAATATTATTATTCAAAAACTCCACTCTAATTTAATATTGAACTCTACTCTGGGTTACATTGTCTCTTGGTACATAAAAAATGCCTTGCAGTTTCCATTATAAGACAATGTGGAGAACTCTCCAACTTCATTCATACATCAGGTTTTTTCCTTGAAGGGGTCCAATATGTTCTGTTGGCTTGACTTATAGTGTCTGCTGTGGAAATGGGTGTAAACTTGTAATAACTCTCTCCACAACATTGCTTTTGCAGATGAAGATATCAACATAAGTGAGCAGTGTATGCCTCATTTATTTTCTCTAATTACTTCAAAGATGTTTAAAAGATCAGTGGTGAGGATACTTTGTTGATAGATGCACCATGAATCGATGCTAAACTCATTTTTTTTACTTCAGGATGTGTTTGACATTCTGTTTATTCCTGATAGTTGTTTTCAGAGGAAAGGGACAGTAATTCAAAGATATAGGTATCAGTTGGCAAGTAACATTTTTGGACAAAGTAAGAAAAAAAACGAACTTGGACTGGTCTGTTTTTTCACTCTTCAAGGCCTTGGGGCCATTTTCACTATCACTGCAGTATTGGTCCATGGTGTGTAATTAAAAGTGCAGCACAATTTCATCTAACAGCCATTTTGCTACCTCAATAATAATATGATCTCCCCTGTTGAAACATTTTTGATTAGATGAGCCATATATCCTCTAAGCTAATTTGTTGGACAAATATGATCAACATTTCCAATATGAGCAGCTGAGTTTTCGGCTGCCAAAATGTCTGCTTTTAATGTCTGTTGAGTCTACAAAAGCTTCTCCCATGATAAAACTAAAGGTGCAAACTAGCTAAACACACAGAGCATGAGCTGAGCCCCTCAGGAGGCATGATGTTAAATCAGCTTGGGAGGAGAGAACACGTTTGGTTAACATGTGTTACTCTGGTGCTTGGAGAGATGTTTCCCAGGGTAGAAAACAGCTCAGTGTTATTAGGCACGGAGCCAACCAGACGTTGGTGGTGGAGCTCAGGGACAATTTGGGTGAAAGAGTTTGTTCACCAGCCTGCATCTGACTTCTGTGAAGGATGAGACCACCTTCATAGTGCACACATGAGCTATGTGCAGTAGATGTACGTTTTCTCCAAAATGAGTTGAGCAAAGTCATGTTTCGAAATTATTTTTCAAGTTTTAGGCCAACAAAAATTAACATTTTGAACAAAATTCCAAGTGAATACAAGAAGGGCATAGATATGAATAAACACATTTATTCAGAGTGTAAATGCTGTTTTCACGGCCTCAATCTTTATGCACAGTCACAAAAATAGAGCAGTTACTCCTCCTGCAATCATGGACTAAACTAGGCTAAGGGATGCTAATGAGGTCTGGGACAAACAACACTGCTGTGGCAAATGAGGGTGTATTCAGACAGTGGCATGTGCTTGGAAAAGACAATAAATTTACTTTTTTTTTCAAGAAACCTAAAATGATCATTTGTAGGTTTAACTTTGGTATTTCAAACACTCACTCACACATACTAAGAGGAGTTACCAAAACACTCTCTACTGGTGCCAATACTGGAGCCATAAACAAACCTCAACCAAAACGCCACTCTATAGCCACAAATAATGCTCAGAACAGCACCTAACTTCATCAACTATAGTACTAGCCACCTCTCAACATCTTTTTAACTTTGCCTGATTTCTTTAGTAAAGAGACTAAACACAACTCACCCACTCTCTTTCAGAAGCCACTTCTTTGTAGCAAGATGAAGACCTCAGGCCAGTCCATTACGGACTACAGCTCAAGGAAGAACGTTTATGATAATTTCTTCATGGAAATGCAATCAGACCGAGACACTAATGCAGAAGAACTACTGCATCTGCAGTGCAAAATGATAAATATGGTGATTATTACTTCAAGGAAATGATAAAGTAATGATCATAAATGTTCTTCCTTGAGCTGTGTCACCCCGTGTGTGACACCCCTGTGTCAACCAGTCCGTAACAGACTGGTTCGAGATCTCGCTACAAACTAGCGGCTGCTGGAAGAAAGTAAGTGAGTTGGTGGCTACTACAATGGCTAGGACCCTATATGTACTGTTGATGAAGTTTGGTGCTGTTCTGAGCATTATTTATGGCTATAGAGTGCCGTTTTGGTTGAGGTTTGTTTATGGCTCCTCAAACCGCTGTGTATTGCTATTGTGCGGTTGTTGCTAAAGTTGGTATAACGAGAGAAACAAGCAGTCGGCAACATTCATCTCTCAAGGGGGTGTCTAACTCATTGTTAAGGTGTGTTTGACCCTTAATCAATTTTACACCGGAATATCCCTTTAAGCGCTGTTACCTATTTTTGAGCAGGATCACAGCATGAAAAATAATAAGTATATAATAGAAGATGTGATTTTTATATCTCGTGCTCTGATGCATCCTGATTTCTCTAGAGATGGAATTAAGTCTTACTCACTCACAAGCTTGTCACAGATGACATTCTTGCATCCATCATAATAGTTGGCTGCTGAGTGGCCTTAAAGCAGCCATGGTTCACTAAAGGTCTATCAACCCCGTGACAGCCATTTACCTCTACCCTATACTGATCTAGACCTGCTCCTCTCAGATCAATGAGCAGCGGACATTGTTGAATTGCCTTAAGGATGGAGGGACTATTAAGAGTGTTGACAAAATTATAGAGAGGTAGAAAGAGAGACAGACTGCTCGATATCTTCTTTGTTTTGAGCTTGCAGAGGCTCCAGGGAGAATTGTGCCGGTACAGCTGCATTAAAGTATAGCCAAATGCAGGGTGAGATAAGAGTGTAGAGAGATTTGTTGGCGTTGGAAAAAATCTCCCTTTTAAATGAGGGAGCGTTAAGCTGGGTTTTCTAACAACTCTGAAATAACAATGGCCGTGGGGAGGAGAGGTAGGATAATGAAATGTGAAAATTGGAGTCACCGAGCAGTTGGAGGCGGTTTGTACTGCAGACGCTGTTACTTTCGGGGAATCAAACATGCAAAGCTGTAGTTATGGATCATTCAGAGGTGCCTTGAAGGTAAAAGACGACGTGTTTATGGCAGGTTAAAACCTGAATTGAGTTTCTTAGGCTTTAGGCTGCTCTTCCTGTCTTAATGTGGTCGGATCTTTGATGAATTTATCAGTGGCTGTAGAGGGATGAAAAGAGGCTAGGCGGGTACATTGTATTTGCAAATATTCTTGCTGATAAATTTGTCAAGATTTTAAATACTCTTTCAATTTTATTCGCTGTAAGTAGAAACAATTTCTCTTGTGTTTTTGTTTGATAGCATCAAAGAGCAACAATGCCTATGAAATAAAATCTCCTGTCAAAATTTTAACCTGAAGCTACCATAAACAAATGAAAAAGTGAGAGCGTGGTTAAAAGTACAGGAAAGAGAGGTGCTGGTAAAGACATTATTATTTTTGTTGTGTATTTCTTTCTTTCTTTTATTATTATAATTATTGTTGTTATAATTATTATTATTATTATTATTGTTGTTGTTATTATTATTATTGTTTTATTTATTATTATCATTATTATTATTATTATTAAGTTTTATTTTATTTTTATTATTATTTTTTTATTTATTTATTTATTTTTCATTATTACTGTTATTGTTGTGATAGTTATATTAAAATGCTTTGGCAATATTGTCGTTGCAGTCATGCTAATACAGCTTATTGAGATTTGAATCGAGAAATTGAGTAAAATTGGTAAATAAGGAGTTATTTTGTGATTGTTTTGACCTGTAAAGGTATGGTCAAGGGCCAAACTTCCTCATCACAGCTGAAAAATGAGCAGGCAATAAAACTTGTAACAAGATCTGTGCTGATATAGAAAAGCATACAGCTACTTTTTCCACACTAAATATCCAGAGGAATTACACTCATACCCACACACGCGGTGGGTACTGTGTGATACTCTTAAAATCACCTGAGATGTTATCTGGTGTGTGGTCAGCATAAGGTACCTGATAATGTACTTTTACCTTGATATTTGTATCTCTTATGAACTTTGACTGTATCCCCACTAAGCGACTTCTTCTCAACTCCCCTTGCAGAATCTTTAACCATGTGAAACAGAAGCTGCAGGATATCTCAAAACTAACAGCAGAGCCATCATCTAATTTATTCCAGGAGGATAGATTTCATGGAGGAGCACTGAAAACCCTGTGCATTTTCTTTATGACATTCACCTCTTTTCAGGTGACCTGACGAGAGCTAAGGTGAATCCCTAAACAGATCTCCACTTGCTCAGTCTCATTGTCAGAAAAGCAAAAGATTCTTTCCTGTGAAATTTGCTCTCATTAAAGTAGTCACCTCTTCCCTCATTAGAGTGTGAGAGTACGGGGGATGTAGAGTCTTGAACCTCCTTTGTCATGGCTCAATCTGTCCCGTCTTCCTCCAAAAAGACTTTTCTCTCTGCTGTGTTTTGGGACTATGCAGCAGGGGAGCTTGGATGAATGAAGCCTGGATGACATATGTAATATAAGGAGTTTTTGCTAGCGGGTATAGATGTTGGGAGCTGGCAAAGGGATACCAGCTGACAAGTGAATCTCTCCAAGGAGTCATGGTATTCACACTGAACATTATTTACAAGTGCATGGTTCAAAAACAGGGGGAAGAGATATATGTAATTTGACTGAGGCAGTAAGGCATGTTCATGGTTTGTTTGGCACTAAATAAGTTAATAATTTTCACTTAGCTACTTTTGAATTCAGCCACTCATGCACTTGATCATGCGCTCATGTAGCCTGGCTGGGCCATCCAGTTGCGTGAATCACTTGCCGTTCCTTCCCACAACAGTCTGGACTTCGACCAATTGGGAGCGTGTATTAGAAATCAGAAAATAACTGGGCCAATCAGTGACTGTGTTTCCACTGTTCCCCGGACAACAGGGAAAGGCAGCCCCTGATTGGTCCATGTGTAGATGATGACGTCTAACACATGCTGCAGGACTTTTCAAAGCGCTGTTCATTCAGAACGCCGTTAATTCTGCAGTTGACTTTGCAAAGTCAGCAGAAATCGTTTATATCCGCAGAAGAAGACGTAAAAGACATTGTTTGCTCGCACACGTTGAAATATTACCAAACCTTTACTTGATGCTTGAGAGCCCAGCAGGGAACACAGTTGCACACTGTGATGATGTCAGATGTTTGGTTACGGTGATTGGTTACAGTGGTCTGTCTATCAAGGAAAGTACTCCCGCCCACTTTTAGGGCTCTCAATTGGCCCAAATCCAGACTGTTGTGGGAAGGAACGGCAAGTGATTCACACAACTGGATGGCCCAGCCAGGCTAGCACTCATGCACTCTTTACCCCTCACACACACAACCTCTCCCTCTATTCCTCTCTTCCCTTTCCCTTCCCACCCACTGACGTACTTGCGCTACATCACTTAATCAACCAAGGTGCTTCTTTCACATGAAAATTTCATGCAACAGAGATAATTTCAGCCTCTACTTCATTTGTTTACATTTTGCTCCTATGTTTGTATTTTTGCTCTAATGGTTTTATGATTGTATTGTACTGTATTGAATTTTTGGCTTGGAAACGGACTTGGGTACTAATTTTGTACTACAAACCGTAAAAGGTGTAGGGTATGACAATAAAGTTCCTTGAATCCTTGAATCCTGAATCCTTGATGTGATATTGAAACACCCTCAGGAGCAATTGTTTGGATTTTTATGTTGTAGGAAGGTTTCAGAAATGTTTGTGTTGCAGTTGGAGGGACATTTTTACATCAGAATTTAGCGCATAAATTTGGTTACCCACAACAGCTGTGCTGCAGAGCCCTGTCATTGCACATTCACACTTCTGGTGACAATGTTGATCAGTTTTTTTTATTTTTCCTGTCTGACTGCGGATGGTCTGAGATGCTTTGATACATCTGTGCATTAAAACCAAGCAACAACAAAGTTTTGAAAAGGAGCCGGACTTTGTAGTAGGTTTCACGTCTGATTAGATTTTAAACTTCTAATGATTAAGGTTAGCAAATGTTTCCAAATAGACCGCTCTCGAGACAGCTTTGGAGGGCTATCAGCAACTTTATTAAAAATAGTACCGCAGAAAGGAGACAGGAAACGCAGACATCTCCTGATTACAGAAATTCAGAGGTTAGCGGGGGTTCATAGTACTCGACCAACTCTAAGTAGGAGTGTGAGGGCTGCCAAAGTCTGAATATTGAGCTCGTTAGAATGAATGAAAGGAGTTTTACTATTTTCTATTCAGAAAATCAGATCAAAGTCTCTTTTTTTCATCTGAGGCCGCTTCAAAATGTGGAATTCATTTAATCCATTTTTCTGCTCTCCCAGTGGAAATTAGATGCAAATAAGGCAACAATAATATAAACCGAGTCAATTTATCATTCTGCTGTGATTCATATTGTGTAGTGTCGTTTGTTACTGCTTATAAATAGCATAAAAAATGGCAGAACTGGTTTTATTTGGACAAATAGGATTTTATGATTTCCCCTGAAATGTGAACTTTATTTTTGATAAGCTGTTTACTTAAACGATGGAATAAGTGAGGATGTAAAATGACAGCAGAAATGAAAATGAAAGTTGTTTGGATAAATATGTCAAAGGAGCGCTGAAGTAAAACAAATGCTACCACTTTCCTGCTCATTGTATCTTATAAAATGACAGAAAATGCTGCATTAATGGAGCTGTTTAAGAGGGAGAGAACTCCTGCTGAAGCGCACACTGTGCTTGCAGATATTCCAGACTGAATCATCCTTAAAGTTGTTCAATAAATTTCCTCTCAATATACGGAGAAGTCATGAATACCTCTATGTTTTGGTTTCCACTTGTGTCTGTCAGATTACTCTCTTGTCCTGTCTTCCAGGAGTCGATCAGCACATAAGTGGGATTTTCACTTGTAACAGAACCAGCTCAGTGCAGTAAAACTCTGGGTGTCAGCAGAATCTGCTGCGAACTTGGCAGCCTGTGGCTTTTGGATCATTTCATTGCACTCTCTGGCACCTGATTGATGGAGCTGTTTGTTCCTAATCACTTCGGAGATAAAGCACCACGCAAAGATTGTTGAAAATGGATCATAAGACTCTGCAGCATAAGGAGCAGGAGCTTCACTTGTGTTCGGGACATAACTTCAGATAGTCTTACAGCCTCCAAGTCCCTACCTGTGTCTCGCTTTTATCGAACAATGGTCATTTTAGCCCGCCTCTCAATTTCAGATATCTGTTTGCCAGCAGCCTCATTTGGTTTGGTCAGCTTGTTCAGCTTTCTGATCTATCGACGGTTTACAAAAGCTGAACAATCAGATTTAAAGGGAGACCGATCTAATTCAGCGTGGAAATCAATTTTATTGAAGCTGGTATCTGTTCTGTTGCAGAGTTTGTGTGATTCAATATGAAAAAGAGCTGCCTATCGAGAAATGTTAACAATCCTAACTTAGTGCAAGGAAGGCAGATTGAAGACTGAGAGAAGAGAGAGGGGGAAAAGGAAGACGAGGACAGAAGAAAATGAGGGTTGTGTTTGTTTTCTTTTCTTTATTTAAACAATTGAATGTCATTACCCTTACTTGTTGACACAAGAAATACTGGCTGGTTAGATGAATTACTGTTATTAATGTAGGCCTGAAATGCAGGTCACATCTTGCTAGAGCTGTAGTGCAGTCACCTGTCACTAGCTATTGCTTACGGCTATTGCCCTAATGCTATAATGGTACTCTTTGAATGCAAACAAGCACAGATGACAGACGGCATCTTACAGTGTGGCCTGGTTTGACAATATTTTGATTCAGAAAATAGAGATAAAGTCGTGCATAGACTGTGTCTGGTTTAGTATGGTGCATAATAAGCATAGTCATGTGGATGTTATCCTGCAAGGAGGAACTGAAGCCTGTGCTACTGGCTCTGCTAACCTTAGCCAGGTTGGAACCTAACCCTTGGTAGGTAAGACAGACTGACCAAGTGATCGAGGAAAAGATTCACCTGAAACATCAGGCCACCCGTTGGCTCTTCTCTCTTTTAAATGTGAAAACCCCAGCCTAAAATGCAGGACATCTCCCTTCTTCCTGTGAGTCCATCTGTTAAAGTAAATGATGTGCTGTGGTTACAAGGGGGGGCAGTATTAGTGCTACTATCACCTTCATTGCACAGTTGCCTCTTATATGAACAAAGTGTTGCTGAGGTTTTCCTTGTTTTTGGCATTTTTCTCCTCCCAACAGTGCCAGGAGAAACAATTGGAAGTAGCACAACACATGCTGTGATGGATTACAGAGAGGATAAAGTACACTACATCTACGGACCTGTGTCCACTGCCTCTGTTGTAAACATACTCTACTGTGTGCTGGGATATCTGGCATCTAGGTTCTTTTGCTCATAACCCTAAACTAGAAATATTGGGGATTACACTTTTATAAAACTACATCTTTGGCCACCAAGATATAGATTTACCAATCTACTGCTCTTTCTTTGTAAACACATTATGGGCCACATCTTTCTCCAAAGACAGTGAGATGTTGAATACTGTCTCTACAAGGACATCATTGGTGAAATACTTAAGCTGTGGTTTGGTGGTTTGGCCTGAGAAAAAGAAGCAGCTTCCACTCAGACTGTTTGTTTGAAAAGCCGCCATGTCTCCAGTCTCTAAGAGGAAGGATGCTTTCTGGGTTGTTGATGTTAGCTTGAAGATGAACAGGGACGCAAACTCTCGCACAACACAAAATTGGCTGAAAAAACAAACCATCCTGATGAAGCCGAGGATGCAAACAAATTCTGAATAGTGTGGCTGAAGCTCTGTTGGTGTGGGGTGATCCATGCCCTCAGGGTTTGTCTAGCACTGAATGTAGAAGATCTCTAAATGCTTCACTGCATGAGATTGGATTTCTGTTTTCCTGGGGGAACTAAAAGCACCATAGAGGTGTTATTTGTGGAATCAGAGCTTCACCAGATTAGTGGCACTGAAATATGGAGGAACCTGAAGGCAGCTGGGTAATTTTCCATTTACCTGAGAGTGTTTTTCTGGGTATCACGTGGAATTCGTCCTGTGTTTGCTGTAAACATTCTCGCTCTCTGACAGACTCTGTCTGTGTAGAAACTCTGCCATAAACACAGAGGAAGCTCTATCTGATATGTCATACATAGCAGTGAAGAAGGCTCTACTGTGTGAGCTCAAAAGAAGCTCTGTACCTGAGTGTTTACCGCTCTGAGCTTGGCCAGAATCAGAGTCCTGCTGTTTGGATAACTTTGTGTATTTTCATGCATTCAGCACATCACACTGACCAAAAGTCGTCTTGTCGACAGGAATGTGGTCAGCATTTACAGGGAAGTGATTTATCACCGGTGTAACATTTCAAGAAGAGAGCAAAACAGCTTTCATTTGAGACTTTAGTGTATTTCTCTGTTTCTCTGGACCTTAAAGTCAGCAGTATGTCAGTACTAGAGTCACATGATGGTGTCAGCAGCAGAAAATAAGTATCTGCTTTGTGATTGTGAAACTAACTTCAGCCTGACCTGCAGTCTACATAATGCCATTGCAGACCTCAGGGAGATGTTTATGGCACAGGGTGGGATTTGAATATTTTATGTCGTGTTTTTGAAGGTGACATTTTTGTTTGTTTCTGACATTTTCACACTTTATAATACAAAAGAATAAAAAAATGTTTCAGTTGACACCGATTCACTAATTTCAACGGATTTCTCCTTATAATTTAGAAAATTTGAATATTTTTTTCAGTTTTAGTGTCCTGTTTAAAGTTGGCTCTGTTCTGTTGTCTCAAGTCTGAGTCGTGCTTCAATTATAGATTCATGGTTATGCTGATAAAAAGTATTTCTATTCAATTATTTTCCAGCAGCTAACTTTGAAATATCAGTTGTTTGAAGTACAGCAGCTCAAAAACCCTCTCAAACGGTTCATTGTCTTTGATTTATCACTGGTGTAGCATTTCAAGAAGAGAGCAAAACAGCTTTCATTTGAGACTTTAGTGTATTTCTCTATTTCTCTGGACCTTAAAGTCAGCAGTATGTCTGTACTAGAGTCACATGATGGTGTCAGCAGCAGAAAATAAGTATCTAGTTTGTGATTGTGAAACTAACTTCAGTCTGACCTACAGTCTGCATAATGCAGTGGTTCTCAATCCAGTCCTCGAGCCCCCACTGTCCTGCATGTTTTGGATGTTTCCCTGCTCCAACACACCTGATTCAAATGATCAGCTCGTTATCAAGCTCTGTAATGGCCTAATAACGAGCTCATCATATGAATCAGGTGTGTTGGAGCAGGGAAACATCCAAAACATGCAGGACAGTCGGGCCTCGAGGACTGGATTGAGAACCACTGGCATAATGCCATGCAGATCTTTACTCTACAGTATGGTTGAAAAGGATTTGTGTGTCACATTGAACTGCTAGAGCTGGGAGTGAGGGCGTGGGGTAGGGAGGCAGTGGTTATTTTTTGTTGTGCATGATGTTATTTTCAATATTTATACATTTTCCAAGACACTGTTTCAAGCTGAAGGTATTATTTTTAAATTTTAGCAACAAAAGCATCCATTGAAGGACGTAAAGTCCAACAGTTTCCGTCAGGCCTCATTTCCTCACCTCTCATGGTCATGTGAGTCCTCACAGCCTGGTCTCCATGTGAACTCTCATTTGCATTCCAGTTCCCTCTCTGCCTGTGGCTCTGCTTCCAAACACCGTCCCCAGTGAGGTTTTGCTGTCTGGATTTCACCGCGTCCCTCATTGATTTGTCCTCATCCATGAGCTGCAGGGGACCTCCTCCTGGGTCAGTCCCTCTTTAGACTGCAGGCTGAAGGTCTCCGACAGTTCAAGTGGCTCCTTTGGTTATTTCCTCAGCCTGGGTGAATAAAGAACAGTGTGAGGACATGAAATTATTATTTCACTGTACAAGGACAAACTGTCAATATCTTCCTCTGTGCTCTTGGCCTTTTGGCAAGACCTTCACAGGCCCAGTGGGAAGTAAGATGGAGAGAGAAAACAGCAACATCAAAACCCTCATGGCAGGTTCTCCTTTGGTGCCAAACTGCGATAAAAATACAGCACACTTCTGTTGGACTTGTATTCAATTAGATGAATTATATCTGACTTAAATAAAGCTAAAAATAATCCAACATGTCCCAGAGGACAGAGAAAAGCTAACCGACAATGACACACAGCAAGAATCTGTCGTTTCCCTCCTTTTGTCCCACCTCGCTGCTCTCCTGCAGTCAGTCTGTTTCTCTTTCTTTTATTTCACCACATTGAGCTTTCACATCAAAGTGGCCCGACTATGGCCTCCTGCAGGTGAGAGGCGCCCGTGGGAGCTGAGTCATCGCCACAGCTTGTCACGTATATCATCTCACCAGCTCTTTGATGGATGTGCTCTCCACCTCTCTCATGTCTTTTACTGTGACAATGAGTGCTAACAGAACAGAATATGATCATGCAGTTTGCTCTCTAATTTTCAGCGTGTCTGTGAAAGTCTTTACCGAGCAGACCTCAGGGTCTCTGCTCCCCGAGGAGCATCACAGCAGAGGTGGACAGCTCCCACTGCGCTGCAGCTCTGGGGAAGATTAAGTCGCTGTCAGCAGCCTGTCTCTCTCCCAGATGTCAACTGATGCCAACTGTTGTGTACCTTCAGTACAAATCCCACAGTGCTGTCAGGGAGAGCTCATCTCACTATTTTCTGTGCCACTGATTTCTGTGCTCCACCAGACACCAAAGGAAGGTGTGAATATATTTACTGACCTCTAAATACTGACGCTGTGTTGTGCTTTTCAGTATGAATAAATCAGCACTGTTTAGTTTGCTCTGAAAGAATTAATCACTGAAGTCCAGAAATCAGATGAATATTCATGTATATTAGATGTCATATAACTTTGACAAAGTGAGGGGGTCATATAAAGAGTCAAAGGAGCAATGGTGTGATAAAGACCCAGAGAATAGAGATACTGTAAACCAATCTACTGGGGTTGGGCATCTTAGATATAAATTGGGTGACCATATTCTAAATCTTCAAAAAGAGGACATGACTACGCCGGGGCATCTCGATAGAATGTCTCCGTTCTGATATATTAAAGATACGATTCACACCCAAATCACGATACAGAGCTGCTCTTTGGGCTTTTCTCGGTGACTATTCTCTCTATCTTCTAACTTTGTTGTAGAGGGCTGTCCGAAATCCACCACGAAATTCGCCTCACAAAACCATCCTGTAGGAATTGGCGGAAGACAAAAATCACAGCCGTTCCGTAGTGGAGCTGTTTGTGCTTCCTACCTACTCAGCCGCCGAAATAACCGTTGTTCTACGCTACACGCAACATTTTTGTTCTCATTCATGAAACTGTGAAATTGGGGACATTTCTGGGGACAGCTTTAGCCGGGGATAGGTCATCCAACATGGGGACTGTTTCTGGAAATCGAGGACATATGGTCACCTTATACTCAGCTGCTCTACCGGTGCACCCGCATCGTGCATGCGCATGACCCTGTATCCATAGGTATCAGTTAATCCTCTCATCCTTACCATCTACACAAGGTGCTGTATGAATGTTTCTGGCCTGGTTCCATCAGCAGCTCACATCATTGTGCTGAACATGAGGAAATTAACAGGATCAGCTGACAGCTCCAGGTTTATGGTGAGTTTGGGCTTTTTTGGGTAATATATCTTTTGCCGGTGTTAGACAGATAGTCAGAGAAATTTCACAGATAGAAACTAACACAAGAGAGAGAGAGAGCAGATGCTCCAGAAGATGCTCCAGAAGAGCATCTGCATTAATTTCTCACCTTTTTGTAAAACTTCAGCCACAGTTGAGCAATGATTCACTGAAACCACTCAGCTCTGCATCATTGACAGGAATGATATATGCTTTTAGAAGCAATTAAACTTTTGATTTATTCTCCTAAATGAAACTCAGGTTAAGTCTTTTCTAAAGGCTTTTATAAACCTTTTTAAATAAGGTGAATTTAGCCCTGCGCTCATTGACTCATTTGTTTGAATCCAATTACAAATGTGTCACAGGATCTTATAACTAATGCTAGCAAGATGTTAAGAGTCATTCACAAGGAACAGGTAGTTTCCTTTTATTGTACTGAAAAACCAAACTCTGACAGATTCAAGAGACCGAGCTGGGGAGATTCTTGGCATCAAGGGGGATGTCATCTGCTGGGTTTTTGTACTTCATAAAAGCGAGGGTCATTTCATAAAAGCTAGGGCCATTTGAACACAATCGAGAGGTCAGAGGATACGGCCTGACACAGAATGAGACGACCCCTTTGTCAATCCATCTCTCGTCCCAGGCTCCCAAGCTGGCCTTTCATGCTACCAAAGAAACAGCACCTTTTCTTAAGACGCAGGAAGTCCCCAAAGAGTCTGATTTCTCCCGTTTTCTGTTTCTACAAGTGGCAGAAGTTGGTCCAAAAAGTCATCCACAAGGCAGGGAGGAATGAGGACTAATTGTTTACCACAGGTACAGAGTGCAATACCAGCAGTCTGTTTTATCCAGCCCCCATTGAGATTCCATATGCTTGGTGAAATCTGTTCCTTTCCTCCTGATGGGTTGACTTGACTGTGTTGGTCTGTATGATAGATTGAAAAGGAGCTTCAGCCGAGCACAGTCTGGCTTGCATCCCAGAAAAGAACTGGCATTTGATCGTAGAAACTATGCCATCCACTTTGGCCTGAAGAAATCTGAAACATCCGAATAAGGAATTGGACGTTTTAAGAAATACTTGTTGTTAGGCTAGGCAATCTTATCAAGAAAAATAAGATAATTTAATATAAGTGAAATCATTGTCAGCTCGTTTTGCTAAAGCACTTGCTTTGCTTACTTGGTCTTAAACGTGTTCCCTTTTTTCAACTGCTGCTTGTCCTTGTCTCAAAGATTGGTTTGTGAAAGACACAAGATAAATAGCCTAAGTCTCGTGGAACATATTTTATTTTGCTTTGTCCTGTATATCATGCCGATAAATCAACTGTATGTGTGTGTAACCTTTGCGGCTGTTTGCCAGCACAGCTTGGTGTGTGCCAGGTTTGGTCAACAGCTGAGTGATAAATCTCCTCTCTGAGGGCCACAGGAAGATGTGGGAGTTGCCAGGCTGATTTATTAAAGACAAAACAGCATGTGAGTAGAGGAATTAGATTACTGATGGGTCTGAGAATGATATCTGCCGTTGCTGCTGGCAGATATGGAGGGCTGATGTCGCTGTAGGTGCGCATGGTACCGTCTGATTGGATGAACTGCTGGAGCTTGTGCAAATGGATCTAGATGCAAACAGCAACTTAAAGGGATATTCCGGCATAAAATTAATTAAGGGTCAAACACACCGTAACACCAAGTTAGACACCCCCACAAGATGAATGTTGCCGTCCACTTGCTTCTCTAGTAATGACCGCACGATAGCAATACATAGCAGTCTAAGGAGCCACACACAAACCTCAACCACAACCCACTCTATAGCCACAAATAATGCTCAGAACAGCACCTAACTTCATCAACAGTACATATAGGGTCCCAGCCACAACACTAGCCAGCAAACATCTTTTTAGCTTTGCCTGATTTCTCTAGCAAAGAGACTGAACATAACTCACCCTCTCTCTTCCAGCAGCCGTTTGTTTGTACAGAGACCTCCGGGCAAGTCCATCGACTGCAGCGGGGGGACACAGCTCAAGGAAGAACATTTATGATCATTACTTTATTACTTCCTTGAAGTAATTGTCACCAAATTAATCAATAAATGTTCTTCCTTGAGCCATGTCCCCCCTGCTGTAGTCCGTATTGGACTGACCCGAAGTCTCGCTACAAACAAGCGGCTGCTGGAAGAGAGTAGGTGAGTTGTGTTTAGTCTCTTTGCTAAAGAAATTAGGCAGAGTTTAAAAAGTGTTTGGTGTCTAGTGATATGGCTGGGACCCTATATGTACTGTTGATGAAGTTAGGTGCTGTTCTGAGCATCATTTGTGGCTAAAGAGTGACATTTTGGTTGAGGTTTGTTTATGGCTCCTTAGACCCCGGTGTATTGCAATTGTGGGGTCGTTACTTAAGTTGGTATAACTAGAGAAGCAAGCGGTCGGCAACATTCATCTCTCGAGGAGGTGTCTAGACTGTATATACTATGGACAACTTGGTTCCGCCTACCGCCTGTACACGGATTTGAAGCCAAATAGCTCTCAGTATTTCTGGGATTTTTCTTCATACCCTAAAACCAGCGCTGCACAGTAGCAATGCGTGCATTCGGCCGCGCAGTCGCAGAGAGTCGCTGTGATGATGCTCGGCTCAAACAGCGTATCCCCCGGGAGAGCTAAGCAATCCCTGAACGCCCATAGGCTGTATCAGGTGTCAATCATAGAAAACATGAACCCCCGAATAACTTTTAAAAACAGAGCTTCACAGAAAAAAGAGGACTTGAGCACAAACCAGTCTTACAGTAACTACATGTCAACATCACAACATCACAGTGGCTTCACCCAGCGAGGAGGCAGACACTGTCCATTCTATATACAGTCTATGGGTGTCTAACTCAGTGTTACGGTGTGCTTGACCCGAAATTAATTTTTACGCCGGAACATCCCTTTAACTGCTCTCTTCAGTGGGATATGTAATTCAAGCAAAAAGTTATTCCCTCCAGAAACAAAGTCAATCATTCCCTCCATTCATACAGATCTCAGCACAGAAATATCTGTAACAGTTCTCTTAGAGCATGACATTGAAGCTTGGATTCCTTGTGCTATATCCAGCAGTAACTCTGAACACACAGTTCCTACTCTAAATATAACTTGAATTATAGTCACAAAATAATCCACCAGCAGTTCAAGAACATGTAGTCAATAAAATATTTAAAGCAGCAGATTGTTTCTGTTCAGCTTGACCATGATATGCTGTCCCCTGTGTTCACATCAAAGAACTCATTAGTGAGATTCTGCACGACATTTGCTACATGGGAATATCTGTAGGGGGTTTTGCATATACGTGGTAACAGCAAAAACATCCAGCTGTGTTCAGAGTTCAATAGCATGAAGGCAAGGCTTTAAATTTTAAATGTTCACAGCTCTCCTGTTTGTATGAGATGAAAATATTCATTCAGTCGCTTTCTCACCCGTGCTTTTCAACGCTACACTTTGTTTGTGAATAGGCATTGATTGGCGTTCTGAGCACGTTTTCAGAAAAAGAGAATGATAATGTGAAAACAGAGTGTTGGCCTGGTTTCACATTACTATTCAATTTTTTTTTAACAAAATGAGCAAAAAGACCTTATTGTCAGCGGGATAAGACAGAGCCCATCTTTCCAATTCTCACACATTTTCACTCTTAACTTACTGCAGCTTTGCATTGAAGTCTCACATCTGTTACTCCCCGCGGTAAATCAGTATTCACACAGCTTCTTACATCCAGTTAGCTTTGTGTTTGCCTCATATACACTGCCACATACAAACTCACTATGCAGATAACCTTCAGCTAGCCTTCATGCTGTGTGTTTGCTGTGGTTCCAAACAGATATCCATGTTTTCTCATCTTAATAGGTTCAAACTTGGAAGGAGTTACATTTTCTTCTTTTTCTCTTTGTGCCAACTGATCTGCATTTGCCTTACAAAGATATGATAGGCATCCATGATGTTTTTCAAGACTTGATAAGAAGCTTGAATCCATTTTCTTCAAACTCTCACACATTTCCTATAGACAGATGCCTGGGTCATATCAATTTTCACAGTGATATAGTTGTAGATTGTCATGGAGCGGAAAATAGGACTCCTATTCATGACAAACACATAGTGAGATTTGTGTAAGCCATTTTTAAACACATTTATATCTGCCTTTCTTTTTATTTATTTACTCTGATAGATGAAGAAAATGGAAATGATATGATAGTTATCCTTACCTAACCTTACCTAAAAATGATAGACGTACGAGCAAAATATAACTAAATAAAAAGACGACAGAAAAAGAAAGTAAGCCAGTAGAGAACAGAGCTCGAAAGGAGAAAACTATTGAACCAGAACATAATGAGGTAGCAGCCTGCCAAGGCAACACTGCTTAGAGACCACAGTGATTTACTTTATAATTGATATAAGAATGCTCAAGGTGTTTCCAGGTGATTTGCCAACTCTGGCTGCAAAAGAAGGTCACTAAGAAATCACATGCACCCTGTATTTACTATTTACTCTACTATTAATGAATGAAGAATATTTATGGTTTCAAGTTAAATATGTTGGCATTAATTTGAATAGTTTCCAACAATAGTTTATGAAATATGCTGGAGTTCTGACATTTTATATTCCCACTGCTCCAAGGAAAGTTGAGGAGACTTTTCACAATGACTCTGTGGTGACACGCTATCAAATTAATACAATTATGAATTGCATGCTTTGAAAGTACAGATAACCCATGCAGTTTGTTGAGAGAGATCTTGATGTACGTCTTTTATTTTTTAATTTTTTGTCACTACTTATGTTTTCTACTACTTTTTCTCTGAGCAGAAATGTATGAAATAAAGTAGTTTCTTGGACCATATAGCTTAGACTATGTGTGATGAATAAATGCCCAAATAATTTTGATGTTAACGGTACCATTTCCTCGTCTGGAAAATATACAGTTATTGATTTGGCAAGCTGTTTAGATGGCCCAACTGTAGCCTGTTAGTTACCGCTGTCTCTCTCTGCTTCAGTGACTCTTTGTCGGGATAACGAGGTCAAACTTTGTGTTTGTTTTTGTTCCCAGCATACATTATCTTACAATACTGGTACACTCTAAAGCTTTCTTATTATATGCTAGCATACTACAACCAAGACATGAGGTTATTTGTCAGAGGTTATCAGAGGCTTTACTCGCCTGAGCCTGAAACATAGGAAGTAGGGCTTAAAGGGATGCTCCAGCGTAAAATTAATTCAGGGTCAAACACACCGTATGCTCATAAATGTTCTTCCTTGAGCTGTGTTACCCCACTGCAGCTGCCAATGGACTCGATGGAGGTCTCGCTAAAAACAAGCGGCTGCTGGAAGAGGGTAGGTGAGTTGTGTTTAGTCTCTTTGCTAAAGATATTAAGCAAAGCTAAAAAGATGTTTGGTGGCTAGGGCTATGGCTGGGACCCTATATGTACTGTTGATGCAGTTAGGTGCTGTTCTGAGCATTATTTGAGGCTATAGAGTGGCTTTTTGGTTGAGTGCGTGGCTTTCTGTATTGCTATTGTGCGGTTGTTACTAAAGTTGGTATAACTAGAGAAGCAAGCGGTCGGCAACATTCATCTCTCGACGGGGTGTCTAACTCAGTGTTACAGTGTGTTTGACCCTAAATTAATTTTACACTGGAATATCCCTTTAACGATTTTGGAAAATAATCTTATCGCGATTTTTTCCCACAATATCGCAATTCCGATTTAACATGCGATTATTTTTTTCAAGCTCCTCTTCTAATGTATTTTTCAACAAACACAAACAATAAACCAATCTGCAGCCTATTATAGTCAACAATATCAAATTAATTATACATTAATTTCTTCTTTATGGCAATTATCATTTCACACACACACACACACAAACGCGCCCTTATATACGGTCATGTTAGTAATCTACGTACCGATGGTGAGATGTAGTCGGTGCCCAAAACACTGGAGTCTGGTTTATTCGTTCAGCTGTATTTGATGTGTTTTTCGTCGTTACGCAGACCTGGTTTGAAGTTGAAGCGGTGGTCGCTGGTGTTTTAGCCGTTCAACTGTCGTAAGTGTTGATAAAGGTTCGTAGTTTTACCTCCTAATGGAGCAACAGTAGCGCGACAGGTTCTGCACACGTTGCGCTGCAGCATCTTTTTTTTTTGCCAAAATAAATCTACACGACTGCCGTGCTGCCCCTCTTCAGTAATAAACTTTCTGTAGTTTCCGCTTCTGTGGCGGAATTTAGCCATATAGTGCAGCAGTTTTGACTTCTCCCTCTACCTGCTCTACTTAGTTCCGCTCACAAGTCACCTGACCAGATCATGTGACCAGTCAAAATCGCAGCATTTGTCATTGGGAAATTGCGTTTTATCATATCGCGATATTTTCTTTTCTTTTGCCATGTTACCGCAATAAAAAGAAAATTGATGTCCTATTCCTGCTACAGTACCATTGTACGGTGGCCGAGATCTGCCACTGCTGCAAATAAAAAAAGAATGCAAAAAAAGAAGTCACAACGGAAGTCACTGCTGCAAATAAAAAAAGAAACTGTGCAGTTAAAAAAAAAAAAAATCCACAATGCGATGCAAAAAAGAAAAAAAGTTACTTACTGTGAAAATAAAAGGATGCAAAAAAAAAAAAGAAAGAAAAAGCCACAACGGAAGTTAACTGCCAGGGACCAATAATGATGACGCACCAGTGTGTTGCAATCTAGGCACTGAAGACGACAGCGAGAAGACGAGCAAAGAAGTGAGCGGAAAGGTTATTGTTTAATTTCGCTTCATGTGCTTTTCAATGTGGTTAGGCCATGTAGCGCCTGAGTCGATATGAAGTTGAACTAAAGCTAACATTAGACCAGCATCCTCCAGTTCAACTTCATGTCGACTCAGGCGCTACATGGCAGTGGCAGTTCTCAGCAAGAAAAAAATTGAGCTCCTGGACACTCAAAACCTCATCATGCAGGCAGTGCTTGGACACAAAAAGTCACCAGTAGACACAGAACAAAACAATATATTTTCTCCGCATCATCATTCATAAGCAAGAGGAGGCCTGTGATCTGCATTTTGTAATTTTCTTACAAACGTGGTCATTATGTAGTGTCAGTCATTGTGCATTGATGTGGAGAAACCACCAGGTTGAAACTAATGGAAAACATGTTAAGACCAGTTTGATGCTGTCTCAGACCCTCTTCTAGTCTGAAACAGACATGAATGAAACATGTGTGTCTTATTGGATTCAAAGAATAAAATGTCAGGATTTGCATACCTATGAATAAGAAGAGTAAGCAATGATGGTTGCGACAGGTTTATCAGTCTCACATAGACCAAAGCACAGCAGACAAGAGGAAGTGCGATATCAGCAGCAAACAAATCAAATCCAGCATCTATCTGCAGGTTTGAATGCTTAACAACACATATAAATAAAAGAAAAGAAAAAGAACTCAGTGTACCAGGGCAAACGTGACATGAAGTCCCTCATTTTTTTCATGACAACAGTTTGAAATGCTGAACAATATCCTAACAGGTTTCAATGAAAAACAACGTTTATACAGGTGTGCACTGTGCACAACACAACACTATCACTCTATTAGACTGGATCGAGAACTCAAACCACTGTTAAAGAACTCAAATTACTGCTCAGTACACATGAACATGAACCAAAACGTTCACCTCAAGTCAAGTCTGTCAGTATGCTATGGATTAGTCCATGTACAGTCAGTCCATCCAGAGGTCACTCTGGGGTTCTGTCTGGGTCTCAGGCTGTAGGGCCCAGTAGGGCCGGTGAACAGGGGTAGGTCAGCATTGTCAACAGCATCAGTCTCCCAAACAGCGTTCTGGGAAGGGGGGCGGGGTCAGAGTCAGTGTGAAGGTCGTCAGAGTCTACAAACCATGACCAGGACCATAAGTAACACATACACGCACATCAAACACACATCACCCAATCTAGCATTGTTATCGAGAAAGGCGTTAACAGCTGCCCCTCTCGGGTGGGCACACGCTCATATATTCAAATGTTCACATATGACCCAGCCATTTTCTTTATTCCAGTGTTTTTTTAACCTTTTTCAACCCTATAGAGGACCCCCATATCTACTCTAAACTTCAGCCGCCTCTGACTTCCTGTAAAATTGGTCCTGGTTCGAATCCACGACCTCAGGAGTCCCAGTCAGTCTTCTTATCCTCTGAGCAAAGTGGACACACAGGAGTATACTATTTGTTTCCTCTTTCCTCATTTGGAAGCTTGGTACTTATTAATACCATCGTTTTATACGGCCGTTATGGTCCTATGGTCCGATCTCAACAATATAAAGATCAAAAAGAACGAAAAAATCCAATCCAATCCCCTGTCTCCCCTGCCCCGCACCGTCCCGCCCATGGTCCCGCCTCCTCGCCGCTACCCCCTCACGTACATGAGATTAACGAGCTGCACAGCTACTGAAGCGTAATGGAGTCGGAGGAGACAAACACCGAAACCAGGAGGCCGCCTCTGTTACCCTCCACATTGAAGGGAGGGAAACGTAAAAGTTATGAGGAAAAGCCTGCAGAGAGGAAGAAATATGAGCGATACAGGTGCCAACGGAGAGTCTACATTGGAGAAACGTACGACCGGTGTTGTGCCGTAGAATGCACCCCTGCCAAATGCACCCCTTCATCCCGCCCACTCATTAGCTTCTTGAAGTGGAGGAAAATGATCTCATATTTAAAAAAAAAACCCACGAATATTGGATCATGACAGCATGTTAAATGAAGCAGACAACTTTCCTCCTGTTTTTATGTGTCTCAGAAATGCGCACATAGAGGTGTACTTGGTACTGTACAGGAAACTGTCAAGTTAGAGAACATATTTCCGGGACAGCAAATATTCCGAATCAAAGAGCTATTTTTTCGGCTTATCTAAATAGCCTGAATGAAATCATTAAGAGCACACGCTTTTGAATCCATCCAACGGTAAGAAAATTTTGGGATTATTTCGCCTTGTTATGTACTTCCAACCGCGCTGCCGTCAGGGGGGCATTCTACGGCAAGGGAGCATTCTACGGCACAACACCTGTGGAAAGCTCTGCAGAAGGATTTGGGACTGAAAACTGACGCTGAGACAGCCGAATTTCTGTTGAACAGGTAATTACTTTGTTTACTACAGTGGGAGATGTCTGCTGAATAACTCTGGTTAGTCTGTGCCTATTCTGGCTAATGACTGAACGTTGTTGGCCGGAATGGGTCGGCTCTGTCAATAGATATTACTAATAAAGATGCGTGGCTAACTTATGCTAATATCATATTAGCATAAGTTAGCCACGCATCTTTAGCATTCTAAACTGAGTTGAACTAGCCTGGAGGTCTCGCTACAAACAAGCTGCTGCTGGAATAGAGTAGGTTAGTTGTGTTTAGTCTATCTGCTCAAGAAATGAGGCAAAGCTTAAAAGATGTTTGGTGACTAGTGCTATGGCTAGGACTCCATATGTACTGTGTACAAAGTTAGGTGCTGTTCTGAGCATTATTTGTGACTTTAGAGTGGCTTTTTGGTTGAGCGCATGGCTTTGGATATTGCTATCTGCGGTCGTTAGTAAAGTTGGTATAACTAGAGACCCACTGAACATTTGTTTTGTCTAAAAGAGGTCTAATAGACATCTAATGTAGCCTAGACAACTGAAAATCTGAAATCAGGCTACCACAGGTCTAAATATGAACGTTTCTTAGACATCTAAATTTAGACCAAGTTTAGACTAGCCGTCTAACAGAGGTCTAACTTTATATTGCTCAACGGCTATCATAATTATCTTGGTTAAGTACTTGGAGATCAGTTATGCAACTCACAGTTGCTTTTTGAATTAAATAGTTATCAAATAACTAAAGTGCAATGTCTAAATTCCGTCTTTAAACATATACAGAATGTAGATGGTTGAAATTAGGAAACTACAAAAAAACTGGATGTCTAACAGCCTTCTATTGCTTGTTGGGGAGGCGAGCAGTCGACAACATTCATCTATGGACGGGGTGTTTAACTCTGTGTTACGATGTGTTTGACCGTAACTGAATTTTATGCCGGAATATCCCTTTACATCAGCTTCTCTTGAGGGAAATCCATATTTCATAAAGAGGCACTTTATAAAGCTTAAATACAGGACTAACTGACTGAATAGGTTTGGTCAGGTTGAGCTCTATGAGTCGTTTCCATGCGATGAAAAAGTCAGCAGACATTGAGGATGTAGATTGTAGCATCTGGCTCCTTGTTTTGAAAGTCCAGATAATCAATGGTGGTGTGGCAGGAGAGCCCACAGCCATTACTGGATTCAGCTTGTTTACCAACTCACTCCATGTCCTGTACTTTCTTAATGAGGATGTGACCGAGGGTGAGACATCATCATGGTTATCAGACATGTGGGGCTGTGGCACGAGTCAGGAGATCCTTACAGTAAATCACTAGACTCTAGAGAGGAATAACGATCATCAACTTGATTTATACGGCGGCATGCAGGCAGGATATCTGTGGGGTGGAGGCTGAGCTGTAGTGACAGAGCCAGGAAATGAAAAATATGTTTTTCTTTTCTATTAATATCTGTATTGACAAGTACACTGAGGCAGGTTTTTTTTAATCAAAGTGAAACACAAGGAAGGCAGTAGATTATCCAGCTATAAATATTTCAACAGGGTTTATTTTCTTCAAATTGATGGAACTCTTCATATATTTAGCCTTTATTTCAAAATGAAAAAGCTACTTCTCATCAACTCATCAACTCCTTTAGCTTGACATGCAGCCTGTAGGTGAACAGACCAAGAGTGGAGATGAGAGATGTGACCAGAGAAGACTCAGTCCTGTGGGAATCTTGTGGTTCAAATCCCCCAGCACACCATCTAACAGACAAAGGTCTTCGATGAGATGAGCTGTCAGATACTTTGACAGTCTCACATTAGCCCCTACACATCTGAAAGACAGGGGATGCACAGACCTTGGAAACTCAGCAATGTGAAAGATAAGACGAGTTGGTTCTGACTGCACACTGCTACTGAACTACAACTAATTGATAAGTTGTAAAATAAGGAAGTTCTGGAGATAAACTTCTTGTCAGAATATGTCACTGACTTGGAAAACATAAATGGTGAAAATCTATTTTTGCTCAGTGAGGTTACCGCAGAAAAAAGCAAGAGGAGAGTCATTTTCCTGTTTTCTTGTAGCAGAGTTGGTTATAGGGAAGTGATAAGAGCGAGCGATTGCTCCAGGCAACTCCGAGATGTGAATATCTTTTATTACTCTGTAACGCAATAATGAGCTTTAGGAAAGAGTGTGAAGGAAAACATGCTTTAAAACCAAGCAGTGAAACATATTCCGAGACAAACTCCTCACTGATGATGATGACAGTTTCAACCTTACTGCTGCTCCTTTGCATTACTTTTTATTATCTATTAAAGGGATATTCCAGCGTAAAGTTAATTCAGGGTCAAACACACGGTAACACTGAGTTAGACACCCCCTCGAGAGATGAATGTTGCCAACAGCTTGCTTCTCTAGCTATACCAACTTTCGTAACGACCGTAGATAGCAATACACAGCGGTCTGAGGAGCCATAAACAAACCTCTACCAAAACGCCACTCTATAGCTACAAATAATGCTCAGAACAGCACCTAACTTCATCAACAGTACATATATGGTCTCAGCCATAGCACTAGCCACCAAACATCTTTTTAACTTTGCAGCCTTCAACACATACAGTCATTTTTTCCTCCAATGTATTGTTTTGTCATAATGTAAATGCATCTACCTATCAGTCTCTTTTTTAACTGGCTGAGTCATTTGTCCTTTTTCCACTCATTTTAAATGTGTTGTGCTGCAGGCAGTCGGAGGACCTCACACTGCTGCACCCCTGGCGTTGGCTTGATTTGACAGATCCATCAAAGGAGGAGCGTGTTTGGTGAGAAGAAGAGGCTGCAAGGCAAGTAAGCTCAGACCTGACAAGCCCCCCATGTCATCTCTTTTTAAGACGGCTTTTTGTCACCTTTCATAATCTTGCTAGTTTGCTGCAGTTGTTCCAAAATATAAAGAAAGGGTTTGATGCCAAATGTGGTTCTTTTTATTTCTTTTGTAAGAAAGCCTGGGGGGCGTAAATCTTCACTTTAGTGAAAGACATGTCAGTACACTATGACCGCCTCCAAGGAACAGATAAATGGGATATCATTTTTCCTCTGTCTCCAGGCATATTGAGAAATATGAAACAGCTTGATCTGTTTCTTTAAAGACAGCTACATACAGAAAAAGTACCTCTATGTGCTTCTTTTTTCTGTGTTCACTCATGTTGTTTTCTCATAGATAATATCAAAATAATGGAAAGTTACACTTGAAAATACCAGTGGTTCATCAGGCAATGCAATGAATCATTTAGCCCTCAGCATCCACTTTTCATTTGTTTTAAAGTGAGTTTTGCTGCCTATGTTACTAAAGTCGTTCAGGCAGCCACAACCAACCAAATAATAATAATAAAATAGTGTCACACATTTGAGTCAAGAAGTCCTGACTCAGGATGGGATTGTTGCTGAGAACATGGTGTCATCTGCAAAGATGTGTAAAAAGCAGGGGAGGGAAGTGTTCACTTCAAGATTTCTTCAGTGAGATTTTTTCTCAAGTAGAAGTAAATCGACCTGTTTGTGAATCGACTTATGTAAAAAAAAAAGGTACTTTATTCTAAAATGATTAAAGTTTTGTTCAAGTTTATAGCTGTTGGGGAGGGGAAGAGAGGCAAGATGTTAAAGAGTAACCTAAAAAAATTAGAATAAGTGACATAGAAATAGAATAGCTCAACAATTCAGGGTACAACTGATACTATGATACACTAATTATAATACTTGCCAAAGAAAATGATTGAGTATTTTAGAATCAGTAATTTTACTTTCGCTCAGTCATATTGTGATGCTTTTGGTGGAGTGAGTCCCCCAAAACATTTGACCTTCATGCTGCTATCTGGTCTTATGGTTCCTGTGGTATAACATTGTATGTTGAGTCGTGTCCTGCCATTTAAATTGAAATCACTGGCACGAAGACATGCATTAATTGTTGAGCATGTTTTTTGATAAATACATTCCTAGAGAACAGATAACTTTATAATATACAGAAAAGAACTTTGGTTGAACATGTACGTAGGTCTAAAGTTTGGTTTTATGCATACCTTTGACTTATTTTAAGTGACATTAGTAAATGTGATGAGTTACTCTCCACCCTGGTAATAAATGAGGTTGAGGTGGCAAAAGTATCTTGTGGACAGAGATGAGATTGGGGAACTGTACATACATTTGTCCCCTGTTTTCTGTAAGTGAGTTTCACTTTAGAGGGCTGATTCTCTGTGATGAACTCCACTCTGCACAGTTCAGACTTTTCCTGGAACATACATTTATTCCTTTAAAAAGGCTGTTGTAAATTTTTTTTCTCTCACAAACAATCTAAGAGTCATTTCAGTCCTTTCTCAAATCATCATCTTGTGTGATTCACAATTCCCTGGCTGATCTTTTCCCAGTGAAAAGAGGTTAAGCTGCTTATAGGCCTCTTTTTTTACATCAACACTTTTATTATGTAGTTTGGAAAGGATGAGAAACCGACCTCAAGTAACCTCAAGAATAATTAAAATTGCAAATCTCAGTTTCCTTGATGTTACTTCCAAGACGTCAAGCAGGGTTTTTCCTCATTAACATATTACTGTAAATTGTTTTTTAATGGCAAATTGTAATTTTGGAAAGAAATACCCTTGTGCGGATTAAATCCAAAGACTTTAGGGGGATTTTTCACATGGTTTATTATAAATGTCTTTAACTTGTTTTTGGCAATGTTAAAGAAAATCCCTTCCAGTAAATCACAAGTTTTATTTTCTCTCCATAAAAACAGCTATTGTGTGATGTTCAAGTTGAGATATGGCATGAGACAAACAGAGAGGCACCAATCTAATTTGGAAGATTGGCACCAGTACAAACACTGACATAGTTGAGAAAGAAGTCTACAAGTGATTTTGTTTTTTGATGGCTGTGGGAGAACAACTCACAAAGAAATCAACTTATTCTTTTTAAAGCTGTGAGTGATACTTGGGGGGTATTAATGATTGAAAATTCGGATTCAGTCTCACAAGCAATCTCAAAGAAATGTCAGCTGGGAGATGGAAACTAGAATTTAGACAGAATGGATGTAGTGTTTGAAAGTAATGAAGTGCAAAAGCCTCTGTAGACAGGGCCTATATTTCCCACCACTAGTACTGTCTCTCTCAGGTTGAGCTCAGTTTGGACTCAGCATTTGCAGATTATCTCATAAAGATTTCTATCCCCCCTCCTCTGTTTTGTTTGTTGGGCCTCAAAATCCCTGTCCTTGCATGATGCAACAAAAAGTCCCAACAGCCTAAAGGTCCTTTCACACGGCACTGTTTTTTTCATGCGTTTATTTCGGACGTCAGTATTTTCTTTCGACCCCGTATCCTGTCAATACAAGCGTTCACATTAGTGACATTTTCCCATCCTGCGATACTGCGGCATTTATTTTTTCATTTCACGGTTGATTTTTCTAAAATTTTGCATACTGTGTGTCGACTTCTGACCAATCAGATTGTGTGTTGTTGCTACATCAGATTCACCAAAATGGCCGAGGCACTGATACTGCAAGTTGCTCTGCAAGTCACCAAACATTATTAGACTTTCTCGTGTGATTACAAAGCAATGTGTGGAGATACAGAAGGTCTGCTGCAGAGGACCCCTAACAGTATAACTCAGCTGAGTTGAAATGTGGGTAATGACTCTGATTCTCCTGCATTGGTGATGCTCTTTTTTGTAAATAGAACTTATGATGGACAGCTTTAACAGTGCTAACAGGGTGCAGCTTTATTAGACTTTAGACTTTGGTGGATTACACTCTTTCTCACATATTTGTATGACGAAAAGTGCTGACAAAGGTTAATGTTGTTTTCCCCACACTGTCAATCAATCAATCAATCAATCAACTTTATTTCTATAGCACATTTTAAAATAACCACAAGGGTAGTCAAAGTGCTGTACAATGATATATAAAACAAATAACACAAAGAGCAAGATAAATTGAGCAGAAATACATTAATGCAAGGGGATAAATAAGTAAATAAACAAGCAGGCTCACGGCAGGTGCTAAAATGATAAAAAACAAAGTAACACACTGTCACCCAAATTTCAATTTTGGTTCTAGGAGCAGAACCCTGTTACACACTGTGGCAAGATGTGTGATCTCTTTTCATTGGTCGCTTAGAACGCTTGCAAAGCTTCATTTAACATATGTAGAAATGGGCCTGATCGTCACAGCCCTTTAGAGGGAACATTCACTTGTTGCTTCCCGTCTGACCCCTAAATGTCCCTCCAGCTGGAGGTATTTTAAAATGCTGAATATGTCTTGGAGTCTATCGGTCAGTTCCTTCTGATAAAAAATTAATTAAATCCCCTTTCTGTCCTATTTTGCACCGAACTGATTTATACCTCTGCAGCCTGAAAGCATGAAAGCTTTTGAAACCTCACTTTTAAATTTAGCATTTGTACTAACTTTTCCATGAAGAATAGATTATAATGAAGTTTTGTAAGTTTTATTCTGTCACTGTCTACTATTCGCCTGAACCATATCATTCAGCTGAAAATTAATGGAATCCCACTCTTGTTATATAACATAAATTTGTAATTGATGCTAGGTCTGTTTGAAGTGCTGTTCTCCCCTCCTCAAAAAAAATCTAATTATTCAAGTGTGAAATGTCAGACCGGCCCTGATGACTACTATTATTATTTCAGTCAGTTCAATCAGTGGGTGTGATCCCATCCATCCACTCAAGGATACTGGAGGTGCAAAATATTGGTGTTGCAAGGTCCTTAGTAATGTGAGCTAAATGAGCTCTGACTGGCTGGGTTGTCTTTTCCTCAGCAGTCAAATTATAATCTTTGGACGGGCTGATTATCCGTCTCCTTTTCTGCAGTAATGGTGTCTGTGACCGGGTCATTTCCTGTCTTGAAAGGTTGATTCTCTTCTTTCCATCCTGCGAACGTGGCAATCAATTCAAATGTCATTGTCTTGCCTGTGGTGAATTTGAAATATATTCCCACTGTGAGGTCTGTTTTTAATTTTTCTCCGGTGCCATCTGTCTTCCCCTGATCATACAAGGCAAGGAACATTGCAAACAGCTGAGAGTGTGCCCTCAGGTTGTAATGTAAGAATAGTATTTTCTGGATTTTTTTGAAAGAGGTGTTCACTGGAGTTGCAGGTGAACTCTTTTTGCCTTTGGACTTGCTTGAGGACAAAAAAAAAAAAGGATTTTTACACCTACACAAATGTAAAGCAGACTGATGAAATATGCAGTGTGCTCTTTATGTAGTACTTATTGTCTAGTTTAGAGCTGCAGCTATCAAATACTTTAGCAATCGAGTATTCTACCGAATATTACATCAATTACTCGAGTAATCAGACGCAAATGGCAGACTCTCATACAGTAAGATTTTCCATGAAGTAGTCATCATAAATGCTCTTCCTTGAGCTGCGAAACTCCGCTGCACTCGGTGATAGACTTGTCAGGGCTGAAGCAAGCAGTCGGCAACATTCATCTCTCGGAGGGCTGTCTAACTCGGTGTTACGGTGTGTTTGACCATACTTTAAATTAATGCCGGAATATCCCTTTAAGGCACTGATGGAGGAGTGTTACCTTTTGCTAAATATGAACCTCCTCCTGACGTTTTAAAAGTTGTGTGCAGCTGGTCGGTGTCGCCCTGCTGTAGCTCGGTTTTGAATTGTTGCAAATGCCATGTCATTTGTAAGCCTTGTTCAAATACTGATCACATTATCTGATAATATGGAGTGAAAGGTTATGAGACACGACATTTAGAAGTCTCTGAAAAAAAAAAAGTGCTGCTGATGAGAGGGCATGTAGGGGGCAAGGCTAGACATGCAGTTGTGTGTAGAATGAAAGGAAAGCTGCAGGTTTGATGATGATGTGTGTGTCCGTGTGTGTGTTTGTGTGTGCATGTGTGGGTAGGCAGGGGTGAGAGATGACGGAATTGAAGAGAGCAAATTAGAGGCCTCAGTGAACATTGGTGAATACGCTGGGGAGTAAATGTAAGAACTGTCCTGGTAATAATAGTAATAATAGATGAAATGCAGTACAAATAATACTGGGATGATGCATTTCCTTTGAATCAGCGCTATTCACGCAATAGGTGTGAACAAAATTAGAAAACAATTTAGCAATTTGCCATTTTTTAAACCAGCAGTTGTAGTAATAATACTGTACAACACACCACACACACACAGCTCCTCTTTGTTTCAGACCTACTTTAACAATGATTCAGTCTGCCTTCTGTTTTTGCCCTCGTACTGTGACTCACTGCTTCACTTCAGCCTGCATTTTTCAAAAATGTAGGGCGTGTGAATAATCAAACAAATGTTTGTGCCTCTCGGCGTGTGTGCATGTCCACTTGTGGACTGAGCTGCACTCATCTTTGAGTTGTCAGAGACTCAACCGTAAGTTCTACTCTGATTCATTATCACACTGCGAGAGCTGTTCAATCAACACGAGTTAAACCTTTGCATAAAGCTGACTGGAAACAGGTGGATGAGACTTCGGTGAGGCATTAATCATCGTCTTATGAGTTGATGACTTAATGGCAACGGTTTTCCTGTACAACTGCTGAACAAGAGAAACATGGCATGTTGATTAAAGGTGGGGGAGGAAGGATTCTGGTAAAAAAAAAAAACATCTTGTTTTGTGGTGTATTTTTAAAAAAAAGCTTTTAATAACAGTCAATAGCGATTAGTTATTGATGACATTTGGGAATATTACGATATCACTGTGTTCTCTTATGTCTGTGTAGTCAACATTTTCCTGCCTACCCCACTGTCTGTTAAGACTTTGCTCCAAAAATAGAAAAACTATCTGTTTGGATTCATTTTTATTGTGTTTAAACAAGAGTTTCCACTGTTTGTGCACAGCAATCAAAGTTATAGCTGGTACCCGCATTTTAGTTCTTAGTTATCTACTGCAAATCATGTAGCATTATCAAAACAATCCTAACATTGTCACTTTTTGTTGTCTGGGTCTGCAAAAGTATAAAAGCTCATAGAAAATAGCAAGAAGCCATATGACTCCCTTTCTCCCCGAGCTTATTCAATAGCTCCACATGGGAAAGCTTTAAAAAAAAAAAAAAAAGAAAAGCTCTCCTTTTGAAAGAAAGCTTTTCCCATTGAAACCCTCCTCTGTTTTTTCCGCTCTGGGGGTATAATTCACTTTGATTCAGTTTCCAACATAGAACATACACAGTCGCCACACTTGTGTAGAAATAGAAAAAAAGAACTGAAGCTCATTGTGCTTCCTGTCTGATTAAAGAGACACACCATGGAGGGTGCAGAGAGGGGGAGAGCGGCAAAAGAGGAGGATTAATACTTTGATGAAGAAAAACAACAGTAACAGTAAATGTGCTGGAGGCATGCTGCAGGGTGGGCTGGTCAGGCTCAGTGCTGCGTTGTGTGTGGCTTTTTGTAGTTAGTTTTGTGGTAATGTATCTCATGGTGTTTGTTTTGAACCAGAAATACACAACTACAAAGGTATCATTTACATGCAAAAATGGACTGAGCACTATTCTTCATATAGGGAGTGTTAATAAACACTATCCTGTAGGTGGGTCAATATTGAATTAATGATTTTTCTCCTCAGAATAATCCAAACCAATCAAATCCAGTTTTATTTATATAGCACATTTAAAAACAACAAAGAGCTGACCAAAGTGCCGTACAGTAAAATTAAAACAAAATAAAAAGAGCCAGACAATTAACATGAACAATAAAACAAGACACAGGAACACATTAAAAACAGGGGGGGGCATAGATGGTTCAGTAAAAACATGGTTAAAAGGCCAAGTTCTCAGGGGTTAAAAGCCAGGGAGTAAAAGTGCGTTTTCAAATTTGATTTAAGAACAGGCAGTGAGGGGGACAGTCGGACATGAAGGGAAAGAGCATTCCAGAGCTTAGGCGTGGCAACGGAAAAAGCCCGGTCACCCCTGAACTTTAATCTCGACTTAGTGACAGTCAGAAGGCACTGGTCAGAGGATCTGAGAGTCCGAGATGAAATATAGGGTTTTAAAAGGTCAGAGAGATAAAAAGGAGCAAGCCCGTTTAAAGATTTATAAGTTAATAATAAAATTTTAAAATCAACCCTAAAACGCACAGGAAGCCAGTGAAGAGAGGCTAAAATCGGGGAAATGTGGTCATATTTTTGGCGACCAGATAAAACACAAGCTGCAGCATTTTGAACAAGCTGTAAACGATTGAGACAGGTTTGGCTGGCACCAAAATAAAGTGCTTTGCAATAATCAAGGCGAGTTGTGATAAAAGCATGCATAATCTTCTCAAAATCATTAAAAGATAAAAAAGACTTGACTTTGTTTAAAGACGAAGATGATAAAAACTGGCTCAAACATTATTTTTTTAATGATGGAACAAAACAGCGTTGATGCCGTGGAGCTGCTGTGACAGGAATGGATGCACAGATGACCTGCTGTGAATGTACAAATACATGTAATGCATTTACAGTATGTGAATACACATTTATCATACTGTGACAGTGACTGCTTGTTTTCTGTGCATAACTCCTACTGTCATGTGTGTAAAAACCACATTGACTTTGATGAGACAGCTCTTCCAACAAACTGTAAAAGGCTTCACCCTCTATTAACCAACAGCTGAGCTTTCTACTCCCGTTATCATTACAGCATGCGTGTAACACTGGCGTGACATGCTGTTATAATGATAATATTAATGATACAATGCTGGCCCAGATTGTCAAGGTCCCCTTGTACTTCTGAGAAATGGTTGCCATCACAACCAAAGAGGTGTAAGCACATTCCTTTATAATAGAATTCAAACAAGAGAAATGGCTGATGGGATATTTTGTCAAGACTGTTTGTGACTTCAGGGACTCTTGGGCTTTGTGAGGACACTTGATGTTATCACCCTCTGCCATGCGCATCACTTAGGTTAATTAGAGCCGGCTTTACACCACATTCAAGGGCAGACGTCCATGCACACTTAACACACACGTCTGCAGACTCATACATAGTCACACAGAACAAGACATCCACTGATTCATGACCTTATCTGCTGCCATGTTATCTTTGAAGTCACACACAGCTGTGGCTCGGGTCTTCGACAGAAGGAAACAGATTACACGACAGGGTAAAGATTTATTAGTCGAGTTTAATGGAATAGAGATGAGTGGGTGTAGGATTTAAATAAATTAACCTTCAGTGGATTCCCTGAGGCCTGAGGGAACGACAGAAGGCAAAGGAGAAGGAATTTTCTCCTCGTCATTGTAATGAATACTGATTACCTGATTTTGGCCCGAGTGCTCCCTGTTCTTCTTCCTATAAGTAAAGTGCAGATCTATAGACAGAAAGAAACCTCATGATAGTGCGAGGATAGGTAGATAAATAAAATGACCTTGGGTATTTCAGGGTGACTTCAAAAACCTGTGAATGAAGCAGGAAACACAAAAGGAGTTATGAATACAGAGAGGTTTCTTAAAGTGTTTCTCTGTGTCTCTCTCTGTGTCCAGAGAGTAAGAAAAAAATACGAGAAAGAAACGAAAAATATCAGACAGAAAATGACCCAAGTGTGAAATGTCAGTGAGGATGTGGTAAAAATGCTTTTTATCCTGGAGGAACAAAAAGTTTAAACTATTCTACTTTGAAAAGGACACATAGAGATATCCAGGGAACAGAGCTTCATTTTTAAATGTCACATATGTGCGAAATATTATATCATTTAACCAGTTTCATGCACTAAAGCTATGATTTCATTCTGATAGTGGAATACATTTGTATCAATTTCAATTAATGAGCAAATAAAAGATTGATGATAATCCTCTTGTAATGTTCATTTACAGCAACATGCATCAATTTTCATATTTGACACGATTACTGACGTCTGTTTCCTTTCATTCTGTCCTTTTTCTATTCAATATCTTCACAGCACAGAATAGAAGGAGCTCTCTCTAATATTGTCAATGAAAACAGCGGCCTGTTTTCATCCTTTTCTACTTCTCTCTCTCTCTCCACTTTTCACTTTTACTGAAGCTGAACAAATGAGGCAGTCTCACACCACCAATCTCATTCACACAGCCTCTGCTATCTCAACAAATGGCCTGATACCATAAAATCTGTGACTGCTCTCTTTGTACAAGAGTGTTAACAAACATTTCTCACTAAGCTCAGTTTATAGAAAAGCAGGCCGAGTGGTTTTTTCGCGGTCCTCTTTAAGCCCGTTCTCACAGACGGTGTGCTTTTGATAAGTCCTCACTGCCGGCGTTGAAGCTGTGTGTCTGTTTTCAGTGTTTCAGGAGAAAGTGCATGTGGCTCAATGTGATACAGTCACAACAAAGAGAGTGTGTAGGTGTGTGTCTTTGTGTTTGGGTATGCCTGTGTGCACTTGTATAGCTCGGCGCTTTGTTCCATAGTCAAGTGTGTGTGTCTTTGTGTGTCAGCACGACTGTGTGTGTAATGCAGCCTCACTGTGTTCATACAACATAGAGCTGACAGCTGGGACAGCAAAGAGCTTCAAATTTTCTGCTCTGATATCTCTGCAGAAACAGTCAAACCCACCGACAACAGCTGGTACAATCACCCGCAGACACCTGTCACTACGGGTTACAGTGTCACCATGGATACCATGCACTACAGTCAATTCTCAGGACCACAAAGCACCATGCATACTTTTCCATATGGTTCATCACTCAGCAGATTGGAGTTATTGTTGGTTAAAGCTTGTCAAATACTGACGTATGTGTCAAACGCAGACAAAAATCTGTTTGTGTTACAGTCAAAAGTTTTTATCTCGTCCTTTGTGTGGGAGGCAGACAAACTGACAAGGCATGACTGACATATTTCACCATCTTCTGACCTAAATATGGCAAATGCTACTTTTAGGTACATTCATATTTATGTAATGTTTCAGTCTAATGTTTTCTCTGTCTTGTACATCTATGATATGTTTGCATCTAACTTGAGGCAGATGTTGTGTGGGCAGACTGCAAAACTATTGATAAACCTTCACTCCTTGAGTTTTTTTTTTGCAGAACAAAAATTGTTTATTAAAAAGAACGAAATAAAAAGCAACAAAAAACTCTCTTCCAAAGAACACAAGAAACAACCCCCCCCAAACCAAAGACAAAAGGCTGACATGCACACACATCGATGTATAGACATACAGTGAAACAACAAGGACAGAGGGGAAGAAGACAGGGACTATATACACACTGGGAAACGAGCGACAGGTGAGGCAAACGAGACACAGGTGAAAGTCATAGGTGATTAACGAGAGGGAAAACTAGGGAAGTAAAACCAGACTTGAAACACAAGGAATCAACTTCTACAAAATAAAACAGGAAACACTGAGAACTGATCTAAAGAATAAAACACAGAGAACAGGAGGGAAACAGGGTCAAACACAAACTGAAGACTCACAAGACAGGACAACAGGAGAACAGGAACAATGAGGAACAGAAACACTCGGGAAAATCACAAAGAAAATGCACTCAAATAACAAAACCAGGGAAGAAAACTAAATTAACAGAACATATCATGCCAAAAAGTGGACTGGAGATATGTGTAAACATTGAAAAACATTTACTTATCCCAGTTATCAGTGTACATGACAACGGGTTTCTGTTCGATGTCATCGCAGGTATGCGTGCGCAACCAGGGGGCAGAAAACGGGGCATTTCTTATTTGTTTACTAGCGGAGTAATCAGAGAAAGAAATTGACAAGGAGCTGTTGTGCTTCAAACTGCACAAATCGGCAAAACAAACAATCGGCAAACATTATGACCCTGCTCCTGATATTAGAAACACCTAAAACAACGTCACAACCTGGTAAATTGAGTGAAATTCATGGATATTTCAGCAAGTGTTTTTCTGATTTTGATGCAATGAAAGACAAAGTGATTTTTCAATGAAATGATATTTTATTGCAATTGTGTCACGGAGAACTTGCAAACAATACGGCATTGTCATTGATATCAGTTCACTCTAAAGCAGGCTTTTGCCCCATGATTGCGCGCACACCTAGTATAGTTTGTACACAAGAAACCTTTCTACAGGGGACACATATCCAGTGTGTGGTTCAAGATAGTTAAAATGTTGTTTCCTGTTGAATCTGCATTAAAAAGTTCCTCTTTTTAAAGTCTTTGCTTTTTAAAATACCTCTACAGTTCGGAAACTTTAGCTTAATATCATTGCAAGGATGCCTTTTATGTGTACTGTGTTTATATATGACAGTATCACTCAGCATCCTCAGATTTGTAGTTACGCACCTATGACCGTTCTCGGTGTTGTCCATAAAAAAAGCAATGATTTGGTCCAGCAGTTGGCAGGATTTGCCATCCTCAGACTCCTCAGAGGTCTTATGACTGAGTTTCATGGGTGAACTTCCTGATATGGGAATATAGCTGCTGCTGACATGACGCTAATCTTGGAGCCATATATTACACGATGCAACTAGAAATGTGTCACTTGAATATGATCAATAGCAGCCAGCATGTAGATGGGTTATCAGCCAGAAGATGAATGTGAGTGGCTCCACGGTACCCAGAATTCTTAGCTGTGTCAGAGTGTAACTTATAGCCTGCATGATTTTTTTTTTTTCAAAAGCCTGTCTGTCATTGCTGCTGTCACCCTTTGCTGCGTGTCTTTGTTCTGTGGTTGAGAAGCAGTTGATTTACTCAATAACAGAAAGGTCACAGATCACTTATTTCATTTTTGCCCATAAAGGTTGTGTCCGTTGTGTAGACCTGACACAAACACACAAGCCCCACATTGGTACGAAAATCAAACAGAAAACCCACTATCTTTCGATCAAGCATTTTCTGGGTGTCTGTGACAGTGGCAGCATCTTGACTCATGCGCATGTTTACAGTCTACGGTTATCTAACAAAGATACTTACGATGGAGTATCAGGGCCACATTAAGAAAAAGAAAATTAAGGTTTCGAGATTAAAGTTGTTAATTTATGAGAATTAAGTCATTACTAAAGAGAATAAAGTCATCATGAAATCATTATGTCATTATCATATGATAAGTAACTACTTTAATACGACTTTATTCTTGTTAGTAATGACTTAAAGGGAAGAAAAATTTAAGACTGAGATTAAAGTCATTAATTTAGGATTATTAAAGGGATATTCTGGCGTGAAACTAATTTAGGGTCAAACACACCATAACACCGAGTTAGACACCCCCTCAAGAGATGAATGTTGCCCACCGCTTGCTTCTCTCGTTTTACCAACTCTAGTGTCATGCAGGTTAGCAATACACAGCGGTCTGAGGAACCATAAACAAACCTCAACCGAAACGCCACTCTATAGCCACAAATAATGCTCAGAACAGCACCTAACTTCATCAACAGTACAGTGTCCCAGCCATAGTACTAGCCACCTTTGCCTAATTTCTTTAGCAGAGAGATTAAACACAACTCACCTACTCTCTTCCAGCAGCCACTTGTTTGTAGCGAGACCTCAGGCCAGTCCATCACAGTCTGGAGTGGGGTGAAGCAGCTTAAGGAGGAACATTTATGATAATTTCTTTATCATTTCCTTGAAGTAATAATCACCATATTCATCATTTTGCACTGCAGACGCGGTAGTTCTTCTGCCTTAGCGTCTCCGTCTGATTGCATTTCCAAAAAGAAATTATCATAAATGTTCTTCCTTGAGCTGCGTCACCCCGCTACAGTCCGTAATGGACTGGCTGTATCTAGACGTCACAGCATGCCGTTCCTCCAGTCATGTGACAGACATTGCATGCCCTGTGATGTGACTACTGCACAGGCAAACATTGAATATTGTTTCAACACTGCAAATGTACATTTTCTAATAGATAACCTACCCAACTGATCATTAGTTAGGTACATATTTTAACCGCAATGTGTTGATTTTGTATGGAAAAACTAGTAGATGTTTATTTTCATGTAGATTTGACTTTGAATTTCATAGTTTCAAAGCCACTTTGGGTTTCAATTCTTGGTTTTTCAAGGCCTTAATGAAATAAAAAAAAGAAATGAAAATGGTTTTATTTCCACCAACAACTTTTGAAGATATTTTTTCTTTTTTTAGCCCAGCGCATTTTTCATGATGTTCAACAAAGGAGGCAAGGACTTGATGTGAGGATTTTTCACAGGGCCAAATGCCTATTAACTGAAATACATGGTTTGACCTCACAAGCACAAATGATTCCTTGAGCATAAAAGCGTCTGGTGAGAGTTCAGTTGATTTAGCAGTTGAGAAAATGTGCCCCCTGTTGTGTATTATTCAACATTTCCATTACAGACACACTGTTAAAGAAAGGTTCAAGAGCTTTGAAGGAAAATTGTGTTGACAGTTTTCCCTCCCTTCACTGCTCCTGTGTGGCCAAACATGTAATTATCTCTGGACGTACATTTCTCCCAGACAGTGTGTAGCTATTTCATTGGGATTTAATGGATTCATTGTGTATATTTATGAGGACTGGGCATGCATAAACCATGTTTCATCTGGTACTTTCAAACAGCGGTGCAGAGGAGTCACGCATGAATTACAGTTCCTCTGCTGTTCTCTATATTTTTCATTCTCTTGTGTATCCAGTCCTCTTAGCCACGGGACAGTAAGCACAGAGGGTTTGTAGAATGCTGTGTGAAAAAAAAAACATCAACTTCACTCAAAGGTATGTTGATATCTAATGTCTCTGTATGTTCGTCTTTATGTTTTGTGTGGCTGCGACTCCCAGATACACAAGTTCACCTGCTAATTTTCTGCTGCTTGTATGTTCCTGATAAGATGATCCCTGTATTGACACAGCGTATTTACTCTAAGAGACAAGATCTAATGTAAAATTCTACAGAGGAGTGTAATGATCTGACACTGGTTGCTTCAGAAACAACATTTGGTTTCCAGAGTGTAATAAAGCACCCCATGCTTAAAGAAAATGGGCCCTGAAATGACTGCAGTGGGATATTTTCTCCCGTATTAGTCGTCAAAGTCGTGAAAAATTCATGCTTTGGTTTTGATGTCCTCACACTCCTCGATAATATTATCCATGATAACAGAAAGGACCATTATTTAACACAAAAATGGGTATTACAAGGCCTGAAATAATGATTTTTGTAATGATTGAATTCCCTGCTCATTCCTTTTTCTTTACTTCATGAATTTTTTAGTTATTCCTCAAAGTGATTTCCTGAAGCTTAAAAGGGGCTTTTCAAATTGACATCATTACCAACTGTCTACTTAAAATGTACGTGTGATCTGTTGTAATAGCAATAAACACAGAAGTAGGAGATATTCAGATTTATGAAGCTTTAAGAAGCTACAGATCTTTTTTTTTTTTTAACTCAAAGTTTCTTTATCTTTTCATTTTCCTCTCTCTGTATCTGTAATATGCTGCTGTAAATTTGGAATTTCCTCCCGTGGGACTATTAAAGGAACATCTTATCTTATCTTGTACTTTTAAATGTTGTGCATTTTGATTCTGAATTTAACCGTAAATGACACATCCGGGGGGTGGTACCTGTCCTGCACAGTGGTAACATGATTGACTTTGATTGGGTGACCATGACAGTATCTCATGATAGTGTTGTGTCGTTCGCGAATGATTCAGACAATTTTTCCGTACTTTCTGGTTGGTTTCTATTGTCCGATATTGTAGCGCGATAACTTTGGTTGGGCTCGTGAATGACACGGGGGAGCAGCGTCCGTCTCACAACCAATCAGACTACACAGACAGAACAAAACACAGCGATATTGTTATATTACCAAATGTCATCAATAACTAATAGCTATTGACTGCAGAAGACGTCGGATATAAACGATTTCTGCCAACTTTGCAGAGTCAACTGCAGAGTTAACGGCGTTCTGAATGAACGTGGCTTTGAAAAAGTCCCGCAGCATGTGTTAGACGTCACCACTACACATGGACCAATCAGGGGCTGCCTTTCCCTGTTGTCCGGGTAACAGTGGAAACACGGTCTCTGATTGGCCCAGTTATTTTCTGATCGGGAATACACGCTCTCTATGGGCCGAAGTCCAGACTGTGGTGGGAAGGAACATCAAGTGATTCACGCAACAGGATGGCCCAGCCAGGCTAGCAAAATCCATGGCTGTGTCCGAAATGAATCACTCAACCCCTAACCCCTAACCCCCATATGGGATTTTACTATATAGCTGACGATGTAGTGAACTCAATCACCGGAGGTTTCGGACACTACATGGCAAGACGCAATGCATGACGGGATGCCCGCCACCGTTGAGTGACCATTGGATGGTTACTACATTTTGCAATGCTTCATGGGAAATTTTGAGTCACCTATATTGAGCGCTGGAATTGATCACTGAGGTTTCAGGCACTAACCTATATAGGGCTTAGGGATCCATTTCGGACACAGCCCATGTCATCCATGCCCATAGGCTTCGTTGGGTGACCCATCAACACAAGTAATGGTAATGAAACCTGTACGCCGCCCGCCTCTCTTACATGCAGTTGTTATTATTCGTATGGCTGTGTCTATGACAGCCAGAGAACCCCATAGGCTATTTGTTTCTGATAATTTGTTCATTGTGTGTTGCTGTTGTATAGTCGGACAGTGATTCCTCTTCCTGGTAAAGGGAGGTATTATATTCAGAACTCATTATCCTGTGTCACTCATGGATCTGTTCCACCCATTAGCCAGCTCAGATCCATTACTATTATACTGTCTTTCTCAATGATTTGTGCTTCAAGTGGTTTCCTTTACTCTGTATCCCTCTCTGTGTTAAGAGCACTGTACCTCCCTCCTGTTTTTGCTTGTCTGCCCTTGTTTACTTGAAGATAAAGCTAATAGTGATTGCTATTTTTGTGAAGAACGGAAAACTAATAGAGACTCATATGATGGACCTAAGGTTTTGTTTTTCAACATGATACCTAATTCGACTGATAATTTTCAGTCTTTCTTGTATGGGTTTTATTCCTGGATTTGTTTACCGGTTGAACCAAAATAAAACCCATCTTAAGGAGCCTTGTGGTAATTTTGTGAGTGTGTCTGCCCACTTCCTGTCATAGAGGAGCTGTTATGCTGTGCGGGCAATTGAAGTTGAGGACTTTGTTTGTCTGGTAAGGATAGGGGGAAGTGATACAGAGAAAATATATCCATGGCAACATGCCTGAATACAGCTAGTGGGGTAAAAAAAAAACAGAAACTTTTCTAAGGTTGTGTAGAGAGACAAGAGGTTACTTTTATTTGCAGATATATCACTGGAGATCATGTTGCAGCATGTTTCGGCCTAGAATTTCTATCAGCACCCCTGTGTTGAAGCAAACTCTGTTCCTTTCTCTCTCTCTCTCCTGCACAGACTCTGATCTCTTTGCCCTTGTGTTTCCTCTATCTCTGCTTTTGGATATCTTGGATCAAATGTCAACAACTTGTTAGCTGTTAGCAGGAACTTCATCAACAGAAAATGAACTGAGACGTGTGAGGTGGCTCCAAAGACAGACAGGAGAGAGAAAACTGTCAGATGGATGCTAATGGGCTGCGAGCAGACTGGTGCAGTCTGTGTGAAGGTGTGAGAAGGTGTGTTTGATGTGTAGACAGTTGTGTTACACTGACAGACAGCAGAGAGATGGAAGAGGATTTTCTTTTTCTTTCTGGGATCAAAAAAAAAACATGTGCAGACTCATACAGCGTGAATGTTCGTGTTAGTATTCATATGATCTATCAGGGGATGTTTTTGATAAAGATTCTGTTTTCCCCCAAAAAGAGAGACACAGCAATTTAAAGAAGTGTGTTTGCATGGAGAATTTAAAGTCAACAATTTTTCGTTACACATCATAGAGCACAGCACCAGAGCTCTCAGGTAAAAAAAAAACAGAGGTGTATGCAAATTAAAACTCTTTTAATGTGCTTTGAGGAGCCGATTGACTCTAATATGTTTCTGTGCCAAACCTGAAGCCAGCTGTGGTAATTTTATGCTGTGATCATTTTGGCATGAAATTGTGTTAGTATTTCTTCCTGCTGACACTGCCTCTTATCTTAAATGCAGAATGTATTTTTAACAGCGGCCCTCGACTGCCAAAAAAAATCCTCTAGTTTGTGTTTTTAGACTTTTCACTTTCTAAGAAGGAGGATTAGGGCCACAGGAAGAGAAAAAATAATTACAGAAAGGAGATTTTATTTTTATTGTAATAGCGAGATTAAAGTTGAAATTTCAAGATTAAAGTTGAAAATTTAAAAAGTCAAAATTTTGACTTTATTCATGTTGACTTTAATCTCAAAATTAAATTTTTTTTATCTTGAAATTTCAACATTCTCTATGACATTTTGACATTTTGTAATCTTGAATTTCAACTTTAATCTGGAAATTTTAATTTTTAATCTTGAAATTTCAACTTTATTGACATAGTTTCGATTTTAATCTAAATTTTTTTTTAAATTTCAAAATTATTCACAACATTTTGACATTTTGTAATCTCGAATTTTTAATCTTGAAATTCCTAATTGAAATAATTTCAATTCGAATAAAAAAATCTTTAATCTCAAAATTTCAACATTATTTATGACTGTTTTACATTTTGGGATTTCAAATTTCAACTTTAATCTTGAAATTTCAATTTTAATCTCGAAATTTCAACTTAATTAACAGAGTTTTGATTTTAATCTCAATTCTTTTAAAATTAAAATTTCAACATTATTCACAAAATGTTCACATTTTGTAATCTCAAATTTTGACTTTAATCTTGCAATTAGAATTTTTAATCTTGTAGTTTCAACTTTATTGACAGAATTTCGATATTTTTAATCTAGAAATGTCGACTTTAATCTCATTCCTGTAATTTTTTTTTCTCTCTTCATGTGGCCCTAATCCTATTTTTTAACTTTCATATGAATTTTTCACCTAAAATTATAAATTGGTCAAACCGCATCAATGGAAAAATAACCAGCAACAATCTTGATGAAGGATCTAATCGGTGTCACACTCTGTTTAGGTGTTTGTTCCTGGATGGGTTTGATTTCTTTAGAGGGGTTTGAGCAAAATCTCCTCAACTGTTGGATGAGAAATAGGACTTAAAAGAATGAACAGAAAGGTTGACTGCAAGCGACAAAGAAATCAAATCACAATAAAAGGATAATGTAAAGAGATAAAGTGGGAGACAATGTTTGAGTTAGATACCTGAGTTTGTGTTTATCCGTCTGTGAGCGATCAATATAACAGATACACCCTGAAGGAGAATAATATCACTTAGATCTGTTATATCCCATTAACATCAGATAAACACAGACATGTGCGGTTAGAAACATATCAAAGAGAGGTGTCTGTGCACAGACATTGAGCACACAAACACTTGGAAAAATCTCTGCGTGTATGCAGACTTACATTATGTAAATGGTGCATGCAGCCAGACTTCCATGCATATGTATTTTTGTGTGATTTATTTTTTAAATTCACTTCAGGCACTGCTCTTTTTAGCATATTTATCTCATACCAGATAGAACAGTCTGTGACACAGGAGGACTATTTTAAACCTACAAGCTGAAGATTTAGGTTAAAAACCTGCATGCTTTTTACCTTTTCTCTGTCTTCAGATCTATTATTATGTGTTTGTTGTTTTCCATCATGCATCTAAGAGCCATTGCAGTGTAACTGAAAAACGGATCTGTCATAAAAAATTACAATCATAGAATAAAACTCAATATGGAGCACAGACCACACATATTAATAATGAAACAGTGGGAGTAATAGATATAAAAAGTAGTAATAGATCAAGATGTTGTTTTAGTAGGAGGAGTTGCAGTCTGGATGATAATAATAGAAAGAAAAGGAGGCCATTAAAAGGGGGGTGTTTTTTTAGTTTTTTAAATCTTTATCCTTCTCATTCAATATATTTTAACTTAGTTGATCAAGAAAGCAAACAAACAAAGCGACTGAGTCAAGCTATGATGAAAAGCAAAAAAAAATAGCAGGTTGCCAAATGCGTGTGTAATTTCAGCACCAAAGACAGAGAACGCCACTTAAGAGGCATGGATTGAGAAGTTGTACAACACCAGGAAAACTGCTCTGTTAGCTGTACCTTAATGTAGCTTGTGTACTCCGAGAACTGAACTATGTACAGTACATTTTTGAAGATTCTAAGATGGCTGAAACTTCATCCTGCACTCATGCTATTGACTGGAATGGTTGTATGTCAAAATTGGATACAGACTATGATGTAGCCCAAAGACTTCCTCTTCATGATAAGATTATTCATTTTACTGTTAACCAATTTCCATTTAGTTCATCAGTACCCAATACAAACAACAGACAATAAACAGTCCAACAAATCTGGAATTGTCATTTGCCAGAGTTAAAACAAAAGGAAAAGGACCCAAAATGCAGACAAAAAAATGGTTTATTTAAAAATAACTAAATGAAAAGGAACAAAAATTTGCCAAAAATATTCAAAATGCAAAATCCAACTAAACACACTGGGGAAAAAACTCACAAGAAACAACTGGGGACACAATCATACACAAACACATGGACATACAATGAACCAACAAGGACAGAGGGGAAGACAGGGACTGTAGTATACACACTAGTAAACGTGCAACAGGTGAGGCAGACGAGACACAGGTGAAACTCGTTAACTGATTAACAAAGGAGGGAAAACTAGGGAAGTAACACCAGACTAGAAACTCAAGGAATCAACGACTATAAAACAAAACAGGAAACATTAAAAACTAATCTAAAGAGTTAAACACTGAGAACAGGAAGGAAACAAACACAAACAGGAAACTCAGAGACTGGACTACAGGAGAACAGGAACAGGAGAACAGGAACAATAAGGAACAAAAATACACAGAAAATAGACTCAAATAACAAAACTAGTGAAAAACTAAATCAGCAGGACACATCATAATATAAATCTCATCAGTAAAAACATCAGCTTACAAGAGCACAGCCACACTATCATATACACAGTTTACATAGACAGCCTATAGGTAAAAATAATGTAAGCCTGTAATAGTACCCCCAATCAAATGTAGAAGTAAAGTATTTTAAGAAATAGTTAAAATATTACACATCCAGCTGAACACTGTTAGCCAATGTGTGCCACAGTACTGTGGCGCTGTCCAAGGTGCTGATCCTGGCATTTTTCATTTACTTATATCTTGTGTGCCGTTTTCTGCAGTCTATGTTGTATAACTTCTGTTTTTGTTTTTTCTTTTAAATGAAGCTAAACTTTGGGCATTTATCTTATTTCTATGATTCACTTGTTTCACAAATTTCCAGCAGTGCAGAAACATGAGCAGGCATTGATACAAGCAATGATAAGTTTGGAGGCGTGATAACCCAGAAGTTGAGACAATTTGGTGCTGAGATGTAAGTAATTGTTGTATTTCATCCAAAAAAACTCTCTAGTTTAGATTAGAAATTATCCTCCTCTCTAGTGTGTTGTAGCATACAGGTCTTATGAGTGCATTACAGTTTCTCATTGTGACTGTTCGTCGAGAGAGACAAACTTTAATCCTGTCATTCTGAGCGAGTCTGAAAGAAGTGGCCTTGCTCACTCTTGGCTGTTTTTGATCAGCTCGCCGTGGCTTCGCTGGCATGGACTCTTTGGAGGTCAGACGACTAAAACCAGAAAGAGATTTCACTTCGATCTATCTCGCCTCTCGACTATGAAAAATGTACCGCTGATCAAAAACTCACGCAATCTGACCAGTTCTGATTAAATACATGTACATGCTGAGCAGCGTCTCAGCCTGTCTGTTTGTGTGATGTTCGAACGCTCACCCATTGAGTGTAATTTTAATCAGGGCCAGTGCACAGTCTAATTAGAGGAGGGCTTCTAATTAAACACATTATGAGAAGGAGAAAGAAGAGGACCCTCAGGACAGAGAGGTGTTGCTTGTTCTCATTTGAAGAGGTGACACTAATTGGTCTGGATTAACAATCTGGAGACTCGCAGCAACTCAAAAGTAACTCTGAAGCATCGTGATTTACAGGCCTGAGCTGATGAAGAAGTGGATCCCCGTTAAAGGTGGGGTAGGCAGGATTCCGTTAAAGACGCATCTTTTCTTGTGGTTTATATACAAAAAATGCTTTTAATATCAGTCAAAAGCTATTAGTTATTGATGACATTTGGGATTTTACCGATATCGCTTTGTTCTCATGTCTGTATAGTCAACATTTTAACATTTTTGAGCGGCCCGCTCTTTCTGACTGTAAACAAAGCCGTTCTCCGCCTCCCCTAACCTGATTGGTTGTGAGGCAGACGCTGCTCCCTTATGTTGTGAGGAACACTCCACGTCTTTGTTCAAACAAAGTTAGCGTGCAACAATATCGGACAGTAGAAACCAACCAGAAAGTACAGAAAATTGTCTGAATCCTCCTTTGGCCACGACTGCCAACACAAGCAAGAAAACAAAGTTAATACTGGAGACTCTGGTGGAAAAACGGGCGCTTAAAAAGGAGGTAGACCACTCGGACAAGAGCTAAAAAGCTGGGTCAACATCATAGACGATGGGGGATGCTTCAGGATCTCACAGACCCTGTAACCTTTCTGCTAGACAGGTAAACCGCTTTAACAAAGTAAGCCAAGTGTCTGTAACTGAAGTGTTTCTTGTCAAACGGGACCTGCTGTAGCGTGTTGTAGCGCCACTAAACTGTTTAACTCAGATCCTGGACTATGTCACTTTATCCTAGTTGTAGAAGTCCTACAAACATTGTGTTTGCTGGTAGTCTGTTGGCATCTACAGTCGCACCAATGCTGTTTACTTTCACGTTGACTGGGCTCCATTTGTAATTATCTGAAGTATTTATCTGCATTATATCTGAATTTAATTGAAACGATACGAGCGAGCAGGAGCGTCTGTTTGTGGGCGGGGCTTGCTGGAGCAGAGAGGGAGGGGAGAGGAGGAGCTGAGGGGAAAACTGGGTGGGAGGGGGTAGAGTTTATATTCAAGATTTCTCCCAAAAACTGGCACTTCCTCAGATCCTGCCTACCCCACCTTTAAAAACTCACACTGACCGGCTTAATAAGTCGTTTTCTTCCTGGCGCAGACGGTTGCCATCAACCCTTTTAAAAAATATATATTTCTTTTGTTACATCAGTAAATGTTTTATTTGTACTTCTTTTTCCAGAAGATTACTTCATTTGCACGATAATTAAGCTTTTGTAGGAGTGAACAGTTTCACCACTCACGTCACTGTTGACATTTTACACTCTAGATTAATTGTCCCCTGATCGTAATGCTTTGTCATAATTTACATTTACATCAACTTGCTGCTAGTCAATTAACAGTATGTAAAAGCAGTTATTTTCAGGTGTTACCTGCTAAGAAGTAATTAGGTATGAGATTCAGCACATTAACAAACACCCATTTAGGAAGAGAGCATTTTACTATTCCTAACTTAAGACACAATTTAAAAAGAGGAGGTACAACAGTTCACAGTGGAGGAAGAGGGTTTTTCTTCCACAAATATATTATAGAACCAACATTTTTAATATCATAAATGCTGCATACAAATATGAATACTACTTTTAATCCAAAATCTGGAATAACAATATGAAGCACCGTGGTTTGGGTATAAATCTGCAGCTGCTTTGTCTCATAATTTTTGTAACTTACATATTTTTGGCACAAAGGTACTTTAAAGAGAGTCAAAGCATGTTCTTCCAGTTTCTTTTGGTTAATAAGATTAAATCAGGAGACGTACACCTGCCACCACAGATCCAGTATCTTTAAAAATGATAAAAAGAAAAGGTGCAGCGGGAACATTTATAGAAAAGACCTTTGTGACAGCAGCTTCTTCAGTCTGAATAGAAAACAGTCTCAGAGTTACAGTGCTGCGTCAGTCTCTATGGTTCATACTCAAAGGGAAAACAGATGAGCTTAGCACGGTTTTCACTTTTTATTTTCTCTTTTTAAGACTTTCTTTTATTCATCAACCACAGTGTCCTTTGGATGAGCTCTCCTCTGTACTGTACTGACTTCCCTTCAATCCCCACTCACACGGACGGGAAGAAATGGTGTCCATTTTTTAACACTGTGGATATGATGACAGTGTGTGTGTGTGTGTGTGTGTGTGTGTGTGTGTGTGTGTGTGTGTGTGTGTGTGTGTGTGTGTGTGTGTGTGTGTGTGTGTGTGTGTGTGTGTATTGAGTGTGTGTGTGTGTGTGTGGTCTGCTCAGATTAAAGGCTGTCAGAAAGCCTAAAGATCAGCGCCTTTGTGGAGCACAAATCTGATCCGTCACTGGAAAAGCCACACAGTTTTTTTTTTCATGGTGGAGATAGAGAGCTCTGCCACTCATCTCTTATTTTTCTACCTGAGTTATTTGAGTCATGGAGGCTTTTAGAACAAAGGTACATTTATTGAAGCATAAGTGCATTACTCACCTGAGCGTCTCTTTGCAGCTGTTCATCTTCATTTATCCAAAGCTTTGAGGGAAACCGAAAGGAAACCTTCCAGAAATAAAGGAACAGGGTTTTATATTTCTCTATTAAGATTTTTTTTTTTTTTAACAAATTCTGGAGTTTGTTTTGAGAGACTAAATTTCTCGTAGAAACTTATTTCATTTCTGTTCAATATTATGTACTCGTGATAGTTTACTCAGTTAAAAGAACACCTTGTCATCCAGGGGACTTCTTTGTTTCTGGTGTTTTTACTCTTTTTGTCTTCCCTTTTATTTTCAACCAGAAAGCCAGTAAACCACATCTGTTCTTGGACTGACAGTGATAAATGTCCGTGAACCCGTTCACTGTGTAAAACTTCCTCAGATGAAAGAAAGCGCTGAAGAAAAGAATGTGATATAAGGATTTTCTGTTTGAATAACTCAGATTTTTCACAGATAGTTTCAGCCATTTGCTGTTCCATTAGCCATGTGTTGTTGCACAGCATGAAGCACAGAGTGTAGAGATCACATGTTTAGCACCGCAGCAGCTGGAAGCTAAGATTAACCTGTAACAGCAGACTTCTACAGAACATTGTCTCACCCGGCTAATGAGCACGACACAGTGATGGAAGATAAATGATCACAGATGATTAATGTTTCCATGTGCCGGCTATGATTACAGTCTATCAGCTGTGGCTGCGTTCTCACTTGAAGGCAACTCCTTAAGGGCTGGAAATGAGCAATTGAGTTCTTCAACATCTGGAGCCGTGGATTTACAGATTTACAGGTTCTGAGTGTATCTGGCTCTAGGTCGTTTCTAGTTTTACTCCTCCAGCTCTCCGAGGACAACTGATGGAGCACCAACTCATTAGCAGCCATGTGGATTTTGTCTCGTTAAGAAACCCTAATGGATATATCTAACTCATTACATTTGGCACTTCATTAGACGCACATATTGTAGAACAAAAGCACTCCTGTAGAAACACATTCACCCACATACAAACCAACCACACTATGTTCTTATACCTTAGGATACTGTAATAAGCAGGACAAAATAGTTTTACAAACAAAGGTTCTTAGAGATTTCTGAAGCACAGTGAGACTAAGAACAATTGAAATAAACCAAGATTGATAAAAAAAATCAAATAACCATGCTAGAAACCTCAGCAGAACTGTACAACAATAAGGAGCTAAACTGAAGCTAAAAATCCTTCATAATCCAGCAGAAATAACAAGAGATTAAATGTTAGATCCTCAGATAGTTACTACTTACAAAGACTGTGGGGAATCAAATAAGCAATTTATGCAACTTTGGCTGAAGACATCCAAAAAAGGGGGGTAAAATGTGAACTTTAAGATTTTTCTTAATGAGGGAGCTTATTTAAGAGTTTAAGGATTATCAAATCAAGTAATTTAAATGGCGAGAGGATCGTAAATCTGTTTACCGAATTTTGTAATAATTCATCTTATACCAGTCCACCTTCTTCAGAAAATGACTTTGGCCTTATTTCACAATAATGTTACCCCCAATTTCCACCGCATCCAGAACGGCTGCAAAAAGACCGTATCCACCAATCGCCGCTGATCGTAATCATTCAAGTTAGTCATCTAAGACTTATGTTTAGCTCGTCAACGTCACGTCTTCGTCGTGGAAAAAAAGTGACGGTAAAGAAAACAACACTGGCGTACAGCGGAAATTGCCACTGTTCCAGATCGGAGCCGTTCCGGATGTGGTGGAAATCCCGGGTTACTCCTCTAACTGTTCTTATCTATGATACTTTGTTATAAAATCTTTGAATTCTAAACAACAAATATACGGAATATCATCAAAATAAAGTCTGAACACTTTGATACAAAGCTTAATGAAGGTGGGTTATTTTGATGCGTCATGAGAGGAAGAAGAAAGCCCTTTGTATTTCCCTTATGAGGACTTAAGCCTCGCACTTCTCATGAGTATCTCCTTGCAGACAGTTCATAACAAAGACTGCCTGAGGGTTATGCTCAAGCTGTTTAAATTGTCCCTTTTTCTGGTGATATCAGCTTTTTACAGCAGTCCAGGAGGGCCTTTTCTTTGCAACTCTGCAGCTACACAAAATTAAAGGGCAGACTGAGCCATTAAAAAGTTGCTGGTGTGTTTTTAGAGCGTAGCTTTACTCACTGGACCAATACCAGGTACATGTGAGGAGTTCATGAAAAAGCTTAGCTTAGCTGGGAACAATCATTACCTGTGTTACTGCACCACAGGAGAAGCATTGCAGTGAGGACTTAACAGCAGAATAATGAGTTTTTATTACTTTTTTATTCAATTTCTCGATGATAAACTGCAATGCATTCTCTGTGGGGCTCTTAATTTAATGTTCAAACGATGATATGTAGGCTATTACTGCAGTTATTAAGCGCTGTATGAATAAAGGCAATTTCCAGTCACGTACTGAAAAGAAATAGAAGTTATGCAGAGACACAGAACAAAGTAGCTCAAGTACAAAACCCTTAAAGAGAGGATTTTCTGTTATTTTTGAACAAAATGTGACCATTTCTACACAGCCCCAAGCACATCAATCCCACTGTAATAAAATCAAAGCTATAATGTGTGTTTGGTTGAAATAACCCAGCGGATCCTTGCTGTGTAGTGATTTTACCCTGAACTCTTGGAGACCTTTTAGCTGTAAACTTGTGCTGAGTGAACACACCCATAAAAAATGTGTGTTTGTAACCACCACTAAAAATTCAAATGTCGCCATGCGAAACTGCCTGTGGGGCACTAGTTGTATTTTTAATCACTTGTCTATCATACAAATATGCTAATTAGAATATTACATGGTCTAAACATTTATCAGGCACCAGTATTCCTGGTCTGGAATGAATACAAAGGAGTAATGGTCATTTTAAGGACATGGGGAAAAAAATGTGAAGATATTTGAATTGTTAGGGGTGGTGACAGTATTTTCTCATTAACAGAGTAATAAAAAGAGATATCTGTAGTCCCTTCCTCTTCCCTTTCTGACTCTTTCATGTCAACAAAATAAAACAAGAATTTTGAAAGGGGATGTATCCACTGTTCAGTTTTGGGCTCTGGAAATGTATGCAAATTAGTGCATATTTAATTAGATATTGCCTGATTTACAAATTCCAACATAATATTTTACAAAACTTGTAATACAAAAAACATTTGTCTTAATGTAAGTTATAAACTCAGGAAGTTTCATGGTGATATCTGTTAGTTGAAAATTTTACCCTATTCACCTGGGGTGTCTCCCTGGGCTTCCTACCCATCATGGACACCATCTTAAAAATGGCACCTTTCTAGCGGTCAAACGTTGGTAAACTTTTAGTATGTTATTAAGGACATCTAATACTATAAAAAAAAACAGCTGAGAAACCTTTTGTTAGAATTTTTTGGGATCAAGTCATACTTGCACCTGACTGTGAGTTAAATCAGACACTAGACATCTTATTTCTGTGGAAAAAAAAAACTTTACTGTAAAATGAGAAAAACAACAGTCATCAGAACTTTAAGAGAAATCTACAAACAAATCTTGTCAGTCTTGTTGTCTTCACAAAATTTCAGAATAGTCAAAGGACAAAAGATTAGTGCAAGCTTAGCTCAGCTGATTACAAAATCCAACAATATAGTAACAGAAATGTGTAACACGCTGATAAGTAACGTCTTCACATTTAACAGCATTTTTTGAAACAAACTAGCCCCAATAACCTGGCTCTGCTCCATAAATACCCACCTTCATTCTCCTATAAGTAAACAGATCTTCTGTATTGGTACCAGCAAAGGCCTGCTCTGTTCAAGTTTGGATGGTTTTAATTAAGCTGCTTGGCATTTTATTCCAGACAGGATCCAATACTGTGACTGGTCTATTAAAAACCAACCCCTGTAACTGAGCAGCAGGTGCCTTGTTGTTTGGTGGAAATAATTCAAGTCTTAAAATCAAACTGAACTAAATGTCAAGAGTCCTTCAGTCTGTTTGGGATGAAGTCATCACTCAGGATTACTAGATAAAATATTCATTAAAACATATGATAGTAACTTTAACCTGCACATGACATTAGCAGCATCATGAATCGGATCAAAAGTAAGTAACATTTGTGTGTAAAATTTGTGGCAGCATAGAAAAGTTTAACATTTTCATAAATCTGTGCAAAACATCTCTGGTATAGATGTTGTTTTGACGGGCAAGAACAGCATTCAAATGTTGAATTTAATGATAAGTTAGGAAGTCCGGAGGATACCCCAGGCAGGAAACCTTTGCAGATCTGAAGCTGTCCAAATAACAGGTGACTCATAGCGACACTGCACCGACAATGATGGATGGGAGTAACTGAATGACGCACTTTAAATGCTCTTAAACTTTCTCACAAAACACACAAAAATGCCATCTGCTCTAATGGAGAGGAGTGATGATCAGTGGGGCGAAATTTCTGCCGCTGTCATTAGCACAGGGGCTGAAGAATGGAAAGAGCTTCTCAGTGAAGGTGCATCCAGTGAAGGAGAAGATATGAGCCCTGGTATCAACGTCGTAGAAGGAAACTTGACCCTCTGCATAATCAACAAAGACCCCGACCTTTTGAGGAACCTCTTTCACGTGGAGGTTGATCATTGGCTGTGATCTCGTTCCCTTTTCTCAGCCAGATGGTCCAGTATCCACTCTTGGGACTCAGTCTGAGATCACCCTTCCTGTTGATGGACTCATGTGCCACACCCAGATCCCACTGAGTTTTCCCTTGGACCCGGACCTCGAAGTAGAACTTCCCAGAGTTGAAACTCTCTTTGGCGAGGACATTGGGGACATTGTCGAACCTCTCTGGCTTGTCTGGGACGTTCCTCTTCCTGTCTCCACATTTGACTTCTTTCCCGTCCTCAGAAATGATGAGGGAAGGATTTGCCGTGTCAGGATCCAGAGTCAGATCCACAGCATGACGCTGCATTTTCTTCAAGTCCGGGTCACACAGCAGCCTGATCTCTCTTGTCACAGTCGTCTCAAGTTTGATCAGGGTTTCCTGCACAGAAAACTGGTCGTTGTTCAGAGTCACCTCAGACCAGTCCTTCACCTGTGGAGGAGTGATGGTGAGAGACAGGACTCTCTCTAGGAACAGAAAGGGATCGTCGATGCTACAGACCTCATCAAGTATTGGGATTTTTCCTTTTATTTGCACCATCTCTTCCTCCAGTTCTTGAATGAAGCCTTCACCCTCTTTCTCCATCTTTCTCAGTTTTGTTTGAATGACTTCTCTCAGCTCAGCTTGGCTTCTCTTTATTAATTCCACCAGCTCACTCATCACTTTCTGGCTCGATGTGAGCGCCTTCCCTGCATTGTTTCTTCCATCCTCCATTGAGAGTTGGATCTCTTGAAGTTTCTTCTGGTGGGTCTGGACCATCTGATTTATGCTGTTCTTTTCTAGTCCCAGCAGGGCCTTCCTCGTGTTGGCCTCCTCCTCCACAGTTGCCGTCTTGTGTTTTTTGTGGTCACTGTCCACACAGGCCTGGCATAGAAACACCACGTCCACCCTGCAGAACAGCTCCAGAGGCTCACCATGCTGCTTGCACAGCCTGTTCTCCAGGTCTTTGACTGGATGAATCAGCTTGTGTTTCTTTAAGATTGGAACCGTCCGATGATGCTCCAGATGTGCATCTCAGAACGACATGAAACACGTTAAACAGGACTTGACGGCTAACTGCTTCCTCTCTGCACACATATCACACAGCACATGTCCACTTCCTGCTTGTTCAGGAGTGTCGTGATGTTTTTCTTCAACAGTCTTCTTCAACTTCTCAGCCACACTGGAGAGGACCGTGTTCACACAGAGTTCTGGTATCTTTACGTACTCCTTTTTGCACAGTGGACAGTCAGATAAAGGTTTTTTCTCATCCCAGTGGCCTGTGATACAGGAACGACAGAAGTTTGTGACCACAGGGGATGGCTACGGGTTTATTGAAGACATCCAGACAGATCGCACAAGAGAAATTGTCAAACCATATCAGACTACTTGCATGGGCCATGTCTGAAAAACACCAAAAAGACACGAAACAAAGTCTGTCAACACTTGTGACTGTCTTTGTTCAAAGCAACATGACCACATAAGTGAAATCCCACCTTACCTTTTGTAGTAGGTTCTGTGAAAGCTTTCATGGCTGCAAAGGACAGTTGAAGCACATGTGTTTTTCTCTCTCTCCTTTTAGTTTCACTTTCTTTCAGCTGTGGCACTGAGTGCCAGTCCCCTCCCACTTCCTCATCTGACTGAAACAAGTTAACCCTTTACAAGCTCAGTGCACCGGTGCCTGTTTCCCTCAGTTAGAGATATGAAATGTGTACCCAGTCCTCACTTCAGAGGCGTGTAAACAGCCATATGAGCCGTGCTTTCTCTCAGGTGTGCATAATTCATGCGACTCTGTGCGCTGAGTTTCTTCACAACATCCAGAAATCTCTGTCTGAAATCTGTGAGACGTCACAACATGTTAAATTCTAAATGAGTTGGAGAGTCTTTAGTGATGATATCTGAATAATAAACTACAAACACACTCCTCCTCTGTGGAAACAGAGCTATGAACACAATCACTCCCCTGCATCCTTGAAAGGTTTTATCAGAGCTGGAATAATGTGTGTGTGTAGGTTGTGTGCAGGTTTTTATGCATCAGCATCAGCGTTCATATGTGACTAATTGTATATCCATGGCTGCATGGAGGATTATATACAGACTGTGGGTGTGTAAGCGTATTCAATTTGGCTGTTGGACGACAGTATGAAATGAAATGTGAGTGATACATTCTACTTAACCTTTCAGTGACTGGAATTAATTAGCTTTCATGCCGTTTAAAATGTCACTTAAACCTGATATATGTGTTTAAATATCTATAAACGTGGGTGTGTGCTGTATGTATCATATCTCAGTACTTTTGTTCTTTAACACTGAAGTGTTTGCTTAAGTCTTTACTGTATAAATGTGGAAAGCTTGAGCAGTCTTCAAAGTCATTTATGTACTCAGGATATAAAGATGTAAAAGAAATTAGCCTCTGAAAGTCCAGTCACATAAGACTTGGATGTATATTAACTCCGTATTTTCAGTTATAAATGCTCTTTAAAGTCCATTTACTTTGAAGGAAAAGCTCCTATGTGACATTCTCATCTGAAAATGATCACAGTCTGGATCCACGTCTCATCCAGGCCTCACCTCAATGTCTCGGCTACTATTAAACATTCAAATGACATTTGGATCAGGTGGGGATCCCCTTTGATCCAGGTCTGTGTGGAGCTGAAGGACCTGAACCTTTCTTCTCCTCTGCAGGATCCTCCGATAGGTTCATCAGAGGATGAGAGCGAGTTTGGCCTTTTTCTCCCCCCTCTCTCTTTTCATTAAAAATTCTGACTCCTTCTGTCTTTCAAACGCTGCATCTCCCCCATCCCCGGTCTCTGACCCACTGGGCTCTCTCCTGTCTCTGCTCCTCTCTCCTCTCACCTTGAATACATGAATAAGAGATTAGAGGAGCTCAAAGTGTTAGAGGACACAGATCTCCCTCTATTAGAATTGAATGCCTCCTGTGAGGTGTCTGCTCAGTTTTAAATGGAGAACAAGTCTGAAGTTAAGCCTGCCCTCCCCTAAAGCTCACAAGTTAAAACCATACAGTATTAAACTGGACTGATGAATAAACAGTTTACAGCAGCATCAACAACAGCATTGTTACTATTTTTATCAAATATCTGAAGCAATGAAATTATGATTAATAATTTTCATTAATAATTAATGGACTATTTATTAAAGGTTTAAATAGGGTTTAAATATTGGTTGTAAAACATCTAGATGTGTGTCAGTCGCACTTTGTAAATTAGTAATATTTGGTTGTTAAACAAAAAAGATGGTTATGTTATTGTAAAGTTGCAACTGATGTTTGTAATACTTTGTAAATGATCAATAAGTGGTTTATAAACCACCTATAGACATTAATTAGATGGTTATTGTAAAGTTAGGGTTAGGTTTTTAAAATTGTAAAATTTACAATTTATTAATGGTCTATATGCTATTTATAAATGATGATTAAGCATTAATAAATCATCTACTCACCATTTATAAATGGTCTATTTATCATTTCCGAGTTATGATTATTGTAAAGTGTAACCAAAAGAATCGTTAAGTAAAGACCGATAAGAAACACTTTGAAAACAAAACAAAACAGAAAAACAAACAAACCAAAACAACAAACCAAAAAAAACAACAAACAAACAACAAAAAACAAACAAACAAACAAAAAAACAAGTTGAATTCCTTACTGGGTGACAACACAGTCCTTGGAGGAGAAATGTGTAAAAAAATATATATATATATTTTTTCAATTAATTAATTGATTTATTAATTTTAATAATTTCAGTGTGTGTGTGAGGTAACTCTTTGAAAGCAAAGTGTTTTGTGAGATTCGTCGGCCCTCCTCACAGCGAAATCAAACCGACATTTTCCTGAACCCTGAGTGGAGTCTGGAGATTTAAAGGATCAGAGAGCTGATTTCCAAATGTAAAGGCTGTGAAAGCTCTTTTGTCTACACTGGTATTCATTAACAGTGATGTGACTGTTGGATTTAAACCACGATCTGTGATGGCCTCCAAACACCAGAGGAGTCAGTTTCTCTGATAGGCCGCCTCAGCTGCTGAATTATTCATTAGTGCTGTTTGACAGACTCAGTGAGTGTGACGGCAAATTCAGACAAAGATCCACTGATTTAAGACATACTCAGGTAAAATGTTATTGTTGTTTCAGACACTGAAAAAATTAGTGAGTTTGCCACTTGTTGTGTAACTTATGAGTTAGCTCAAAACTTTAGTTATACCCTTACATGTAACTCTAAATTGCTTATACCGTACATTCCTGTGAAAAACTTCTCTGGCAATATCGGTATCAGCCAATACTGACAGCTACAGTATCAGTATCATATTGGAAGAGTTGTATTGGGACGTTCTTGTAAAAAAATGACCAAAAAAATGATAGTAGTGGATGTGGTTTCTTACACTGATATCAGTTTTCCCTTCCTTCTTTGATTCATATTTCTTTTACCAACACCAGATGCCCTATCAAGCTGCTATTTTGATCTTCCATCTCCAACCCAGCACTCTTTCCTCATTCTGCAGAAATCACCTCTGTAACCCTTTTCTTTCTGATACCTCTCTCTATCTCTTTTTCTCACACCCTCGCTCCAGCTTCAGCCACATTTAATGACGGAGCCTTTCCTCGGCTGTCACAGAGGGGATTTAACAAGGTCCTGCACTCTTTTTGCTCTTTCCTCCTCATTTTACCATGCTGCCTCCACTTTCCCCCCTTTTTCCACCAGTAATTTCACCTTTCTCTGGGGGAAGAAAGTGCAGAAGCCTGACCAGAGTGGAGGGAGAGTGGTTGTGCATTTGTGGCCTAAACAGGACCCTGCACAAATCTCGGCCACCTACAGGACTCAGTGCAGAGAGCTTCAGATGTGCAAAATTTGAAATAAAATATAGAGATGATAAACTTCACGTCTTCAGCATTGATGTCTTTATGGATTGATGTACAGTGTTGGGATGTGCTGTATATAAATTAACTATATCTCGGTTTACATGGCTGAGAAGGTGTTTATGTGTGCTTACAGATGACTTGAGATCAGATGTCCTTGGGCTTAAATTTATATTCATAACCAACAGGGAAATTAAATCAGACTAAATCACCTCAAGCCCCTGCATTTCAATTATGGACTGTATAACGGAGTTATTGATCCAGAGCAGAGGAGACACTCAGCCAGGCAGAGAGATTTTTAAACACTCATCAGTCATTACCCTCCTACCAGGTGTGGTAAATCTGATCTTTAATTGGTTTTTAGAAGGAGGCAAAAGCGAGCATTTAAAGAGACAAGTAAAGGAGTTTGTGTTATTTGTAAGCCTGAAACCTTTTCTTCAGTTCTCTACAGTGTTTGTCAAGTAATCTATAATGTGCTACAGAGCAATCCGTCAAAGCTCCAGTGCTCTCCTGTCTTCTATCATCTTTAATCTTCAGCAAAGAGCTGGGATGCTCCTCAGGATCGTCCAGTGTCCCCTCTGACTATGACTAATGTGTGAGAAGCCTGGTCTACACATATACCACACAACCTCTACACCCTAGTCTCATTCCTTCCCATTACCTCTAGCCCTCCTCCTTCAGGCGGGTTAGCAGCGCAGTGTAATGTGTTCAGCCAGCTGTGCAGAAGCACCAGAGGTCAACTAGCATCTCCCAGATGTCCTGTAAGACCCTCTAGATCTATGCAAAGATCATTAAATGAGTCTGCAGGGTGCATGAACATGAGCCACCAGGGTCTCTAAAATGGAGTCTTGTTTTGGAGGTAAAGAACATGAGACAACTATGTTCAATTAAGATGTTCAATTAAGATGTTCAATTAAGATTAATATTAAAGGGATATTCCGGCGTAAAATTAAGTTAAGGTCAAACACATCGTAACACAGAGTTAGACACCCCGTCGAGAGATGAAGGTTGCCGACTGCTTGCTTCTCAGGTTATACCAACTTTAGTAACGACCTCACAATAGCAATACAGAGAGCCATGTGCTCAACCAAAACGCCACTCTATAGCCACAAATAATGCTCAGAACAGCTTCATCAACAATACATATAAGGTCCCAGCCACAGTACTAGACACCAAACATCTTTTTAACTTCGTCTGATTTCTTTGGCAAAGAGACTAAACACAACTCACCTGCTCTCTTCCAGCAGCCGCTTGTTTGTTTGTTTGATGAACTCTGGGCGAGTCAGTTGACAAGTGCAGGGGATCAATTCCTTGAAGTAATAATCATCATATTAATCATTTTGCACTGCAGACGCGGTAGTTCTTCTGCCTTAGCATCTCGTACTGATTGCATTTCCATGAAGAAATGATCATAAATGTTCTTCCTTGAGCTGCGTCACCCAAGTCGATGTTTGTTCGATGGATTCCGGGTGAGTCCATCGACTGCAACAGGGTCGATTCTGTATTGCTATTGTGTGGTTGTTACTAAAGTTGCTAGAGAAGAAAGCAATCTGCAACATTCATCTCTCGGCAGGGTGTCTAACTCAGTGTTACGGTGTGTTTGACCCTAACTTAATTTTATGCCAGAATATCCCTTTAAGATACAACATGACAGCCACAGATACACACAGCATGACGACTTAAAAAACTTAAAACAGACAAGTTATTTCTTTTGTAGGCAGGC